ACCAAACAGCAGAGCGGGACACACTCATAACCTTTAGGAAAGTCGACTAGCCCAACAAAACCTTTGATAAAAAAAGTGACCTGGTCTACTTGTGGAGACTGACGTCGAACTAACCCAAATGCATACACGTATACTTATAACAAGAACGTATGTTCATGGTTAGGTGATCACTCAGAGCAGGGCGAATCAACGTTTACACAGGGACCAAAATGTTGAAAATACGGGCCATAGGACTGAACCTCGGCCTAGAAATATCTCCAATACAATATAGTTGATAATGACCCGCAAGCCACCTGCTTTGCCTCCGCGGGCCATATTCAGCCCACGGGCCGCCACTTGAATAGCCCCTCTTAGAGCCTTGCACATTATTTAGGGATGGGAGCTCAGATTTTCTATGTCTTCCTCTTGATCTTTCCATCAATCTTGCCAGCTGTCATCGAGTTCTGGAGTCTCTTATCTTCTCACAACACTGTTCACACACTGACCGAGTCTAACTTGCCTAACTCATGAGGGCAGCTGGTTTCTTTCTTTCTTTCTATTTTCCAGTTATATTCTTTACATTTATCTCAAAAACCACGTCTCCGCTGGAGGAGGTTTTTCCCCGTCTCATTTGTTCTGATTTCCCACATCGACAAGGGGGCCGCGTTAGCGCAGTCGATAAGAAGCTCGCTTTCAGATCCAGCTGCGACTCGCTGCAGCCCATGGTCGGTGTTCGAAACCGGGCGCCACCCGGGGGTTCACCCAGCCTCTAGGAATTGGGTACCAGAGTTATACTCTGGGGTAAACGGAGGAACGTCGCTGTAGCTACAGAGTTAAGTGCGAACGGCGACACAGGCGGACAATTCTTATCAGCTGTCCGTACTGGTGGCAGAGCACTTATGGTTTATAACCGTGTGCAATGACGCTGGTTCACATCTCCCGACTTTACCTTTACCTTACCACATCGACAACTAAATTTAATTATCTTTTCTAATTGGATGTTTCCATGCAAGATTAGATAACTACAGGCAACTGACTAATCTTAAATATGCAATACTGAAAAAAAGTTGTATATCTAAATGCAGCTCATACCATAGTCATTCCCATGTTGGATGCAATTTTTCGATATATTGAAGCCCCAACCTTGCTTTTGCCAGGGGCCCTGAATATAGCTGGTTCACATAAAGGGGTTTCTGGAACCTCTCCACGGGTGATCCTCATCCGCATGGTGGCAATTTGTGTCATGTCCTAGCGGGGTACAACAAGCAAGCAAGTATATCTAAATTATAACTTAGGTGGTGTTAACAGGATTTTTTTTTTTAAACATTACTGCTCCTCATCAAGTGAGTGCCAACTGGCGTGGGCGATCATGCCTCTCCATAATCTGCAATCCGCAACTGCGTTTATCAGTTGGTGTGTTGACACCCCTCCATGGCATAACAAAAGGCTGTCAAGAATCTTCTCGCGCTGTCCTCCTTTATCTCTCTTTCTACAGATCTTTCCAGTAATCACAACATGTTCCATTTTGCCTCCCCTCAAAACATGACCAAAAAATGATAACTGTCTCTTTTTGATGTTTGTGATCATTTGTCTCAGAGCACTTGCGTCTCAAAGTATATAGATTACTCTTCTAAGATGTCCTAGGAATTCTAAGGATTCTTCTGTAAAACATATCTCCGAGGTAAGCCATGCCGTTAAAGCAGTCGTATTCAGACAACAGTCGGCTCTGTGGCTAAGTCGATGCTAACGCTTCGTAATGCCGGGATGCCAGGTTCGATCCCAGCTGCGGGCAATGCGCCTTACGTTGGTTTCGACAGTGGTATCAAGAAAGCTGACCGTCCAGTAAGCAATGGCAAACTACTGGACGTAAATTTGCCTAGAGAGACCACACAACAGCCAGGAGCTGTTAGATGTGGTTCTGCAAAGTCCTGTAAAGAATACGCAACTAACTTTATTCAGACAGCATTACTGCTGTGGCCGTGTAAATTGTAAGGTTTTGCTTTGTGCACTAGAGTTGGCTCTGATCTAGTGACCTTGGCCGCCCGGGCGATGCTGTGAAAGATTGTATTTCCTGCCCGATATATTTGATAAAGCACGGTTTCATACTGCAGTCGTGTGTTACAGTGTTGACTGTAGTTTGATTATAGTGTGCACTGCATATTGTTCAACCAGTATCAGTTCCCGCATGCATCTGATGTGTCCACTAGCCAGCTGCCCCCCCCCCCCCGAAACATTTGTTCGGCAAAATGCCATTTTTACGAATGAAACATTTTTTTTGTAACATTCTTGTTTTGCGACAACTAATCAATCTTTCTGTCTGATATTTTCAGTCAGTATAATTTTCGGTTCTTTTATTTAACCAGTCTCGGGAATTCCGAGATATCATGGGGAGTTGCAGGAAAAGTCCAATATAAAAAGGCGGGGAGGGGGGTGTTAGGGTGAGTCGGTGTTCATTTCACACCCTTAGCACTCCTATACTATTGGACTTTGTGGGACACCCCCCCCAAATGAAATCTCGAAGTCCCCGAGACTGGTTAAATAATATAGGAGATAGGGTGAAATAAAAAAAAAACCGTGTTTTCTGTTTGTTCTGCCCTGTGTTTGTTGGTTCTGTCTCCTGCGCCAACATTGGGGGTTAACAACAGCATAGACGCTGCAGCCTAGCAGACCACGTCCTTCCATGAGACAACTGTGAGTTGTCATTACCCTTGACTCACACACATAGGTCAGGACTGGTACATAGGTAGAGTGGGGAACAGCCATTTTCGTACTCTTGCCAATTTCCCTTTTACTAAGAAACCCTCGGTTTATGGCACGGAAGAGTCTCCCAGCAGCTGCTTTTTGTGTAGCCAGCTCAGCCCTAATGCCTCCATTTCGGTCTAATACAACTCCAAGGTATTTGAACTGGTTAACCTGCTCCAGTACATACTGCCCCATCATGATCTGGTGTTTCTTCTCCTCTCTTGAGATCACCATGGTTTTAGTTTTTGAAATACTGATGGTCATCCCTCTCTTCTCAAGTTCTTCCTTCCAGACAAGTAAGTTGGACTGAAGGTCTGCCTCTTATTTAGCTATCAGGGCCACATCATCTGAAAATGCCAGCTCTGATATACAGATTGGTCTCGTCTTCCAGTTCTTCTTTGTCTTCTCCTTACAGGGCTTGATGACATCATCCATCATAAGAATGAAGAGGTAAGGTGAGAGAATATCACCTTGTCTAACACCGCTGGTGGTCTTAAATTCTTCTGACTTTTGGTCTGCCGTTCTTACATAATGTATGCAGCTTTTGTAGAAACTCTGTATAGTACTGATCAGGGGGGCTGGGATGTTTTTTCCTGCCAAGCAGTCCCAGAGCTTGTTCCAGGGTACCTTGTCAAATGCCTTTTCCAGATCCAAAAAACATAAGTGAATCTCACTCTTATATTCCAGGGCTTTTTCACTCATCTGTCTCAGTGTGAAGATAAGGTCTTGATTACTTCGGTTTGCTCTAAAGCCGCACTGGGCCTCGTCCAGCTGTGGCTCTACCAGACTTCTAAGTCTCTGCTCGAGAATTCTAGAGTAACTTTTACCAGGAACGCTGAGGTATGCCTCTGTGGTTTTCACATTGTCTGTTATCACCTTTTTTAAATATAGGTATAGTGACGGCAATCTCCCAATCTTTTGGTATAGTTTTGCTACACCAGGCTGCCTGGAGAACCTTCAGTAGAAGGCGCTACTTTTCCAAGCTTAATCTTCTCAATAGCTGCCTTTAATTCTTCCATCCTGATGTTATCATCCCTAAGGATGATTTTCTTCTCAGTAGTGAGGTCCGTCATTTTTGGATCATGACTTCCCTCAACACCAAGGAGCTTTGAGAAGTATTATTTCCATTTGTCCATAATATCATTTGTAGTAGTAGGCAGAGCCCCTTCCTTGTCTTTTATGAATTTCAGTGGGCACTCTTTCTCCTTCCTCACGTTCTTGAGGGTCTTGTAGAACAGTTTTTGATTTTCTTTTGCATTATTTTCCAACTTTTCTCCAAACTCTTCCCATGATTTATGTTTTGCTTTAAACACTATATTTTTGACCTCTGTTCTGAGTGCCACATATTGTGTATATTTCTCCAGCTGTGTTCCTGGCTGCCAGGTATTGCTTCCATGCCCTTTTCTTTTCTCCTATTTTCAGTTTGACTTCTTCCATCCACCAAGGTGCCTATTTTCCCCCCTTCCACTTGCTTCTACTGCAGCTGCTGTGAGGATATTCTTGAATCTGCACCAGAGGGTTTCAGTGTCCTCTGATGGTTCTTCTTCAGTTCCTATTGCTTTCATTATAAGCTCCTGGTATCTAGCCCTAATATCTGGCTCTCAGCTTGTATGCCTTAATCCTCATCCCTTCTCGGTTGCTTGGTTTCTTGCATGGTTGTCGGTGTTGCCTTGTTGGAGCAGTTCTTTCAGTTTTTCTCTTTCCTCGATTGTGTAAAGGGGCTGATACCCCTTGCATAAATATTTTTTTCAGATTATTTGTTTATAAATTCATATAATTTTAAGTGTATTATTATATTTATTTGCCATCATGAACACTCCACCCACTTTTGTGTCAAGGTAGTGAGGAGGGCATTGTTGTTTCTTTAATGGATGGGGAGGGGGGAGGTTTAAACCCGAACCCCTCTCCAAATGTTGCCCTCATGGTTTAGGGTCTGGACAACGGATAGTACTGACTGGTGTACTGCTGCAGCGCAGTGATATATAAAGAAATATACTGGTTTTAATTGGCACTCACAGAGAGAAGAAAAAAGATAGGTCAAAATAACTATTGAAAGCTTTAATTACCATACCGAGACTCAAACTGTTATCTCCAAATGAAGACAGTGCCTGAGTGCAGGAACAAGTATACTTTGACTCATGACCAACTCAACACCCCTTATTTCAGTAATTTCTGACCAGGTTAACAGAAGGCAGGTAGTACATACTATTGTTAAAGTGTAGCTCATTCATATCCGACAGCCTAAAAGTTGCTTAATGATTCACTGTTTGTATCTTCAGGTGCTATCACAGGAGGTCTGGAGATCTGCATCACATTCCCCACAGAGTATGTCAAGACACAGCTGCAGCTGGACGAGAAGTTAGGTGTACAGAAGCGTTACAAGGGTCCCATTGACTGTGTGAAAGTTACAGTCAAGGAATATGGCATCAGAGGGTTATACCGGGGTCTTAGTGTGTTACTGTATGGCTCTATACCCAAGTCTGCTGTTAGGTGAGTACACACAGGCAGTGTTTGCTCTCTTGCTGTCACTGTTTATTGGTCAGTCTATTTCTGCAGGGACACGTCTCTGTGTTTCCTACACCGGAACGTTTGCACATATGTTGACAAAGTCTGTTGTGCCTTGTCCTTAGTCTGAATATAACATACTCTCCCTCTCTAGAGAGGTGATGAAGCAGATTTTGATAAAATGATTTGGTGTGTGCATCCAGCCACCTTTCTTGGATGCTAGATTTGTAGTAATGCCTTAGTGGTGTGACGTACATAATTCTTTACTCATCGTCATCATCATCAAGTGCCCTGCCAGCTGGCATAGGTGTTCATGTGTCTCCACAGATCTCAGTCTTTGATGTTCTGGATCAATTCCACTGATGATATTCCTTTATGCTATGCCACTGTCTTAAGCCATCCACCATCATTTCTCTTGGTCTGCCTCTGTCTCTTCTACCAGTGATCTTTCCAGTCGTCACAATATTTTCCAGTGCTCCTTTTCTCATGACAGTTTGTTAATTCCAGGCATCTCCTTCTGAGTTGCAATTTTTCTCTATTTTGAAGCCTCACCCTGGCTCTTGCCAGGGGCCGCAATATAGCCCGACTCTAAATGTGGTCTAATGGCTGAGCGCAGCTTCTGGGACCTCTCCACAGTGATCCTCATCTGCATAGTGGCAGCTTGTGTCATCGGGTGTTTATCGCTTGTGTGATGTCCTGGAAGGGTGAACATCTACTACTAATTCTCATGACATGATCAAAGAACATTGTTTGTCTCCTTTTCATTGTTGTATATAATGTTCTACTTTCATTACCCAGTTTCAGGCAGTCATTGTTAGCTCTTACTCATCTATATTACACAATATAAACCTTTGATTAATGATAATGTAAAGAATATAAGCAGTCAGCTTTATTTATACATCCATTTATATACATGGAATAAACCAAAATAAAGCAGGTCATGATGATCTTTGCATCAGGGCTATTCAGCTAAGCTTATTTACTCTTGGAAAATGGGGATCATCACGGGTCAAAGGCCTAAGCTCCAGCCTAAAAATATTATTAATACAATACAATTGCCAGGTGATCAGCAGGCCACTTGCTAGTTCTGTGCGGGCCAGATTTTGTCTGTGGGCCACTAGCTAGTTCTGTGCAGGCCAGATTTGGTCTGTGGCCTGCCACTGAATAGCTTTGTTTTACATGTTTAGTGGTGAAAAAGGAAGGGGGGGGATTGCATGGTCTCGAGGCATGGAGTCCACCTTGAGTGCTTGAAATCCCGGGTTCAGGCTCCAGTGAAGGCTGGGATTTTTTCACGTGGACTTCTAGTAATTTCCCCTGGTTTCTGGGTGGTAAGAGCAGACACACGTGTGTATTGTTGTGCAGGTAAAAAATCCCTTGGCAGTTGGAAATCGAAAAGAGTAGCCTAACAGCGCGGCACAGGCAAAATTTGCAGTTAAAAATCTACTCAAAATATTTCAGGATCCTTGCCTGTGTCATGGATTTAATGCACTGCGCTGAGATTATTCGGACTCAGGCTTGAGTTAAAAGTAGAACATAGCACTTATGGGTTACCCTTTGTTCCATGATGTTGATACGTTGTTTAAACCTAAACCTAAACATGAATGATGTGTTTGGCTTGCAGGTTTGGTTCTTTTGAAGAGTTCAAGAAGCGAATGGTTGGTGCAGATGGTACCTTGAATGCACAACAGCGATTACTTTGTGGCCTAGGTAAGTGTTGTCCCTAAAAGTATTGTTTCTGTGGTCTGACAAAGAATGATAATTACTCACTTCAGAGATTGGAGATAGTAGTTGGTCCACATCTGTCAGAACACAATCACACCAGTATCTAATGCTGAATAGCTAGAAGAAGATGCTAATTTAATTTTATCGCCCTGAGAAAGCTAAATCCAGTCCCCGAAGATGCAGATATATCGCCATTTCTGCATTGACCTGATTTCAAAACACATAGTTACATGCCATTGGTTCTGTGTATTTAAGAGGCCTGGAAATGAATATTTTAACTAAATATAGCATTTAGAGAAAAAATTCTGCAAGCCTCAGTGATAGATGTCACAGCATGTGTCACCGATACGTATTGTTTAAAAGTTCCTGTAATGTACTCCATTTAATGGTTTACTGTGTTCATGTTTGTTGGTTACCCCTTTATATATCTTTGTATATTTTGAAACAAAGTATTAATTTATCAGCCATCTGTGTAAAATATTTTTTTTTAAAGAATCTTTCTTTTTAAGGAAATTTCCACAGGTTTATGGCTGTTTTCTTTTAAGCCTTCGCATAGTCACAGAGAGTTAATGACTGCATTAATTAACTAAATGTACCTCTGTCTAGTTATCCCTTAATTTCTTAGGTTTCCTTACATATAATGCTGGGGGAAAATGGGGAAGGGGGGGGGGGGGGTGACAAGTTTCCTTCTTTGTCACTTTTCCTTCCCAATCAGTTTCCAGAACAGTCAATGAATTGTGTTCATTGTGGCGGAAAGCGAGGCTGTGATATCCACACCTTTCGGCCCACACACATCTGATTTCAGCAAACACCTACTTGGTTTCTTCTTATGACATGCTTGGGAGGGGGGACAATCTATTATTTTTTCTGCAAAATAGGGCCCTTGAATCCATGGGGAGAAACTGGTTTCTAGTAATTGTCACTAGCTTTGTTGTATCCTTCTGTTTTCAGGGGCCGGTGTCTCGGAGGCCATATTTGCCGTTACGCCTATGGAAACCGTTAAAGTCAAGTTCATCAACGATCAAACGTCAGCAAAACCTCAGTTCAAAGGTTTCTTCCATGGTGTCAGATGTATAGTCAGGGAACAGGGTATGTATCATCATCCTCACCACCACATTCATCAACACCATCACCACCACCATTATTATCATCACCATAATCATCACCACCACCACCACCATCAATTCCTGTAAAGCTAACATTCAAGAAAAAGAAACATGCTGATATTCTGTGGGATCTGAATATTGAAGAAAACTTGTTCATAAGCAAACGTTTACAGTCACCAACTGGAAGGAGAAAGCCAATTACATGGGTGCATGCAGACATCTGCAACGGTGAACCTGAAAAACTTGGAATGCTGAAAAAGTTCTTAAGCATATATTACATGCTCCAGCAGTTTATAAAGAACAAAATTGAAAGGCTTGATTCCTAGTAGAATATGCAGGGGTTGACTAGTGCAAAGGTTGACCAGTGTGAAGGTTGACAAGTGCAAAAATTGACCAGTATAAAGGTTGACCAGTGTGAAGGTTGACTAGTGCAAAGGTTGACCAGTGTGAAGGTTGACCAGTTTGAAGGTTGACCAGTATGAAGATGTTGGAGGCATCTTGGGCATGGGAATCAGGACCAGGGTCTTTCTGGGAGCATCTGAGTGGAGTGTCTTTCTTTAAAGTTCAAAGGAACTTAAGTGATGATAGTGATGATACAACAGTTTGGGAAAATAAGCAGGCAGAAAGACAGGCTGGTTCTGCTCTAATGGGTGGTGAATTTATGCGTAACAAGCTGGGTGGGGTCAAGGTCCTTTGGGAGAAAGTGAACAATGCTGAGGCACAAATAGATCACAAAATACATCATAGATGGAAAGAACAGTACAGCAGGGAGTCTTCTTCATCTTCTTCGCGTTCACCAGCTGTACACTCTGGCGGAAGGTTCTGGTTGCTCGTCCACTACTGAACTGCAGTCCCGCTCCAGAACCTGAGTGTTGCGTGTGCATCAGTTTTATAGATCTCATTCTCTTGAATACAGACTGTTGGCTCCTTGCCTCTCCGGCAGATGCACTCCAACTTCAAAGGAAGCTCCCCAATTAGTCGAATCTTACGACATGCTTTTGGGGAGGCAGTGGGTCTATTCTTGTTTTCCCCACAATGGGGCCCCGGAACCCACACGGGGGACAGCAGGGAATGACCAGGGCATCTGGTTGACATTCTACACTCAGAGGAAATCAAGACTGACATATAATCAAACTGCTACTGGGACCATTGGAATTGGAACTTTTTGCTGGCTACTAAAGATGAGGATGAAGCGCCTGTGGAAATGTGCTGTGGTGTCAGTTGTTTGCTGAACACTCGAAGCTCAGTGGTGATAACAAATTAGGCTTGAAAACATGTCTAGCTTCTTTATATATATATATATTTCAAAATGTAGACTATCGTGTTATTGCATTTTCCTGCATGTAAATCAGAGTTAAGGAGTAGCTGGCCGAGTGCTTAGAGTACTGAGCTGTCAAATAGGAGGCACAGAATCAGTCCCTAGTGAGAGATGAAAATTTTGTTTTCTGTTGGGAGCAAAAATGAATATCCTAACCTTACATTTCATGGCTACTGCATTAGGTATATGACCTTACATTTTCAGACTCTTCCCACCCCCTCCATTCCCCATCCCCCGTCCTACAGGGAAATAAAGGACCCATTTCCATGCCTTTGGGCATATAGGGCTAGATTTATATTTTATAGACCAGTCTGCACTTGATGGGTGATTTAGTCTTTACTTCCCAAAACTTTACCTGGTGCCCATTTAAGACTGGGTCGACCTGGGAGCCTAGGTCATTAAACAAACAAGCTTGGCTCTGTTTGTATTAGGATCCATGACTTTTGGATCCGCAGGCGAATGTCTAGCCCTTAATTCAAATGGTAATAAGACAGTAATATAAAATATGAGAGTATTTGTAACTTGACTGTCCTGTTGCTGTCCTGTCAGGTCTTCGGGGATGCTATCAGGGTTTAACCGCAACAATCATCAAGCAGGGGAGTAACCAGGCCATCCGGTTCTTTGTGATGGAGACTTTGAAGGACTGGTATAGAGGAGAGGACAAACAGATGAAAGTCCCAACTCTAGTCACAGGCTTGTTTGGGGCCATTGCAGGAACAGCTTCAGTCTACGGCAACACCCCCATAGATGTCATCAAGACCAGGATGCAGGTAGGTGGAACAGCACACCAGAGTTATCATCTTTAGAATCATATCCTTGTAGGTTCCATGGCCTCGTTTTGAGGGAAAAGGAATACCCCCCACCCCCCTTTTCTCCTTGCCGTTCACAGGCTGTAAACTCCGGCGAAGAGGTCAGGGTTTTTTCCCCCTAGAACTTGAGTTTTTTGTGCACATCTGTTTTACAAATCTGGCTTATTTGTTAAATTAATTCAAGAACTAACATCACAGTACTCGAGGCATTCCTAAAAGCGCTCTGTCCCCATCTTCAGCAGCCAGCGTAGAGTTCCAGTACTAATGGTACCAGGAGCATTCTGATTAAACATCCGTCTTGCCTTTCCTCTGAGCTGCTAGCATCGGTTAGAACCCCTCGTCACTCCCCCCCCCCTCCCTCCGCTGCATCAATCTCACTAGACTGGGGATCCATCTGTTCCTCTGAAGTTTACACGCTCTCCCACAAGGCCCCAACCACGTCTGCCTTATGCTTATTTGTAAAATAATCCAACTGATCTCTAACAACCTGCTAGCTTGTTGTAAAAAAAAAGTGACTAATGGTTTGCTGAAATCAGATGTGTTGGGTCAAAAAGAGCAGATATCACAGCCTAGCTGTAAACCACAACAGTCTGTGAGCCACCCTTTTAAGATTGAATGCAGAAGATTAGGAAACATATCCATTCTGTGTCATGCTGAGAATGGAGGTTCTAATACAGCACACTGTGGTGTGTACTAAATTCTTGGCTACCATCATTGTGTTTCCTTTAATGCTGTCTTCGTATCTGTAGGTCTTAAGGAATTATTCAGTCAAAAAAGAATTTGCATTAGTGCATTTGGGGCATTCCTTTACACACTCATTAGCCCTTGGAGTTTCCTTGATGAAGTTACTAATGGTTACCTGATTAAAAGGTGGTCTGTCTTTTACCCTTTGTATCAGGTGTCATCCAAAATTTCTTCTCACTCCTAGTAAAACATCAGACTTCTCTTTTCTTCTTCGCATTCACCGGCTGTAAACTCCCGGCGGAAAGTTCTGGTTGTTCAACTACCTCTGGACTTTTATAGACTCGTTCCAGAACCTGAGTGTTGCATGCACATCCGTTTTACAGATCTGACTTATTTGTATGCAGACTGTTGCTTCCTTGCCTCTCAGGCAGACGCACCCCAACTTTGAAGGAACCCCAATTAGTCAACTCCTACGATATGTTTGTTGAGGAGGCAGTGGGTCTCTTCTTGTTTTTCCCACAATGGGGTCAAGGACCCACAAGGGGGAAATCTTTGGACCAAAATAAAGCCATCTAGAACAGAAAAAATGTCTACTTTTCTTAGTTCTTGAGGTTTCATTGTGTACCTTCATGTGTGAAAAGCATCATATCAAATGCTATCCTTTTTTTTTTCCCCATTGTAATTAATATGGATAGAGGGCATTTATACCTTTCTGGCTTGATATTGAACATTCTGAAGATGTGATACAGCCGGTCTTTGATATCATCTTCAGCGATCTCTGGTGATGGGCTTAACCCTTTGGAGATGACTTGGCCGATCTGTCAGCCAAACAACAAAATGGCCAAAAATATGACCTGGCCAATCCATTGGCCCGATAATACAAGCCTTGAGATTGGCTGGCAGGTTTTTGTATCAGCCGATCAGATTGCTTCTCGCATTTCTTGCACATGTGAGCTGTTTGTTCTATGATGGCTTTCATGAAAGTTTGTGTTCTGTAATTTCACATGGATTTTGTTTCTCTGGGTTTTGCCTGTGCCCAACAATAGCGAAAAGGACTGTTGCATCATAGCAACCAAAACATAGCAGGAGGCAGGAGAATGTGTAGAACCATGTGCTAGAGGTGTCTGGAGGGCCTACATGGGCCTTGCTTCCCAAAACACAAGTGCTAGGACATTCTAGTTTCATTCATCAGAAAATTTAGCCAGATTGTTCAGTTTAGTCATGTCTGTCATAAGTAATTTAAAAAAATGCATACATAAATATACAGATTCGATAGCTAATTTGAATAAATTTTGATACGTCAGTGTGTTTTATAAAGATTATGTCAGTTCATTTAATTTCCATACATATAGTTTTGTATATTTTAATTGAACAATTAATATTTTAAAAACATATTTTTAGTAAGTGTAAATTAAGAGAACCCCTTCCTGAAGGCTCCGTCTGCTTGGCACTAAAACTCCAAATAAGACTCCATCTCCAAAGGGTCGATCCACTATGGGCCATAAACTGAGATGTTAACTCGAGATCTCTCAGATTTCCTTACAGCTTGGTTTTTCAGGTCTTCTGATCAGTTACTAATTGTAGACCTGTTCGAGATGTGGGACGAATTCTGGCTGTTACCTGAGGTGGTTGTGTCATAACAGGATTGGTACTTTCGCATGGCCACATAGTTGTCTGTACTTACGATTCCTTCCCACTAAAAATGATTGACACATCCCATTTCTGGGAACATATTTTTTCAGATTTTTTTTTTTTAAAGTTTGCTATTTAGACAATTGCAGTCCCCTGCTAAGAAGACTTGTCTTCCCGGAAGTGAAAACATAATTTTATGGTTGTTGTGATAACAATCTGATTGACTCAGGTAGAACTGTTTGCTTTACTGTTCTTGGGTAATCGCTCAAAATTGCAGAAGTGTGTGTGTTTTAGTCGCTTCATTGTACCTGTAGCCTAGAAAGAGCCAAGAGTTATGCACTCAACTAGGTCACTTACAGAGTGACCTTTCCTGGCCAGTCAAATTCTCTGGTTAGTTGCGCATCCTTTACAGGACATTGCGGAACCAACCCCAGCAGCCCCTGGCTGTTGTGTGGTTTCTCTAGGCAAATTTACGTCCATTAGCTTGCCATTGCTTTCTGGACTGTCGGCCCCTGATACCACTGACAAAACCAACGCAGGGCGCAAGTCCAACAGCTGAGATCGAACCTGGTAGCCCGGCATTACGAAGCGTTCGCATCAACTTAGCCACAGAGCCGACAAGTCAAATTAAGTTACAAAACCATTTAATTCATGCCAATACACCATTTTAAATTTTTTTAATTATTAATAGCATATTTATTCCAACATTAAGCTACCAGTGCCAAACATGGACACTGTCTAAAGCCCATATACGCAAAATTACCACCTGCGAGATGAGGTGCATGAGAAAAGCAGCCAACCTAACCATACAAGATCGAGTGAATAATGAAACTATCAGGCAAATTGTGGGAACGGCACCTTGTACTAGATTCATTGAGAAACAGCAGATCAAGTGGTTTGGCCATCTCGTTAGAATGCAGCAAGATCAAATACCATCACAAGCACTACATCTCAGAAGACCAACTACAAGAGCAAGAGGACGGCAGCGGAAAACATGGATCGACAACATTAAAGACACTCTACGCCTTCACGGCATGACAATAGCCAGTGGCAGCCAACGTGCACTGGAACGCAAATTATTCCTCCCCATAACGCTCAACGGCAGAAGTGGTTTATGATGATGATGATGATTCATGTTCCGGACACAGAACAGATTACTCAAGTAGCACTGGCTCCTTGCAGGAGACCATGAGTGAAAGCAATAAGAATTCTTAACGGTCAACATCTGAATACAATTGACCCCTTCCTATTTAGCCATACATATCAAACTTCAGTACTTGAAAGAGATGCAGATGTGTTTTCTAACCTGCTTGCTTGTTTGCAGGGGTTGGATGCTCATAAGTACAAGAACACCTGGGATTGTGCCGTCAAGATTATGAAACATGAGGGACCCAGAGCGTAAGTAACTTCTTGAATTTTCTTTATAGCTGTTTTTACCCTAGAGTATGCCAGAAATGCTAGTCCAAAACATCATCATCTTTACTGGTTAAAGGATCATTTTTCATGCCTTCAAGTGTGTTGGGCATATAGGGCTAGACCTGTATTTTATAGACCAGTCAGCACTTGGCGAGTGATGTGGTCAGCATCACGCCGGCCGCCTTTATTTCCCAGGACGTTACCTGGTACCCATTTAGGGCTGGGTCGACCTGAGATCCAAGGTCATTTTTGAAAACTTAAAATCCAGCTTTTTTCGGATTTAAACCCACGAACTTAAGATACGCAAGCGAGTAGTTAAATAAACAGTTGAATATAAATTAAATCCAAGAAACTGGTTTACATGTTTCTTTTAGATGGATGTTTTTTCCTCCCTGATTTTAACATCTGTCTTCTGAACTTGCTCTTCTACAGGTTTTACAAAGGTACCGTCCCTCGACTCAGCCGTGTCACCTTGGATGTCGCCATCACATTTATGATCTACGACAACTTCATGCATTTCTTCAACACCGTGTGGAAGACGTAATGTGGCCAAACTTGGCCAGCTTGTGACCGATCCACCGAGTTATTTATCAGGAGTGCCAAAATAATACCATTTCCTACTGGGTCCCTGTCTGCTGATTGTAGTTGTAGAAATATCGGCTCTGCTGATTGTGTTCTAATGTTCATTTTGTAAATCTAAATTTATTGTTTTTCCTTGTTTTGTTCTTTTCATTTAGAACTGCCAGGTGGTGTGTAAAAGATATTGTTTTCTCTGCTGTTTTCTGAACTGCACAAAAATCTGTCAGGCGGAATATTATTTTGTAGCAGTATGTTTTTCTTTTTCAAATGATTAGTTTTTGTTGGCATTTCAAACTATATTCAGATTCTTTCATTGCTTTCTGTTTTACAAGTTTTGTTTTCATACTAGGTGCATGAAAATGGCTTCTCTGGCCAGGGTAAAATGCATACAGGACTTTGAGGGCAAAAAAATATGTGGTATTTTTGTATCATGTAAACCATATGTATGTTTTCAATCTTATGTTAGTATCTTGACATGCAATCTTTTTTGTTTTTTTTTTTGTTAGTGTTTTTATATGTTGTCCTAACTTGCTTAGCTGTAGTGTTTCAGTATGGGATATCTGAAAGAGCATAAGAAAGATTAACGCTGCTGTTTAACCACACAATATGATTATATATTACATAATATTCATTTTGACTGTAGTAATTGTGAATAAGACCATAACAGCAATGTCCATAAGAAATCAACACAACTGCTCATACCTTCTTCTTCTTCTTCTTTTTCTACTTCTGTTGTGATCCCATTAGCAGGGCAGTTGGCTTGTTATAGTTTAATTACAGCTAGGCTGTGAGATCTGTGCCTTTTGGCCCAACACATCTGATTTCAGCAGACCCTTAATTAGTCTGTCGCTTTCGATGACCTACTTGTTAGGTTGCAATGGGTCAGTTCTTTTTTCTCCCAAAATGGGGTCCCGCAACCAACATGGGAATTGAATTTATATGACAGGGGTGTGTGCCACTTTTAGCATAAAATATATATATAAGTAATTAGATAAGAGAGGGTGTATGCGAAGGTAGCAGTTCTTGGGTACTGAGAACAAGAACACTGGGAGGGAAGCCAAAGAAGAATAGTAAACAAACACAGTCCCGGTGTGGTCAGCTGCTACACGCTGCAGGATTTCCTGAAGAGGGGATCCGAGCACTTATGGACTGATTGGTTTGATGTGTAGTAAGAGAAGATCTATTATCGAACTAGCTGATTTCTTGTACATTTAGAGTTAATAGATCCTCGTTAGCCTTAGTTGATGTGCATAGACTGTCTCATTGTGCTGTGTTAGATTACTTGTAGTTGTTGTTAATGCATTTGTGACCATAATATTTTGTTTTATGGAGTGAATAGATTTGTGATTGTAGCATATTGTTGTATGAAGTTTGTAGAGTTGTCATCATAACATTTTGTTGTTTGAAGTTGGTAGGTTTGTGATTGTGATATTTTGGGGTATGAAGTTGATAGATTTATGATTAATTTTTTTCTTTGTACTAAGTTGATGGATTTGTGGGTGTGTGTGGTATCATTTTGTGTTTATCACTTTGTTGTGATTTTTATCTTTTGTTGTGTGAAGATTATAAATTTATGATTATAAAATTTGTTGGTATGACGTTGGTAGAATTGTAAATTGTTACCTCTTGAATGAAATTGACAGATTTGAGACTGCAATCTTTTCTTGTAGAAAAATTATAGATACGTCACAGTAATCTGGTTTGTTTGTATGAAGTTATTGGGAGCACTGTTGGGCCATCTACTAGGGGATTACTAGGGGATTAAAGAGTTGCCAGTGCTGTGAGATTTTTTGAGTACATTATGTATATATACGTATGGATCCTCATGTTACATTCACGTAAAGTGTTCATTTGTACAAGAGCTAAGCATAATTGCCAGTACGTGACTTTCTCTTATTTTGTCTGCACATTTCTGACAATATATTTTGATGTTAGCGTTGTATTCCTTGTTTAAGTAAGTATATCCTGTTAATTTTGTCATGTTTCGTGTTCATTTATTTAATCTACCAGCCACTGTCTTTTCCAAAAGTCAGTACCCTCATAAAAGAAAGAAACAGACTGGGCAACCATGATAAAATATTTCCTTAATTATTTGAACAGAGCAGACCAATTTACCAAATTTTGTCAACAACTTATATAAATTAAGTGTGAAACAAACAGCTCTCTGCCAGTGTCTTTGAGCTGAACAGATCCAAGAACATATCTTGCAAGACTGTCCTCTTCTGGACAGCTGCAGATCAACATGTGGTCACGCCCAGTTGACCTGACAACCAAGCTTTGGGGAAATGTAAGATACCTAGTTGATGGACCACAGTGGAATAAGTGCATGACCAGATATTGCTGATGAAGAAGTGTTCATTTGTTTAAATATCTCCTGTTCATTATGTTTTATATTGTGTTCATTTATTCTACACATGCCCTTCTTGTGTGTTAGTATTATCTACTATTGTTGATGAAATATCTAGGTGTGTGTGAACACACATGTATGGGTACTAAATTCATTTATAATATAACTTGTTTTGTTCCATTTCTTTATTGTTTACTTTGTATATTTTGTTATAATAAACAGAAGTAACGCCTTCTGGTGTTTTGGGCATATAGGGCTAGACCTATATTTTATAGACCAATTGGCACTCGGTTGGTGATGTGGTCAGCATCACGCTGGCCGCCTTTACCTCCCAGAACTGCACCTGGTACCCACTCAAGTCTGGGTGGACCTGGAAGCCAAGGTCATTTTTGAAAAAAGTCGGGCTCCGTCAGTATTTGTTTTTTTTAAACTGCATGTTTTATTAAGCAACTTGTTAGTCGGGGATCCGCCACTGTCTCTTTTGAAATCTAGTGAAAAACATTTGACTCCCAGCAAAATCTTGAAGCTTGCACATGCGTAGTAAAAATGCAAACATAAAAGCATACAAAATTACAGTGCAGATCTGATAAAGAAAACTCAAGAAATAGTTCTGACAAGAAATTCCTCTTATCCAGATACAATTTCAAGCAAGAAAAATTGGTGGGGTTAAACATATTGTTCTTCACAACATAAATTTCTCACATCCCAGATTGCCTTAAGTGGTCTGTACTGTATTTGGTTTCTGCCTCGTCCAGTGGTTTTTAAAATGTGTGTTGTCAATTAACGATATAACTAGGATATCCTTACACTGGAATCCACAAGGTCAAAGGAATACAGGCAAACCAAACAACAGATGGAGAAGGGAATAGGAGAATGAAGTGAGAAATATAGAGGGTATGGGGTTAAGGTGCATGCCATAGCAAACAGTTGGACAACCTGGCATGAGATGGTTGAAGGCTTATGCTTCCTTATGGGATCTGCTTCTTTGTGTTCACCAGCTGTAAACTCTTGCGGAAAGTTCTGGTTGTTCATCCACCTCTGCAATTTAGTCTTGCTCCAGAACTTGAGTGTTACGTGTACATCCGTTTGACCTATTATTTCTATGAAGAATGTTGGTTCCTTGTCGCTCAGGCAGAAGCACTTTGTCATCAAAGGGAACACGCTAATTAGTCGACTCTTAAAACATGCTTGTTAGGCAGTAGGTCTGTTCTTGTTTTCTCCAACACATTTGGTTGTGGCTTTAGTGTTCTTGTTTGTGTTGCTGAGCAAACTCCTTGTTCCAGTTATTAAATCTGATTCTTGTTCTCTTTTTTTTTTTTTTTGTGTGGCTTTCTTCCTCTTCTTCTGTGTTCGTCCTTAAGAATTGTTGGCACATTGTATTGTGGTTTACATCTAGGTCGTGATATTTGTGCCTTGCGGTCCATCATATCCAATTTCAGCAAACCATAATTAGTCACTTGTTACATCTTGCTTGTTATGGGGCAGTAAGTATATTTCCCCCCCCCCCCCCCCCCCCCACATTTTTTCTTCTTTTTAAAAATGGTGGCTTCAGAAGCCACAGGAATACTGTGAAATTCAAACCTCAAGCGAGGTGCAGACAGCAACATTTTAGGGATAACGCTGTACATATCAGAGCTATAGCCCTGGTCGATAGTAACGAATCTTTGACGCTAACATGATGACATGATCTTGGAGTGAAGTACGTCGGTGCCTTCTTTGAGGCCAAGATAGGAGATGTTAAAATGAACTTCTCATGGACAGAACAAACACAGAAGAGATACCTTGGATATGTATGCAAAACTCTGGTTCTGGAATAAGGGAAAAGCCCAGAAGTGGATGAACAACCAGAACTTTCCCCTGGAGTTTATAGCCAGTGAGCGCACAGAAGACTTGTGACCTTGTATGTGAACAGCAACAGGAGGCTTTAGGCCGCAGTTCATTGCACTCCCAATCTGAAGGGATCAGTATCCACTGCAATGTAAACAGCAACAGGGGGCTTCAGGTCACAGTTTCTGGCACTCCCAGGGATCAGTATCCGCTCCCATGTAAACAGCAACACGTCAGGTAACAGTTTCTTGCACTCCTAGGGATCAGTATCCGCTGCCATGTAAACAGCAACACGTCAGGTCACAGTTTCTGGCACTCCCAGGGATCAGTATCCGCTCCCATGTAAACAGCAACACGTCAGGTCACAGTTTCTGGCACTCCCAAGGATCAGTATCCGCTGCCATGTAAACAGCAACACGTCAGGTCACAGTTTCTAGCACTCCTAGGGATCAGTATCCGCTGCCATGTAAACAGCAACAGGGGGCTTCAGGTCACAGTTTCTGGCACTCCCATGGATCCGTATCCGCTGCCATGTAAACAGCAACACGTCAGGTCACAGTTTCTGGCACTCCCAGGGATCAGTATCCACTGCCATGTAAACAGCAACACGTCAGGTCACAGTTTCTGGCACTCCCAGGGATCAGTATCCGCTACCATGTAAACAGCAACACGTCAGGTCACAGTTTCTGGCACTCCCAGGGATCAGTATCCGCTGCCATATAAACAGCAACACGTCAGGTCACAGTTTCTGGCACTCCCAAGGATCAGTATCCGCTACCATGTAAACAGCAACACGTCAGGTCACAGTTTCTGGCACTCCCAATGATCAGTATCTGCTACCATGTAAACAGCAACATGTCAGGTCACAGTTTCCGGCACTCCCGATCTGAAGGGATCAGTATCCGCTGCCATGTAAACAGCAACACGTCAGGTCACAGTTTCTGGCACTCCCAAGGATCAGTATCCGCTACCATGTAAACATCAACACGTCAGGTCACAGTTTCCGGCACTCCCGATCTGAAGGGATCAGTATCCGCTACCATGTAAACAGCAACACATCAGGTCACAGTTTCTGGCACTCCCAGGGATCAGTATCCGCTCCCATGTAAACAGCAACACGTCAGGTCACAGTTTCTGGCACTCCCAAGGATCAGTATCCGCTGCCATGTAAACAGCAACACGTCAGGTCACAGTTTATGGCACTCCTAGGGATCAGTATCCGCTCCCATGTAAACAGCAACACGTCAGGTCACAGTTTATGGCACTCCTAGGGATCAGTATCCGCTCCCATGTAAACAGCAACAGGGGGCTTCAGGTCACAGTTTCTGGCACTCCCAAGGATCCGTATCCGCTGCCATGTAAACAGCAACACGTCAGGTCACAGTTTCTGGCACTCCCAGGGATCAGTATCCGCTACCATGTAAACAGCAACACGTCAGGTCACAGTTTCTGGCACTCCCAATGATCAGTATCTGCTACCATGTAAACAGGACGACTTTCTTAATTAGTAACACTTTATTTTTGTAACCAGACGGAATGGCCACATGAAGGATATGAGTGATGAAAACTTGAGTGAGATGGCTTTCTATTTCAACGAGAGCATCAGAACAGCGTCAGTTCCCCAGGATTGGGTGCACAGTTATTTAATACATCTTCCAAAACCAGGCAAAGATCATTCGGGACTCAGCGGTTTCAGTATTATCACTCCCCCGTGTGGGTTCCGGGGCCCCATTGTGGGGAAAACAAGAATAGACCCGCTGCTTCTCCAAAAGCATGTCGTAAGAGTCAACTAATTGGGAAGCTTCATTTGAAGTCGGAGTGCATCTGCCAGAGAGGCAAGGAACCAACTGTCTGTATTCAAGAGAATGAGATCTGTAAAACTACACGCAACACTCAGGTTCCAGAGCAGGACTGCAGTTCAGTAGTGGACGAGCAACCAGAACTTTCCGCCGGAGTGTACAGCTGGTGAACGCGAAGAAGAAGTATTATCACTCTTCAAAATACTTTTGTCAAGGTGCTTGAGAATATTTATTGTTGTTAAACTGCAGCCTTTTTTTTTAGAGAAATGAAAAAGCTTTTGCCAAGAGGTTTGGCAGATACTGACCAGGGAAAGATACCTGGTCAAATGCGGCCACGTTTGCCTCTGATGTTTGTGAGTGGTTCCAGCATAGACTGGTGACAGATGGTGGTGGCGACTTTGATCTTGAGGATACTTACAATAGTCAGATATGATTGTTTGATGTTTACGCTCATGGAGAAGGGGGTGTGTCCCTGGCTGGTGGCCTGAATAGCAGCTGTCGTGCATTCACGTAAAGTCGCTCTCCGCCTGGGCACATGGACCTCAGAAGCATACAATATCGTCCCGGTACTACCCCAGGGGTCGGCTCTGTGGCTAAGTTGACGCGAACGCTTCGTAATACCGGGTTCGATCCCAGCTGCGAGCCATGCGCCTTGCATTGGTTTCGACAGTGGTATCAAGAAAGCCGACCATCCAGAAAGCATTGGCAAACTACTGGACGTAAATTTGCCTAGAAAAACCAAACAACAGCCAGAGGCTGTTGGGGTTGGTTCTGCAAAGTCCTGTAAAGGATATGCAACTAACCTAACTACCCCAGGGTCCTCCAATTGCACAAGTTCTCTTCAATGTGTTTGCAAGCAGGATTGCAGAACTTGAAGTACCAGGTGTTGGAAGGATATTGACACTTGCAGATGATGTTCTTGCATATAGGTAGGGGAGGGATAGACAACAGATAGCACAAGAACTACCGGCAACTGTAGACAAAGTGACTGACTGGTGTGCAGAAATAGGTATTGTCATCAACTCAGAAAAGGTAGCTGTTTTATGGTGCGGTCTTGACAATTTAATTGTAAGAACTGATATTCCGAGTCTCACAATTAAGGACAGAAACATCAAAAGAGAAAGCAAATTGAGATAACCGAATATCACTTTCGATAGAAGCCTGTCCCTCAGGGATCACGTGAAGGCAGTTGCGGTAAAATACCATGAAAGACTCAATGCTCTCAAGATTGTGGTAGCAGTGGACATGGAACGAAGAATGCTGTTCACAATGTTCCAGCATGTGATCCTGATAGATTATGGACTTGGAATGCTTACCATATCACATTGTCAGCTGATTAAACTTGAACGCATACAGAATGAAGCCAAACGGGTAATTATGGCATGTTCAAGAGAAACCTCGATACTAATGCGATATATACTTGCACTGCCGACTATTACAGATGGGCTCAAAGTTCTGCAAGCGAAGTCCTATCTCAGTGTAGCTGCAGATAAGAATCACCTCCTGTGTGAAGAGCTAGACAGGGCTAAGGGTCACAGACTAAAAAGAGGAAGGTCTTTTCAAGCTTTATTCGGCTTAGTCACCTCAGAGACAGGTTTACAACAGCTTCCCCAACTGCGCAGTCGTTGCCTCCAGAACGTCATGTGTCTGATCAAACTGTTCGGAAGAGACTGCATGACGTTGGACATTGGGCACGACGACCACACAGAGGACCTGTCCTTACGCGTCGCCACCGCAAAAATCGACCTTTTTGGACAACCAACATCGCCCCTGACAGAGGACAGTCAGTGGGGACGTGTCTGGTTCAGTGACGTTTTTTTCTTCTTTTTATAGCAGCATCATAATAGACTGTGTAGGTTCTACCGTACCTTCCATTAAATACAGGTTTAGTTCAAAATTGTGTTAATGAAGCTCTGCTGCACGGGGATGGTGTAATGGCGTGGGAGGAAAATGTGTATATATATGTTCCTTTCAGGAGGTATGCGTTTATTATTTTGTTTAACAGTATACAAGCAGACTGCTACTGGAACCATTGGAATTGTAACTCTGCGCTCGTTGCTGAAGATAGGGACGGTGCGCTTATGGGAATGTCCCGAGTTCTGTGATATTGATTCTTAAAGAATGATAAACACCTGGGCGGGTCTTGCTAATCACATTCGCCCAACTCCCATTTCTCTGTGTAGCTCACTCAAGTAAAAAGTCAATAAAGTACCATTTCCCACGCATTCAGGCGTATTGGGCATATAGGGCTAGACCTATATTGTATAGATCTTGAAGAGTGATGTGGCCAGCATCACACCGGTCGCCTTTACTTCTCAGGACTGCATCTGGTACCCACCCACTCAAGGCTCGGAGCCAAGACCATCATTATCAAGTGCCTTGCCAACTGGTGTAGACGATCATACATATTCACAGATCACGGTCTTCGGTGTTCTGGATCAATTCCACTGATGATATTCCTCCATGCCACTGACTTAAGTCATTTCTCTTGGTCTGCCGCTACCTCTTCTGCCAGTGATCTTCCCAGTAATCACAATATTTCCCAATGCTCATTTTCTCATTACATGACCAAAGAACTTTGTCTCCTTCTTATTGTTGTGTATAATATTCTACTTTCATTGGCAATTTTCAGGCAACCATTGTTAGTTATTCTGACAGTCCATGGTATTTGCAACATTCTTCTCAAGAACCACATCTCACTTGCCTCCAAACGAGCCAAGGTAATTAAAAAAAAAAAGTCCGTCGTTGTCAGGACCTGAACTCCCAACCCGCATGCGAGCGTCTAAATGTAGCTCCATATATGTAGAATACTACTGTATAGAAAGATGAGAAGGCATCAACCAACAACAAAACTCAGACTTATGGGGCGTTATAAAGACACATACATAAAACTCTTGTGTTAATATTAAGCTATGCTGAATGGCTTATAATGTGTGCTTGAAACAGAGACCAAGTGTGTAACATTAAAGTCAACATCGATTTATAAGTAATTTTTATCTTTTATCAAGTTTATTTAAATGCTATTTTAAAAAAAATTACAAAAAATATAATATTATGAATAAAACTTAGCTAAATATAAATTTCCAATTATTTTGTGTCAAAGGAGAACGAGGTTGCTTTGAGAGTATTCAGAAGAAAAACAAACATGGCCGGCTTCGGGTCATCAGTTTGGTTGAGGTCTTTGCGACCGTTTTTCTCCGCACCCGCAAAGTCTCAGATAACGCCGCTGGCCGTGAGGTATGCATTGTTTGTCGATGTTATAATATTACATGTAACATTCCCGCCGAAGCAGGGGGTATTGAATGGAAGGTGCTGGAATATTTGTTTACACAGGTCGCTTGGTCGGCCAGCTTTGACCTTGACCCTGTGAGGTTGTCGGCGACCACTCGGGGAAGGAATGTCCAGGGGAGAGATAAGCGGCCACAGGCTGCATGGAACAGATGGTCGGCCGTGACAGACTTGTGGAAATTAAACAGCTTTGGTTGCTGTGAAAGTGGAAAAAGAAGCCAACTGACGTTTAAAGGTCACACCTACAGACATTGAAATGGTAGAAAACTTGTCTTCTGAGTGAGGAAAATACTAGGCAAGAGAGGCAGAAAAAGACAAAAGAAAGGTGAATGTGGAAAAGCCTAACCTGTCAAGCTGCAAATAATAATTTAAACAACACAGATTTTCCTAAAATAGTAGATGATAAAGAACAGGGTTTTTCAACTAAGTTTACTCAGGGGCCAACAGTTTGAAAATGGAGATTGTCATGGAACAGAGGCAGGAGCCATAGAGAACATTTGGCTATCCTCCGAATAACGGTCCTAAATTATCGAGGCGGAAATATACCCTTACAGGGCCTTAAGTCACGTGTCAGTTGCGCACTTCCGGGGACTATAACGCCACTGCCGAATTGAGAATTTCCGGGGACTATACCGCCACTGCCGAGAGTATTCCCCACTCCGCTCATGCGGCGTGGATTGGGGCTAAACTAGATGGCTAGGACTCACGAGCAAATAAAATGAAGGAAGCTGCAGGAGATGCGGTAGCTGCTGCTCGTGAGTCCCAGCCATCTAGTTTAACCCCAATCCATGCCACATGAGCAGCGTGGGGAATACTCGCGGAAGTGCGCAATTTAAGACGACTGAAGTGACACGTGACTGAGGCCCTGCCTCGATAATTTAGGATCGTTATTCCGAGGATAGCCGAACATTTTTACAACTGGTTATGATGTGCGAGCCACTTGCTAGGCCTCCTCTGCAGGTCTGATAAAGAGGATTGAATTGTCCATATGTCTTCTCTAGACCTATACTGAAGTACCATTATAATTACACTGACTATGTAAAATAATAAATGATGTAAGTTACTGTGCTGTTAATAAGTTAATAATGACAGAAGATTCACAAACAAATATATGCAGTCAAAACATACACCATAAACACACATACCACATGTATATTTCATATACCAGAAAAGTGAATTCCACTAGTACCTCATTCAAGTTCCTAAATCCCCAATAGAGATATTAATTTTATTGTTATTTAATTGTGAAAAGAAAATACCAGGGTTTGAAATGTTCCCCGTGTGGATTCCGGGGTCCCATTGTGGAGAAAACAAAAAATGAATTCACTGTCTTCCCCAACAAGCATGTCATAGGAGTAGACTAACTGGGAGCTTCTTTCAAAATCAGAGTGCTTGTGCCCGAGCAGCAAGGAGCAACCAGCTACATGCAAGTAAGCTAGAAAAACAGATGTACATGCAAAACTCAGGCCCTGACACAAAGCCAGATTCCAAATTGACGAGCAACCAGGACTTTCCGCCAGAGCCTACAGCTGGTGGACACAGAAGAAGAAGAAATACAGAAGGGAATGCAGTACCAATTATAGATCCAAGGAAACCTGCATCTGAGGTCACCTGAGGTCAAATTTGTGGCCTTCAGACGTGTGTGACTTTCTGCCTCATAAGATCTATGCAGACTGTTGGTTCCATTCCTCTCAGGCAGATGCATTCCAACTTCAAAGGAAGCTCCCAATTAGTGGAGTCTTAGACATTCTTTTGGGTGGGCAGTGGGTCAGTTGCAGCAGTTCTCAGTCTGTGGGTCACGACCCTTTTGTGGGTCAAACGACCCTTTCACAGGGGTCGCCAAAGACCATAGGAAAACTCATATTCACTGAAGTTATAAAGTAGCAACGGAAATAATTGTATGTTTGGGGGTGCCCACAACATGAGGAACTGTATTAAAGGGTCGCCAAATTAGGAAGGTTGAGAGCAACTGGTCTGTTGTTTTCCCTGCAATGGGACCCTGGCACTCACACACAAGGGGGGGGGGGGAATTTGGCTTAATGTGAGACTTAGTCTGCTACTTGAGGGAAAGACTTTGAGTAAGTAAACAAAAAAAAAAACTTCACAAGTCTGCAAGAATGTTGAAAAATAGACATAAGCTGTTAAGAGTTTCTGAGAATAGAGACAATGAAAATAAATAGTAATCGGAAAGGGGGGGGGGGCAGAACCCTGTATGCGTTCTGGGGGCTCCATTTTTATGTCCCGAGGAGGAAGGGGTGGTTTGGAAAACCCTCTGTCCCTTTCCAGTAGTCATGTCATAAAAGAAAACTAAATAGTTGTTGGCAGAAGTCAGTTGTTTGGGCTGAAAGGTGCGGGCATCACAGTTTAGCTGTAAACCACAGCATGCTAACTGACCTTTTAAAAAAAAGTGAATGCAAAAGAAGAAGTTAGGAGTTGCAAGAGAAGGCAAAGATGTTGCAAGGGATGATTGAACGACTGTTATATTAAATATAAAAAAAATAAAAACAGCAGAAGAATGTAGTTCTTATCATTTGATATGTGCAGATGCAATGATGACTGGATGCTCTTGGTAAGTTGGTCAAAGTTTCAACTTCATGGCAAATGGGGCATCTTATAACTGCTCTGTTCCCATGCCACAGGAATCACACAAAATGTACTTCACTGCCCCCTTTCTGAATTAGTGAATAACACATGAGTTCCACTAAAATTTAGAAGTTCACACATGCCAAGTAAATGCATAAGGCAGACACTCCTAATAGTACCTAAAACCTCATTGTCATAATAATAAATAATACTGGTTTATTTATACTGACAGATTTCGAAATATCAACACCACTTCTGCCTTACTGAAAGATCGGGACGATGATGACGACTCTGCTAAAGGCTGGTTCAGCAGACTCAAGAAGACACCTCAGCCTGAGCAGTCCCATTCCATGGCCTTATCTAGCAAAGAAACCGTCTATGAAATCCAGTGTAAGTCAGAGGTATCTGTTGGTGTTGTTGATTACACAATTTCTATGTTGTTTTATCAGACCAGTGACATTCTTTTTGCAGGTCCTCGACAGCTGTTCCAGGGACTTGCAAGTTGGTGGCAGTTGGAGAGGCATGCAGTAACTTTTTCTGGTGTTTTAAAATGCACCTGAAGAGAATATAGTGACCTGTCTGCAATGAAATATGTGTTTATGAAACCCTATATAAGCTTACTGTGTCTTTGAAACTCTGCATAAGCCTGTATATAATAAAACGCAGAATAAGTTTGTATATCTGTGTGACCTAGTATAAACCTATGTGTCTGTGAAACCCAGTGTAAGCCTGTGTGTCTATGAAACCCAGTATAAGCCTATATGTTTTTGAAACCCAGTTCTGCAGCTAAGCTTAGGATCTACTTCTGGACTCCCACCTGTTAGTACCATCTGGAATACAATCTGGAACCCTGGCAGGGAATTCAAACAGAAAATTATACCACAGTCTGACTAAAACTTTGGGGAGGGACTAAGTTGAAATCGTAAAATTTGACCATTTTGGGTTTCCGTACATAATTCACGATTATTCATAGTAGAAAACAGCTGTGCAAACGGGGTTTAAAAAGGAGTATGTTTTAAAGCTGTATTTCTGCATTTGCTGAAGTATGTATAACTTATTTATCGGAGTTTTAAAGCTCATTACATATGCAAAAACTTAAAAAAATTGTTTCTCCACTTGTAGTTGACTTAGAGACTTCATTTAAGTTGTATATTGTTCCGTTTTACAAGGCCTATACAATCAATTTGTATGGCTTACAGCCTAAAAGACAAATTTTCATTGGTCCGTTTATTGAAGAAATGCTTTGTTCAGCCAATCAGAGCACTCGTCTCATACAAAAACCTACGTCACTAGCAGACGCTAGTGACGCCATTAGTTGTTATGCGCTGAAGACACATTTAGTAAAGGTTTAGACAACAAACAGTGTAATCATGGGTAAAAGAAAGGTTAATAGAGGCGATAGACCAAGAAAACGTAAATTTCATGGGAATCAGTTCTCTGAGAAACAGGAACAAGAAGCTGGAAGTGATGACGTTAGTGGTTTTGATATAAACCGACCATCTACGTCTGCTTCTAAAATTAAACTAGGACATCAAACGTCGCAGACTGATTTTGATAAAGCAGAGGGGCTCACTGGTTTCCGATTTGTTGACATTCAGCTTCTTATTAACTTTGTTAATACTTTATTGTGCAGTCAGTGTAGACAACCTCTAGGCGAGAATAAGTCTAGTGTAACTGAAGATAGAAGCTCGCTTGCCTCGAAGTTCACTTTCCATTGTCAGTGTCAACATGAAGTTTCATTTATGTCCTCTGCAAAATGTGGGAAGACTTACGAAGTCAACAGAAGGTACACACTTGCTCTCTTTGCTATAGGAAGGAACTATATGCATGGCAAGAAATTTCTTGGCAATATGAACATGCCAACAAGTATGCATAAGAGCAGTTGGTCTCTTCACAAGAAGAAAATTCTTCATGCTACAGAGACTGTTGCACGCACAAGTATGCAGAGAGTTGCAGCTGAGATCAAGGAAAAGAAAGGAGAAGCCATAACAGTCTCCTGTGATGGTACATGGCAGAGAAGGGGCTTCCAGAGCAAAAATGGTGTGGTCACTCTTCTCACCGTGGATGGGCCTAACTCAAAAGTTCTTGACACTGCAGTTCTCAGTAATTATTGCAACCCTTGTGCAAAACATAAGAAGACTAAAACTGAGGCTGAGTTCCAGGCATGGAAGCTGTCTCATTTTCAGAATTGTGATAAGAATCACAGTGGATCTGCAGGTAGCATGGAACCAACTGGAGCACTGGAAAGGTTCAGGCGAAGTGAGCAGTTGTATGGTCTGCGCTATGTTTCTTTTCTTGGAGATGGAGACAGTAAATCATACACATCAGTTGCAAATGCAGAACCACCTGTGTATACTGATGTGGGTATTACAAAACTAGAATGTTGTGGGCATGTGCAGAAAAGAATGGGGCGACACCTTACAAATAAAGTCAATGAACTGAAGAAGGAGACGTTTATGCACAATGGCAAGAGTGTTCGGGGAATTGGTGGGAGGGGTTGTTTGACAAAAAAGTCAATTCTAAAGATTCAAGGACACTACGGTGCTGCTATTCGAAGAAACACCAACAATGTGCCTCAGATGCGAAGAGAAATCTGGGCCATATGGCAGCACAGAAACCGTGACCATATCAACTGTGGAGATTGGTGCCCTTCCAAAAATCAGCCTGCAGCAGATCCTGACAGAAATGCTTTCCCTCCCTATGTGTGTGAGGCCATCAGACCTGTCTTTGAAACACTTACCAGTGAGACCTTACTGTCAAAGTGTGCTCATGGAGGGACACAAAATACAAATGAGAGTTTTCATAATTCCATTTGGCAGAGATGCCCAAAGACTGGTTTTGTTGGAAGGCCAAGACTAACTCTTGCAGTTTATGATGCCACTGTGGTTTTTAATGATGGTAAGAGGGGTAGGATACCTATATTTGAGAATCTAGGGATGCCTAGTGGACTCTATACCAGACTTTGTTTCGGTGAGCTGGATAGAACAAGAATAAACTCAGCAGCTACAAAATTATCACCGAGTGTACGGCAAGCGCGGAGAATACTGGCTGTCATGCATGACAAAGACAAAGAGGATTATTACCTTGCTGGTGCCCACGAGTAATCCAGGTTAATTTTACTTCATAGTTCACATCTTGGGACATCACACAAATTATATAAATAGCTTATGTGCCAGATTTGGTTGACTGACTGACATTTTAAATAAGTTAAAACTTTCAAGGCCGTTTTCTCAGAATCATGTTTTCGCACACGTGTGTTACTGATGTCAGGATAATTTCAAAACTATTGGGCCAAATTACATAAAATTTGGAGGACATGCTCTTCAGTAGATTCTGTTTGAAATGTGCCATTTGTAAGGGCCCCTCACTTGTGGTCATCTTTTAACTTCAGTAATGATTTTATGAAACTGTTGAAAAATTTTGGATATCAATATAAGAAAACCTAACACAGATACAGAGATGACAGAGCTTCAGATTAAAGCTTAACTATATCTGAACAGCTACACAAACTTTCAGCTGCATACATTGAACAGTTTTTTGTAAGGACTGACATTGCTACTGCAACAAATTTACCCATCACCGAAATAGATATCTTCATCAAATGGAAATAAGTATGAAATAAACATATGTAACTTTATTTCTCTATGATTTATTGTTTGTATGATAGATCAGGAAGGTCCTTACAAAATTTGATAAAGATCTGATCATATTTAGATATCTTTAACCATTGGCAAAAACTTGCATAATTTATGATTTTCCAGCTTGTTCCCTCCCCTTAAGTCTATATGTCTATAAAACCCAGTATAAACCTATGTGTCTATGAAACCCAGTATAAGCCTATGAATCTGAAACCCAGTAAAAGCCTATGCGTCTATGAAACCCAGTATTAATGTGTCTATGAAACCCACTATAAGCCTAGTCAGAACTGTAAAGTGAATATGCATGCAACATTCAGGTTCTGGAACCTGACTAGAGTCCAGAAGTGGACGGACAACCAGAACTTTCCACTGAAGTTTACAGCTGGTGAACAATAAGAAAAAGAAGATGATGGACTTGTCCTGAATGCTGTTGTGTTGAATTTTTACTCAGAAGACATGTTAACTGTCAGGTGGGACCCTAGTATAACTGCTGTGTGATTGAGCATAATTTCTGGGGTTTGATTCTCAGCCGTGAAATGATAGTTCTGCATCATTTAATGTTGAAGAGGGAAAAACATTTGTTATACAGTTCTGCAGTTTCTTTTATTATGAATGATGATGTTAATTCTAAATAATGTGGACAGACACAATACATTGCACAATTTATTACTTGGCATATTTTGCTGTATCTTGTCATATGCATTAATTCAGAGTTTTTTTTTTTTTTTAGTATCCAGAAGCCATGAGTTGTTAACCCTTAGGCTCGGTATTATGGATATCGCAACATTTTGGGCTTGATTTCATTGTAAATACTGTAAATCTGGGAGAAAATGTGGCTTTCCTGCCTACCCCCAGGATTGAACCTGGACCACAAGGAGTTCATCACCCTGTCGACTTGCTAATATTTATCTGCTGGAAATCCAGAATCAGTCATGTGATTACCATGGTAACTTCAAATTGATCATGTGATCTTTCTGTTTACATAATATAGGAGAGTAGGAGTTTTATTGATACAGCCTCGACCACTTTTAGCAAACGTCTGTTCAGTATGTGGTTAATAATTCTGAAAGCACAATCTTGATCAGCTACGTTTCCAGAGACAAACAAATGGCGTCCTATCAAAGAAACAAGGTTCTCTCTTCTTGGCTGATCTTGATGCAGGATCTCTAGTCAGTAGTGTATGGAGCCATTTAGGGTGTTCTGCTACTCTGATTTCAAGCTGTCTCTCCTTTTGACCAATTTAAGTTAACACATTTGCTTGACTGTGGACTCCCCATTATTTAAATTTACAATTGGGAAACATTGTTTTTTTTAATGATGTTAATGTCTTAAATGTATTCCAAACGAGTCACTTCTTGGCATCGCTGTTTCAGTTCATGCCGTCAAACCAGAGTACATGGAGGAGTATCTGAATCAGTTGTAAGTTATTGTGTCTTCTCATTTGTTTCTCTTCATTGTCTGGTTTAGTTTTTGGAAATCTCCATGTGAGTTCTGGGGCCCCTTTGGAGGGGGGGGGGGGGGGGGGGGGGAAGACCTACTGCCTGCTTAACAAGTGTCGTAAGAGTCCACTATTTATGGGTTTTCTTCAAGGTTGTGATGGATCTGCCCGAGAAGCAAGGAACCAATAATTTGCATACATATAAGACAGATCTGTTTATGCTTCCGCATGCAGAACTCAGTTCTAAAGGGTAAAGTCCAGAAACAGATGAACAACCAGAACTTTCTACCGGAGTTTACAGCCGGTGAATGAGAAGAAGAAGATCATTACACATTGACATTGTCTTGGGTTATGAGAAGAAAGAGTGGAATATATGCTCCAACTGGAAACTATCAGTTTGCACATCATTGGAAGAAATACATTTTTCTTCTTCTTTTCTCTGATCCCTGTTCTGCTGCCTTTCAGCATCACATTTGGAAATGGCATCTGGTGCAAACATTGGTATAAGCTGCTTAGATGGAGGACCTCTAGATCTGCTTCTGTTGTGTCTAAATGACCAGGTTGTCAGTAGTTCACTATCTTGTAGTCTTTACACATGTCTGAATCATTTGATCTTTTGATGTAGTTTAGTGACAGTAGTCAAGACAAATTATAAATACAATCTTTATACCGACATTAGGTTATCAATGTCAGACTTGGACATTAACAAAAGAACACGAGAGAAGACTAACCACCTGTGAAATGAGATGTTTGAGAATGGCTGCGAATAAAACCAGAAGAGATCGAGTGAGAAACGATGTGATTACAAGAACTATTGGAACCATACCCATCGTTAAATTTATTGAGAAGCAAAGAATGAAATGGTTTGGTCACCTAATGAGAATGGAACCAACGATGCCAGCATCAAGAGCATAGCCAATGAAAATCGAAACATCAAGAGGCAGGGGAAGACCAAAAAGAAGATGGATTGAAGGAGTCACGGACAACTTGAGACTTCATAACATCACGGCATATAAAGCGACTGAGCGCGCCCTGGCTCGATTGCCGATCATCTGATAGACTGCGACGCCTAGCGGCACAAGCAGATTTTGACAAAAGAAGAAGAAAGAAGTCAAGATAACTACTTGATTGTAGAATCTGTATATTTTGTTGTACCCATTTCACAGCTCAACCTTTCAACAACTGATGCAAGATAAGGGCACTGGAGCGGAACTGGTGGGCAGCTTTACTGTAGAAATTGGAGAGCAGGATGAAGCAGGTGAGTCTTGTGGCTCATCAGAGTGTTAATTTAGTCTTTTCATTCTTTTGAGCCAGACCTATCTGTACAATCTTCTCACTTGTTTGTAAGACTTAACTTTACAGTCTTCTCATTCCTGTGTAGGACTTAACTATACAGTTTCACTCCTGTGTAAAACTTAACTTTACAGTCATCTTATTCCTGTGTGAGACCTAACTTTACAGTCTTCTCAATGTTCTCTGCAAGACTTACTTTATTGTCTTCTCATTCATCTGTGCAAGACTTTGTATACAGACATTCTTCTGTGCAAGACTTTGCACTTCTCATTCTTCTGTGTAAGACTACTTTTTTCTTTCTTCTTTGCAAGACTTTACTTTTTTCACTCTTCTGGGCAAGACTTAACTGTACAGAAGTCTCATTCTTTTGTGCAATACTTAACTCTTTTCATTTTCTCTGCGTGACTACTTTTACAGTAAAAAAAAATAACTGCTGCTAAACAAAATTAAAAGTCTATGGTTAAACACCAGCAAGGATATGAAAGTCAGAATGTTGAGGGCATTATCTTCACTATAGCAACATACGGATATGAATTTATAACCTGTCTCACAGTCATTAAGGAAGAAAATCAAGGATTTTTAAGCCGAAAGGCTACAGAAAGATTCTTAGAATAACATAGACCAAGAAAACAATTGCTGACACCCTAAAAGATGTTAACATCAAGAAAGCTTGGTGTCAGATGTGTTCTTTGCCGTTTTTTTTTTCTCACTAGCAATTCATACCGCAACAGATATATCAGTTGTAGGACCACCATTAACTTTTCTTTGTGTCTTGGCTGGCGCTTGTTTCAGTTCACATCTGGCGATATGATGGAGGCTACCCTGTGTTAAACAATGCAAATACTATTTACAGGACAGATTCGGTGAGTTGTGTCTTACCTGCCTGGCAGACAGCAGTCAGGTATAGCTGTGTTGCTTAGTTAGCATAGGTTGTTTTTGTGTGTTTTATTTACCAGTATCTTACTTGATGGCACCTTTCCGTCTTTCCAGATCATCATCATCATGTGCCCTGCCAACTGGCATTGGCACTCATGTGTCTCCACAGATCATAATCCCTGGTCACCTGAAACAGTTCTCTTGATTATTTTCCTCCAAACCATCTTTCAGCCCATCCAGCATCAGCTCTTTTTTTTCCACTGATCTTTCCAGCTGTCACGATGTTCTCCAATGCCTCTCTTCTCATTATGTAGCCAAAGAACAGTGTTTGACCCCTTCTTATTGTTTCCAGATGGTAGTGTTATATTGTGCTGTAGGGAGGGATGATAATCGCAGCCTGTGGTTGGTGATTTGTACAAGAAGTTCAAGATTGGGGATGCAGAACTTTTTGCCTATGTGACAGGATCTCACAGAGAGATCCCAGGTTTGATCATTTGGTTTTCTAGTGGAAACCAAGCTGTGCAGAACGGTGGAAGTCGTGTGTTGCACCACTGCCTTCGTAGAGGTTGCTGACCATCTTATCTGAAAACTGTCGGCAGGGAGAATGAAAAAGAAGAAGAATTCCAGTTTTTCTCTTCTCCTGACATGTCCCTATAATATTGATTGTCCTCTTATGCTGGGGGTAATTCCTTCACTTCTCCTGACATGTACCTATAATATTGATTGTCCTCTTATACTGGGGGTAATTCCTTCACTTCTCCTGACATGTACCTATAATATTGATTGTCCTGTTATGCTGAGGGGTAATTCCTTCACTTCTTATAACATGTCCCTATAATATTGATTGTCCTGTTATGCTGGGGGTAATTCCTTCACTTCTTCTTACATGTGCCTATAATATTGATTGTCCTGTTGTGCTGAGGGCAATTCCTTCACTTCTCCTGACACAAATACTGCTCTTTAAATTAATATTAGGGAAGCAGAGCTTCTGAACCACACACGTGCCAGGAGCAGGGGCTTACAATGGTCAAGACCTATCTACACATCTCCATGGTCATCTTAGAAACAGGTTCCCAATTGGGACCCTGGTCAGCACAGATAGGATTGACGTATCTTTCAGATTTGGAGTGCATCTGTCTGAGAATCAAAAAACCAACATTCTGCACACAAGTAAACCAGATCTGTAAAACGGATGTGGATACTCAAGTCCTGGAACAAGACTACTGAAGTCCTGAAGTGGACGAACCAACATGATTTTCTAATGGAGTTTGCAGCCACTGAATGTAAAGAAGACTGTAGCTAGATTTATGTGTGTGTAATTATGTAAGTGTAATATGTTTTCTTGGCAGGACTTTCGAGAGTTTCGTAAGCAGAGAAATGCAATGTTGAGGTCGAGGAGGAATCAGATTATGCTGGCCTTCAGCTTTTGGCCTCCGATCCAGCCCAGGCCTCCCTCCAATATATATGAGCTGAGGAGCTATACTCTGAAAGTAAGTACACAAGTCTTCTTGTTCTTCTTCTCGCTATCCGTTTAATTTCAGGGCCAGGTTAAAAGTAGACTTCTGAAGCTAGCATTGGTGTGAGCTTTTACAGTTTGCTGGTTAAATCTTCAGGTTGAGAATTGTTCTGGAGGATTGGGGGGAAAAACCAACCGGTTGTGTTGTGAAATTGAAATCCCCAGAGAAAAATAAATTTTGAGAGAGCAGAAAACATACTTCTGCAACTAACTTTGGTGTGTGCTTATACAGTTTGCCACTTAAGTTTTCAGGGATGAACATTATTTTGGATGGCTAGGACAGAAAACCAAAAAATGAAACACTGAAATTGGAATCCACAGAGTAAACAAAATGTTGGGAGTGCAAAAGACATGGTAAAGTAAAAGTAAAGATCCGTTTTCATGCCTTTAGGCGCATCGAGCATATGCGAAGAGCACCCATATTTTTACTCACCAATCGGCACTAGGTGGGTAATGTGGTCAGCATTACGTTGCCCGTCTTTACTTCCCCAGGACATACACCTTGGTACCCATTTTAGGCTGGGTCTACCTGCGACGCTCCAAACCATGATAAAAACCCAGGCAGCCAGCAGTGCGTTTCTATCGTGGTACGTTGGAATTACGAGTTGGACTCGCAACACCTAAGCCACAGACGCAGCGTAAAAGACATGTCTCTGCTTTAATGCATGCTTATGGAGGCTGCTGTTTATATTTGGTAATGTCAAGCATTATTTTGGAAGCTTTCCAGATTTTGCTGGGACTGACCAGTTTTGGTGTACACATAAAGGTAAAGTCGGGAGATGTGAACCAGCGTCATTGCACATATTTATAAACCCATAAGTGCTCTGCCACCAGTACGGACAGCTGATAAGAGTTGTCTGCCTGTGACGCCGTTAGCACGTCACTCTGTAGCTACAGCGACATTCCTCTATTTACTCCAGAGTGTCAGCTCTGGTACCCATTTCCTAGAGGCTTGGTGAACCCAGAGAACTGCCCGGTTTCGAACACCGACCGTGGGCTGCAGCGAGTCGCAGCTGGATTTGAAAGCGAGCCTCTTATCGACTGCGCTAATGTGGCACCATTGGTGTACATGGGACAGTGAAGGAAATTTTGTTTGATTTTTGCTGGCACAGAAACTGGTCATTTGTTGGATGATCTGTCTGAGGTAATGTTAGAACCTCGACTAACAAATTTGTTTGTTTGTTGGTGTACTGGGACAGAAAACCAACCAGTGGTTCAATGGATCTGGAATCCGCAGAGTAAAAAGAAATGTTGGGAGACCAAAAGACATACTGAGAAAAGAATTGTAAAATAAGGAACCATCTTCTATGCTTTTGTCTGGAAAGTTGCTTTGGGATATTTTGTTTAGGCAGAGTTAACCTGGCAGGCATATACTGCATATATTTTGTTGCCTGCTCGAAGCTATTGGGGTTAAATCTGCATTGCATTAAGTTGCAAAAAGGTCAACGAAGCCTAAAATGGGTATCTTGTTGAGCTGTGATAATTAAAGACCGCAGAATGATGATGACCACATGACTCATCTAGTGCCTATTGGATTAAAGCATATCTACATAACAGAAGAGCCCGGGTACAGGTTGATGGTTTTAAAAGTAAAAAAGTTCTACTGCGACAAGGCGTCCCTCAAGGTGGTGTCCTGTCGCCCACACTTTTCCTTTTATTTATCAACGATCTGGTTGCTGAGATACCAAATGGAATCAAAATGGCAATGTACGCCGACGACCTGGTACTGTGGTGCACCAATGAACATGCAACGATAGCCACAAAACAGGGTTCGTAGTGGACCGGGAAATCGGGAAATTACCGGGATTTTTTTCGTTGACCTTGAACCGGGATTTTTAGCTTATAAAAGACATTCCGACCTTGAAAAGCCGTGAATTTTGACCGCGGCAATGAAATCGTCAGAAATCCTGTGTTTTTCAGCACAGGCAATTTTGGGGGAGCCATTTGGCTTTTTTGGCCATTTGGCTAGTTTTTAGCTACTTTCGTTGTATGGTCGTTTCAGGTGTGAGGGCAGCTGATTATTGGCTATTTTCAGCCGAAATGGCTTGTTATAGGCCAGGGGAGGGCGGGCTGTGTTGCAGATCATGAATACATGCAGACAGCAGCGGTGTGGGCATGGGGCGGGAAGTAGCAGATTCCGTCTCGCGTGTGTGTGTGTGTGTGCCTTTGTTTCTAGCAAGTCGGGCAGAATGAACAGTATAAATCGTTTATGGCTGTGGTTTCTAGAAAGGATTACATTGGGAGATGGTGGGGCTCGGTTTAGTTGTATTTATAAATAGAGTCGCCGTGGTGGGGGCTAAGCACGGCCTTCTCTATTAATTAGAGATGGCATTGGGGCTAAGCAAAGTGACTGCAGCTGGATTTCCCAGTTCTATTTTTGGCCTGGATTTATCTTTACAGTGTGTTTGGTGATCAATATTGTAATTCCCCGATATTCCGTCTCCTGCGTTGTCTCTAACCCTCCCTTCTGATCTTCATCTTCTTCTCTTTCTCTCTATCTTTCCTTTTACTCTCTCATTTCCTGTCCCCCTCCCCCTTTTTCCTATTTTATTTCTTGTTTAAATGTTTAGTAAATGTGCGGCTCCATAACTCTTCCTAGCAACTCAAGTACACAGGAAGTTGTATTAAAGGGGGGGGGGGGGCATTCTGTGGGAACATGGTAGATATTTTCTTTTGATGTGTTTGTTTTCCTAGCGGCCTTAATCTCTGTCCATCTCCCTTCCCGCCCCCTCACATTTTGTCCTACCTGTTCCTCACTCTCTGCCTGTCTGTGTCACTGCTTTCCTCTCTCTCTTTCTCTTTGTATTTGCCACTCTCCCTCCCTCTCTCTCTCTCTCTCTCTCTCTCTCTCTCTCTCTCTCTCTCTCTCTTTCTTTCTCCATACCTTCAGTTGGTGTAGAAGGTTATGTGTTGCCTAGTGCAGAACATTTCATGTCCAACAGCTCCCCCCCCCCCCCCCCCCCTCACACACACATTAAATATGTGTGTACTTTTAAAAACACATTTGCTGTCACCCCCCCCCCCTCCCCCTTTTCTCCTCCCACATTGATGACACCTAGGGGAGGGAGTGCATCCCTTCCTGCTACCTTCTTCCCTCTATATCTGGTCTTATTTCTTACTCCCTTCTTTCTCTCCCTGTCTCATTCCCACTTTATTTTCTTAAATTTTATTCTCTCACCTCCTCTGTCTCACCCTTACCACCTCAGCCTTCTACACCACTTTCACCACCTCCTCTCTCCCCTCCTTTCTGTAATTGGAAAACCAGAAATAAAACGAAGTCCACTGCTGCCCTGACCTATTTATGTGTCTGACCTATTTATGTGTGTGGGTAAACTTCTCTATTTTCCACCAGTGGTGGGTGGGTTGGGATCCCCTGGACTTTTTTTTTTTTCTTTATAAAATGACCTTGGCTCTCAGGTCACCAGGCTTAAGTGTAAGAAATTGAATTATTGTTGTCACACACAGATAGGGCAAGCAAGGGGCAGTAGGGGTTAGCACTGTTGTTTTTGGATTACGGCCACATTCACATTGGGAGAGGGTAGGAACCGGGAAAAGTGGCCTCACTTAGAGATTTCCTAATTCTATTTTTGGCACTCATTGTTCTTACACCCCCACCCCCACAACCGTGTCTTACCTTTCTTCTCTCACCCCTTCTCTTTCCTTTGATCTTCTACTGTTCTCCTTTCTCTCTCCATTCTTCCTCTCTTCCTTTCCTTGCCCCTTCTCCTGTCCCATCTCTTCTTTGTCTCCGCTTCATCCTGTCTTTTCATTTTCTCTAGATTTCCTTACCCGCTCCCCTCTCTCATTCTCCCCCCCCCCCCCCCCCCATTTTTTTACTGGTTCATCTACGTATTTTTTTGCCCCATAACTACCTTTTCCTAGTGGTTGTGTCCACTACACTTGAAATTGTGTTGGGGGGGGGGGGGAGTAGGTGGCTGTTTTTTTTCTTTGATGTATCTTGTCTCCCTTCCTGCCCCTCTCTCTTAATCTGTGTTTGTCACTGCCTTCCTTACCCACCTCTCTCTCTCTTGCTTTATGTCTGTTTGCCTCCCTTCATCACTTCCTCTTTGTATACCTCCCTCCCATTCTCCTGCTCTGCCTTTTTTCTCTTTCTTTGGTTCTCTCCCTCTGTCTGCTTGCCTCTCTGTGCTGTCCCTTTGTCTCTCTCTCCTTTATGTCTACATCTCTCTCTGCTTGCATCTGCTTCTCATCCTGTCCGTTCTCTCTCTCCCTCTGTCTCCCTTCTTTCAACTCTTTGTCATATTTTCCTCCTTCCATATCTCTGTTTAGTTCCCTTTTTCCTTCTCTTTTCATCTGCCCATCTCTGTATCTGCATTCCCTCTTTCTGTATTTGTCTCCCTCTCTGTCTTTTGCTGTTCCTTCCCCACTTTTCCTCATCATGTCTCCATCCCTCCCTCTCATTTTTTCCTCCTTCCCCAGACTTCTTTTCCTTCTTTTCTCTACCTTCATCTGTCCATCTTTACACTGTCTCTCCCAGCCTACCTCGGCATGTGTCTTCCTCTCTCTTCATGACTCTCTCTCTCTCCCCTAACCCTCTCAGGTACCAGGTCCAGAACAGACAGGACTTCAGTTTGCTGCCATCTACCACCAAGCCCTAAACAAAAATTTCAAACACTATATCAAGCTCAGGGGCCGACCAACACGAAGATGGGCACAGGATATAAGTGACTCCTTGAGTATAAAAAAGTACATGAGGCGGGAGAGCTGGTGAGAGACCGAGGTTTTTTTGTCAGGACAAAGGAAATGCTACATGATGATGATATCTGTGCTGGTATACCAACACATGTGGCACAAATGAAGTACCTTGTGTGCTCAGTACACCCTTGAACAAGGCAAAAATCTTGTTTCAGTATTACACCGAGACAACCTTGAAAAAACTAAGGAGACTTTGAAAAAGACCTTGAAAAGCCTTGAAAATGATTGGTAAATTTAGCTATGAACCCTGACAAAAACACTACAGCGGGCTACAAATGCACTTGGGGCATGGGCCAATAGATGGTGTGTCAGCATCAACACAGACAAATGTAGCACCACACTATTCACCCTCTCCCCAAAGCAAAAAGCCGGCACCATCAAAATAAACGAAATACCCCTGAGAGATGATAATGAGCCCACATACCTAGGAGTCACATTTGATGACAGGTCGACATGCAGAAAACATATCAACAAGGCAGCAACCAAAGCCAGGAGGAAGACAGCAATTCTAAGAAAACTAAGTGGAACCACATGGGGAGCAGATGGGAAAATACTCAATAAAGTGTACAAGCAGAGCATACTTCCACACTTGGAATATGGGTCAACTGCATGGTGTTCAGCATCTAGTACTACATTAAAGGAGTTAGACAAAGTGCAAAATCAAGTGCTCAGAGTCATCACAGGAGGGATGAAATCAATTCCCATATTAGAAATGGAGAAAGCTGGGAAAACACAGGCACTGAGAGAACGCAGAGATACAAAGTTGCAAATACAAGCTGAAAAGTTCCTCAGTATGCCAGATCACCCGATGGAAAATAGATTTAAGAACCTAGCCTTGGGACGGTTAAAAAGAAGCAGCTTTATACACCAAGCAAAAAGAATATGTAGACAAACTCCTGACCTTCCAGAAATTGGCTGCCCACTTAAAAGTATTCCGGAACAAACCCCATGGAGAGAAAAAATGTAAACTAACGGTACAAATCCAGACAAATGTGAAAGGGATATTTGACAAGAAAGAGCAAGATAGTGTACAACGCAGAATGGCCACCCTCAGTTATATTGATGAAGAATACCCACAAGAACAATGGGTCAGAGTCTATACAGATGGGTCCGCAGAAAGTGCAGTTAGAAATGGTGGTGCTGGAGTGTACATCGAATTCCCAGATGGTACTAGGGATAAGTCCAGCGTACCAACCGGGAAGTACTGCCATAACTATGATGCAGAAACCCAGGCTATTAAGATAGCTACAGAGAAACTGCTAAATACCAACCTTGGCTTACAGTATGTGGTAATGCTCACAGATGCTAAATCAGTACTTGAAGCACTCCAGTTTAGGAAACTACCAGAATTGCAAACACTGCTGACACAACTCAGCGCTCAGCGAAGAGTCGTAATGCAGTGGATACCGTCTCATTGTGGAGTGCCTGGAAATGAGAAAGCTGATCAACTGGCAGGGGAAGGTGCGAAAAAAAAGAGCAGCCAGATGTACCAGTCACATACCACCAAAAGAAAAGAATCATTAAATCGATCAGGAAACCACCAGCCCCAGCACAAGACGACTATTTTATTATGGACAGACCAGAACAAGTCATTATCTTCCGCCTCAGAACAGGGCACAACCGATTACGTAACCACATGTACACAAAATTCAAGATAGGTGTATCAGCCATGTGCACCTGTGGAAATGTGCCCCAGACCGCAGAGCATGTACTCCAGGACTGCACCGATTTTGACACATTAAGGCAAACCTTTTGGCCAGAAAGAACAACAGTGGAACGTAAACTCTATGGACCACTGAATGAACTAACAACGACAGTGAAATTTATACAAGAGACAAAACTACTGATATAGATAACTTATTTCAGGCGAACGAAAGAAGAAGAATCTAGTGCCTATTGGTCTACAAAAATATGAACTCAGCATCCTGTGCCTGATGCACTTCTAGTGTGAAAAGGGTTCTTAATTTTACTTTTGTAGACACTTCACTAAAAAGCATCAGATGAAATGGCTTGTTCATCTCACAAAAATGCTGTGGTACCAGCTGTCACAGGGGACCACATTGGAGAAATATGGTTACAGAGCAAGAGGTGGACCACACACGACATGGAATGATCCCTAAGACTTTGTTAAGTTAACTCGGGAAGAGAAGTGGAGTTAGTTGAGGAGATTTGCTTGGGGAAAGTTGCTTTGAAAGATTTACTTAGGTAGATTAGTTATGAAGATTTACTTGGGTAAAATGGATTTACTTTGGGTTGAGGGCGGGGCATGTTTGGGTTTGCCAAGAATACTGTCGTATCAATTTTTGTGTGTGGTGACATTTACCATAATTTGTTTCTGCTGTATTGTCAAATTTGTTTTCTGCAGAATACTAATATTTATCTGTTTTTGCTTTATTTCTATAAGGCCACATTGTTTCACATGGTCATTATGAGAAAAGTATAATTTAGAAATGTTAAAGAGTTAATTTAGAAATAATGTTAAGATATGAACATTTAATGAAGTTGTTGAAGTAAGAGAAATGTCTGGACAACCACTGGTATCAAAAGTCATAAGACAAAGCAGATGGTGCTGTATTGGGCACATCTTGAGAAGGAGCAAGCAGAGAATCACCCAACAGGCACTAAAACGGGAAACAGATGGACAGAGCAAATGAGGATGTCAGGGAGAAACTGTAAATTATTTAGCAAAGCCAAAAGGTGCTGTCCTGGGCACATCTTGAGAAGGAGCGAGCAGAGAATCACCCAACAGTCATTGAAATGGGAAATAGATGGACAGAGTAAAAGAGGATGTCTGGGAGAAAGTAAATTATTTAGTGAAGCCAAAGGTGCTGGAGTGGATTCCATCCATGATGTCAGAAGGATTGCGTAGCAAAGAACAGAATGGAGGGCTGTATTGTGATTCCCATTGACCTGTAGCTGCATAACAGGATGGTAAAGATGATACATATTTATAGAAGTTTTGTTTCTTTACCTCATTTTGTTGTTTGTTTTGTTTTGTTTTTCAGCCAGGGACAATGTATGAGTGGGGCAACTGCTGGTAAGTTTATATGACTTTGTTGTCTCAGCTGCTTAGTTTATTGAGGTTTCTAACGACTTGTATCTCAACAGTTATTGATGGTGGACTGAGAGAAATCTCTAGAAATGAACATTTTGAAGATGTTTAATTGTATCTTCTTGAGCTCCTGCTCCGCTCATGAAGCATACTTTTTCAACCTGCTCATTTAAGATGCTTTTCTGTTTACTCTGTGCTGGTTAAACGGTTAAGAATACAGGCTGTCATGCCAATAACCTAGGTTCAAATCCTCAGTAAGGTTATGTGTTTTTCTGTGGGGGCAAAAATAAAATAAAATCTTAACCTGCACAGAACATGGCGACTACACAAGTTGTCCTAAATCTTTAGGCCCAAAAACCTCCAGTGGTAAGTGACAGTATTGAAAGTTTTTAAAATAAAAAACTATTTTTCTGTGTACCTAAAACACCCACACGTATAAGATGAGTCCAGTTTACAAAATAAAATAAAAATAAAAACAGTATGCAGGAAACCAACTAACAATAATAAAGCAACACAGAACTGGTGTTGTCAGTCACTGCATGATGTGGGATTTACTGAGGAGTGGATCCGAGCACTTATGGATTGGATGGTTCCAAGTGTATGGAGGATAATCTGTCGACTAATTGGTACTTCTTCTTAAAGTCCATGCTGTGTGGCGGCAGTCATTTCTATCCACAACCTTCTGTTTCATTTGCTTTCAGTCAACTCATGACACAGATGATCCTCCATCCTCCCTGCCATGATGTCAGACTGTTCAGCATCTATTCTCTCTGTCTCCCTCTGCCTCTTCTCCCCCTCCAACTTTCCTACTGTCACGATGTACTCCAGTATTTCCTACTCACCACATGACCAAAGAATTTAGATTGTCTCTTTTGGATGTGGGCAATCAGTTCTCTTCGTATGTCAGTTTCTTTCAAGACATCCTCAACACACTTCTCTTCTGACCAGAGTATTTTCTCATCATTCATCTAAAAAAAAAAAAAACATCTCCGCAGCTTCCAAAAATGTTTTGACCCATTTACCAACTGTCCATGATTCACTTATAGGATTTATATAGCTGTTAAAAATTCTCTTTCTTGTCTCAGTTGACAAAGAAAGATTGCACAACTGGTACAGTTGAACACAATTTACGTTGTGATGATATATTGCTGTATTTAGGTCATGTATCCTGTTCCATTACTTCTGTTTTGCTTTAAACGTCTAAAAGGAACTTTTTTAATGTAGTCAGCAATAATTACTTCACATTTAGTTTGCAGTCTGTTTTTAAAACACCAGGAGTCTGTTAAATCCTGGACAGACTTTCAGCTTTGACCTCTTGTCCTACTAATTTCACCTCCTCACCCACAAATCCAGGGCCAAAGGAATAAAGTTTCGTCAAACAAACAATGAGCCAGTTGCAGGTTTTTTCACACAGATAGGCAATTTATACTGTGTAGAGCATATCTGGGGTAAGTTTGCTGGACCTTTTGGCTGCAGACGTTCAAGCTGGCATATGATTTGCCTGCATTCATGTGTTGAGTAGTTGCTGTTTTACCAACTAATTCCTGACTAGATGGGTTGGCAGTTCATGCATGAATACATGTTGTATTTTATCTGGCTGGAGTATTAATTGTAATCCATTTACTAATTTTACCTAACAAGAATGCTTTAATACATTTTGTGTATCTGAACTTTTCAGTAGATTTGGAACATTGCTTTTAAGATGTCATGAATATTTAACATTGTTTTCTCGTCATCTGGGCATGGCCTAAAATACTTTTTTATTTTGCGCAGTCATTTTTCAAACTAAAATTAGTAATTCTTGCAGTAGTAGTGGAAAATTAAAACTAGAGTTTAAATTTGTCAGGACTGCTATACATTTTTTGTTCTTATCTAGTTATTAGGATGATATGCCTCTTAGTGCTTGTAGTAAATAGTTGTACCTTGCGATGATTATTTTCACATTTTTTTGCAAGAAAATATCTGTATAAAAAATTAAATAGGAAAAAACAAATTAACAGGGAACAACTAAATTTTACAATTGCAGAGGCCTAAAGAAATAGAGAAATAACATTAAGAAAGAAAGACGGAAAGAACAACTAAAAGATAAACAGGATGTAAAATATTCATGGCATATTAAACACAATTATTTGATTCATGCTTTATTGTGTTGCTGTGGTTGAGATAAAAAATAGTGAGCCCGGCATGCATTTTTGTTTCATAGAAATGTCTGTTGGTTAGTTAATTTCATCTTTGACATTTTTTAAACTAGTAAATGCACATTAAATATTCATGGCATGTTTCGAATCATTGAAAAGCTTTGTTTTGTGCTGTGGTTGAGATATCAACAATGGGCCTGCCTGTGCATTTTTTGTTGTAAAATGTTGATTGGTTGTTTGAATCAGTGTCTTTGAACTTGCGACTTTCTTGAGTATGACCAAACATGAGGAGGCTCATCCTGGGATGCTTGGGGTGTCTAGTAGAGAGCCAATAACGCATCGGGTGTTTCTCGGGACTGAGAGGGTTAAGAAGATTGGGATGTTTAGACCCAGTTTGATATTTGCCTGTGCTGTGGATTTAATGCATTGTGCTGGGATCATCTTCTGGGGATCTGCAGGCGAGGCTGTGGAGCATTTGGGGCAGTGTCTGTTTATAGTGAAAATGATTTGAAAAAACATTGAAATTAACCAAATGATGAATGAATGAATCAGGAACGGTCATCACTGCTCTTGGGACATTCCCACACATGCTTTGTCTCCAGCATCAGTAGCCAGTGGAGTGTCGACCGGCTAATGGTACCAGTTGCAACCTGATTTAAGGTCTCTCTTGATTCCCCCCTCAGTGTTGTATATCTTTCATAACCCCTCCGCCCCCCCCCCCCCCCCCATCTCTTGAATAAGTCTTCCAGTGTATGCATGTTCTGCTGCACTATCCATTTTATCTCTGAGAGCCTCTTCACCTCATCTGCTTTATCATAAAGTAGCTCACCACCCAGAAGAGCATCAGCAGCTAATCTGTCATCCTGCTCACTACACTCAGAGGAAAGGCAAGATGGACATTTAAACAGAGTGTGACTGGTACCATCGGTATTGGAACTCTGCGCTGGCTGCTGAAGATGAGGACAGAGCATGCATGGGAACGCCCTAAGTGCTAAGTGCTGTGACTCAACTCAGCGTGCTCATTACCAGGCACACCTGAATATCCTGGACAGAAAAATATTGAGAAAGAGAAATATGGAATAAGAAAGATGATGAAACAATAATGTGTCACATATGTGTGCTCCATTGTTTATCCCAACCACAAGCATTGCTGTAGAATTGCATGATTGTCTGTAGTTTTCAGTATTGTTATACAGTAAAATCTCGTTAACACAAACTGGCTTAAGAAGAACACTGGGTTAACATGAACACAATTCTCGTCACAGCAAGAATATATTCTTCTCTTTTTCATGTTCTGCGACTGTGAACGCCAGTGAAAAGTTGGTTATGCATCCATTTATGGACTTTAGTCTTGTTCAAAAACCTGAGTTTTGCATATACATCCGTTTTGCATATCTGCCTTATTTATTGCAGACTTCTTTCCTGGTCTGTCAGGCAGATGCACTCTAATTTCGAAGAAAAACATCCTTAATTAGTTAACTCTTTTGACTTGCTTGTTAGGGTGTGTTCTTTTTTCCTCCCCACGATGGGTCCCTAGACCCCCCATGGAGAAAATATATTATTTTTGTTAGTCCCAGGCTACCACCAATTGTTTTTAAACACAACTCGATTTTTAGTCCCTTGGAATTTGTGTTAATGAGGTTATACTGTATATCAGCATCATCATCATTAACATCACAAGTGTATTGTTCACATTGAAGAACACTCTTGGCCAAGGCGGCTGTTGATACTGTCATTGTTGTTGCATTCTGTGTGTTTAATTGACAGGAGGTTTAGAGGCCTGTTTCATTGCTGGAAGAATTTCCCAAGTTTATAAACACTGTGGAGTATATGTGGGACTTTCATGTTAAACTTTTTTGTAATTTAACCGGAAACATTCTTATTGAAGATTAATGTGTCCGACACTTGAACTCTCTGGAATATATATAAAGAAACACTATTATGAAGAAGAAAAAGAAGGAAAAAAAACAGAGTAAAGAAAGACTGATCAGAAAAAAAAAAAAACTTGATATAAAATACACAAATCGCATTGGCCAGCTGCTCCACTGTACATATCATCACGGCAGTTTTAGACCGACCTCTGTGTAATCTCATGAGACACAGTTGTGAGCTTCCAGCAGTGTCACTGCATCATATCCCTTAACCCTGGGTCACCTGCTGCTGTTGTATTCTGTTGCTGAGATTGCTGTTGGAGTGTGTTTATGTTTGTTGATAGTACCTGTGGTTAGCTTCTGTGTTGTTCTTTCCAAGGGCCAAAGGGCTCCAGTATAGGATGTCACAGAACGAAGCCGTGATGGGCTTGTTCTCACAGATAGGGGAGCAGTACAACGTCCAGCACTTGTGGGGTATGTATGCCCGTATATATTCCACTTCCCACAATCATTCCTGTGTTTTTACTGCCAGTCACTTTTAAAATAGTATCCTCAAAGAAAGCACATTAGTGGGTCTCTGCAGCTGAGTTGTTGTTCTTCTTTGCATTCACCAGCTGTAAACTTTGGTGGAAAGCTCTGGCTGTTCATCTACTTCTGGACTTGAGTCTGATTCCAGAACTTGAGTTTGGCATGCACGCCCATTTTACAGATCTGCCTTATGCAGACTATTGGTTCTTCACATTTTAGGCATTTCACTCCGACTTCAAAGGAAACCCCTAATTAGTCAACTTAAATGACATTGTTTCGGGCTCAGTGGGTCTGTCCCCCCCCCCCCCCCCCTTTTCCCATGGGGCCTTCAACCCACATGGGGGAGCTGAGTGATGAAACCATTTGCCTCACTCTTAGAAAGTTGTGGGTTAATTTCCAGACCCTAGTGCTTAGTTCACGAGGGCAAATTTACAAAGGTATCTGTGTATTGTCGGCTCAGTGGCTGGCTAAGTCGATGCGAAGGCTTCGTAATGCCGGGATGCTGGGTTCGATCCCAGCTGTGGGCCATGGGCCTTGCGTTGGTTTCGACAGTGGTATCAAGAAAGCCGACTGTTGAGAAAGCGGTGGCAGGGGCTGTTGGGGTTGGTTCTGCAACGTCCTGTAAAGGATACGCAACTAACCTTTAAATCTGTGTATTGTTGCTGAAACTACTGAGTTTGTGCTTTATGCAAGACTTCGAGTAAGCAGCCATGTGGGATAAAAACACGGTCCAGTAAAGCCGATCCTTGTCTTTATATGATTTAAACATGTCAGTAAAAATAAACAAATGAAGAAATCGCATATCTTACCGACTGAGCACTGTGGCTTTATGACCAACAGTATGGGAACTGTTGAAAAACAATTCCTGAAATGAAACAACAGTTTGACACTAGTCCACCAAGGGGCTACCTCTCATGACTGGCCAGTTGACCTGTGGGAGACCCTTGCCTTGTGATCATATATAGGTTGATTTATCCCCTCTGAGCTGCTACCTAAAGGTTTACCACCATGAGATTTATATACAAAAATCTCAGTCTTGATGGTGGACCAACAGTGGACCCTTTTCCACGCCTTCAGGTATATTGGGCATATAGGGCTAGACCTCTATTTTATAGACCAATCAGCACTTGGTGGGTGATGTAACCAGCATCACACCAGCCGCCTTTACTTCCCAGGACTGCAACTGGTACCCACTCAAGGCTGGGTTGATCTGGGAACCAAGGTCATTTTTGAAAAAAACATGCTCTGTCAGGACCAGAACCTACGAGCTTCTGATATGTAGGCAAGCATCTAACCACTACACCAGAGCGATTGGACCAACAGGGTAATTTCCTGATATCATTAGGGCAACTATAATGGCTGCCTGGTGCCTGCTGCAGTCCTTTGTGGGTAAGAACGTCTGCTTGCCTGTGAATTTCACATTTATGTCATTAAAAAAAGTACATAAACATAGGAAGCACTGGTAGCGAGCATTGTTTGTTCCTCGCATTTTCCGCCCTACAAGCTGCCAGATTAATTTTTAAAAAATTCAGCTTGCTTTGAACATTTATCTGTATATTTTTGGACTGGCTTGTTTGTATTATTTATCTGCAAACTGTATAGCTGGATATTGTTGTGTTCTTTTTTTTCTTGTTTGTGGGCATAACAACATGTAGTTGCTTCTAGTTTAACACTATGCTAACTTTTTATCTAGTTTGTTTGTTATAAATGTAGTTACTTCTGTTTTGTTTACTACACGCTAACTCTTTGTCATAAAAGGTATGGTTATTTAAACCATAAAATCTTTATACATACATACATAATACATTCATATATATATATATATATATATATATATATATATATATATATATATATATATATATATATACACGTGCACGCACACACACACTACACACACACCCACATATATATATGGCTACCATATGCTTTTAATGCGAGTGTATGCTAGATTTGCTGAGACAACAGTTTGTCAGTCTTTCCACAAGGGACTGTAATAAACATTCTGTGTGTTTTTCGTTGGCACAGGAGCGAAGCTAAGATGGGGTGACCCGTTTGCTATGAAGCTGAAATTAAAATTACCAGATTACACACATACGCACGTACACACACACACACACACACACACACAATAAATGATATTTAATATATATGAAATATAGGCTCTATCTGTAGAAGGGAACTGTATTGCAGTGTGTCCCAACCTTTTTTGTGCCATGCCCCACCTAAGCCTTTCTAAAATTCTAATGCTCCCTATGTAACTTAAACTTTGGACAAGTCCACTTTTGAATTGCACCCCTCGACAATCAAATTGTCCCCTGTGGGGTATGGGTCCCTTATTGGGAAACACTGGGCTAGATGCTGCGGATTAGATCATTGATTCCTGATGCAGCTGTAATTTAAAAAAAAAAAAATGACTTTGGTTCCTAGGTTGACCCAGCCTTAAATGAGTACCAGGCACAGTCCTGGGAAGTAAAGGTGGCTGGCATGATGTTGACCACATCACCCTGCGAGTGCCGGTTGGTCTATAATCCTGTATGCACGATACGCCTGAATGTGTGGAAGGGGGTCTATTACTTTTACTGTACTTTTATCTGTAGATATGGTTTACATTTTAGGCACAGAATTTGTTTAAATTGAGCATATTTGTAGTTGTTTAAATTATAGGTTTAGAACATAGTTGATATTTACATTCATGGTTCTCTACATAGTCACTGTTTAAATTATAGGTTCTGAATGTAGTTGATGTTTAAATTATAGGTTCTGAACATAGTTGTTTAAATTATAGGTTCTGAGCACAGTTAATGTTTAAATTATAGGTTCTGTATACAGTTGATGTTTAAATTATAGGTTCTGAATGCAGTTGATGTTTAAATTATAGGTTCTGAACACAGTTGATGTTAAAATTATAGGTTCTGAACACAGTTGTTTAAATTATAGGTTCTTAATTGTGTCTGAAGTGAATTGTGGGCCCAATATTTAAAAGCTGTGTAAATTATATCTGAAGTGAAAGTGTGAAATATGGGCCTACTGTTTAGAAGACGAGCATATTATGTTTTAGGTGAGTTGTGGTGGTACTTGTAGCAGGTCCTGTCAATGAGAGGTGTCAATGAGAGGTGACAGTGAGAGGTGTCAGTGGCTCAGTTCCCTCTGCAGGTTCCAGGACCCCATTTTGGGAGTTGAAAAAATATTAAGAATAGGCCCACACAAAAGTAGTTTGCTAAAATTGGAGCTATCGCTGCCTAGCTGGAAACAAGCACAGTGAGCCAACCACTCTTTTAAGGATGAATGCAGAAGAAGAAGAAGAAGAAGAGAGGATTAATTGTAAGTGTCTAAATTGTGGCCTGCATCGTTAGCTCAAAGGGTTTTGGTTCACTTTGTAAAAGTGACACTGCATATTCTTTACTTCTTAGAAAAACACCTTATACTACCATATACCTATGTTTTCTCTGCTTGTTTTAATTTATTTCTTTTTTTACTCTAGAAACTTTTAAAAAGACATTTAACCCCCACACCCCGGCCGCAAAATATAGTCATAAATGTTAGGAATATTCATGAAGAAAACCCTAAAACAAAGAATAATATTACTGTGGTCACAAATACATTTTGTAAACTACATTTGTAATTTTTTCCTCTAAAAGTATAAAGATTTACATAAGGGTAACCAGTAAACATGAATAGAGCGAAGCATTTCATTGTATACATTACTCTGGGCATTTAAAAAAAATGTATCAGGAAGACCTCTATTAATGGGACTTACGGGTAAATTTAACATCAACTTGGATTTCAGAAAGCTCTGGGGGTCATAAGGAAACACCCCAAATGCTTTTTTGTGTGTTGAAAATAACTATTCGTATCCTGGCCCATGAAACACTGCACGGGCGCACATTGGACCAATAGTTTAACTACAGTTTTCGAGAACTGGTTACTACAGACAAGGACATATATCGGCATTCACCAAGACATGGCACAACAGGAAGTGATTCGATTTGGGGTTTCAGGTGAAAAGGTTAATGACTTCATCTTTCATTTTGATTTTCTTCTCATAATCTCTGATTCTCCCTCAACCTTTGTCTGTTTTCCTACATTTCCTCCTTTTATTCCATTGTCACACATTTTCTGTCTCATTCTTTTTATGTTTCTATTCACTCATATATTGTTTTGTTCCTCTTTTGTTTCTTGAACTTCCAGTTTTACTGTTTCTGTGCTTCTGCTCATTTTCCCCTTCTATCATTCCACACCTTATCCCTGATCTCTCCAGGATTGAGTGCATGTTATGGTATTGAAATCATAAGTTATGTTTCTATTTTGTGTTTGTAGCTTACAAAGACTTACAGACACGTAAGGAGACGAGAGAGGCGGCTTGGACCCGACCCGGTTGGGATGAGTGTGTTGCATACACAGGTACTGTGTGGTTATGGAGCATGGTCTGTCGCTAATGTGTGTGGGGTCTAGACACACCATTTGTGTGTATAGACATAATCATGTGTTTGTGGATATAGACATGCCAGTGTGTGAATATAGACACACTTATCATACATGTGTGGATATAGACACAGATACATACTTAACTGCAGATTTGGAGGGGACAAAATTAATGCTTGCTTCTCAGAACAACCCACACCAAAAATGGTTACCAGGCAATGTGCTGGGAAGGGCACCTGGCCTGATTTTATCCATATCACCCATTTAATGCTGACTGGCCTATACAAAAATCCTTTTCCTTCTTCTTTGTTTTCCACGTCTTCATCTTCTTCTTCCCTTCCTTCTTTTTCTCCTCCTCCACCTCTTCCTTCCGCTTCTTTGTTTTCCTCTTCTTTTTCTTCTCTTTATAGAACCTATAATTGTTCTCTTCCTTCCGCTTTTGTGTTTTCCTCTTCTTTTTCTTCTCTTTATAGAACCTATAATTGTTCTCTTCCTTCTTCTTCTGTGTTTTCCTCTTCTTTTTCTTCTCTTCATTGAACCTATAATTGTTCTCGGAACAACCCACCCCAAAAATGCTTACCAGGCAATGTGCTGGGAAGGGCAGCTGGCCTGGTTTTGACCATATCACCCATTTAATGCTGACTGGTCTATACAAAAATGAGTCTGGCATCAATGATGCACAATAGGTTCTATACTTGACCCTTTTATAGACACTGCGTTAATCAGTTTGCCATCTTCTCCTTATCTTGGTCATCATTTAAAAAAAATCTTTCTTCTTTTTCTTTGTTTTCCTTGTCTCATCTTCTTCTTCCCTTCCTTCTTGTTCTCTTCCTCCACCTCTTCCTTCTGCTTCTTTGTTTCCCTCTTCTTTTTCTTCTCTTCATCCCCCTTCTCTCCCTCTTTCTTTCTCTTTTTCTTCTCCTCTTCTTCTTCAAACCATTTGTCTTATACTCTGAAGGTCATAGGTTCATTTCACAGGTGCATCACTGTGTTCACAAGCGCAGTTTTTAGACATGATCCCTGGAGATCATCACTATAGCTGCGGAGTTTGAGCTGTGTGCGATACTCTCCACAGATAGCTAGCCATCTACGGAGACTGTTATTTGGATAATCCAGTGCAATGTAGTCGATCCTCTCGACTCGTAACTTCTGTTCTTTTGTTTTGTGTGAATTTCCAAACTGTTTGCAGATAAGATTTGTGTTTCTTTGTTAAGAATTTATAGTATTTCATTTTTTCATCATCATCAAGTGCCTCGCCAACTGGCATGTGCAGTAATGCTGCTCTACAATCTGCTATCCTTGGCATCATGTATTAGTTTGTGTGCTGACACCCGTCCCTGCCATGACAACAGGCTGCCTTGAATCGCCTTTTCTTCCTCAATTTCTTTTTCCACAGATCTTTCTGTCGCAGCATGTTCCACTTTCCCTCTTCTCATAACATGACCATAAAATGATGACTGTCTCTTTCTGATTTTGAGACACTGCCTTCCAGCCCCCATCTCTTTTGAAACATCTGGGTTGCTCTTTTTAGCTGACCAGGAAATTCTAAGAATTCTTCTGCAAAGTCACATTTTTGTAACCTAAAAAAAATTGAGTTGTTTATTAATTTCATTTTTTAACTTTATATTTTCCCTAACACAGTTTGTTTGACAGCTTCATTTTTTCACTTTATATTTTCTTAGCACAGTTTGTTTGGCAGTTTTATTTACTACTAATTTGTGGACACTGGTTTGAAGTGAACTTTTGTGCATGTTTACTAACCCCCAACCGTTTTGTTTTCCTCTCATCACAGTTCCTCTTATTCGGCACATGAAGTCGAGAATCGTCATTCCAACACCTTTCTCCCCCCTGAAATAAGCAGGATGGAACCTGAGAGATGTAAATAAAGCTGATCTTTTGTACATTTAAACTGTTCTGTGTTCAGCAGAAGCACAACATGTGACAGCGTGAAAATGTATATGTCTGAAATTGAAACAACAATTTTTTTCTAGTACGGTTTCTGGGGTCTGATTAGTAGAAACAGAAGTTAGTCCCCCTGCCCCTAACCATCATGTCATGAAAGGGCGACTAACTAAGGGTTGGCTAAAATTGAATGTGTTGGACCAACAGATGTAGTTATTGCCATCTAGATGTAAATCACAGCTCGTTACAGCTGCCCTTTCAAGGGCAAGCACAGAAGGATAAGAAGAAGACTTACAATTAAGAAAAACACTGGAGGAGTTTTTAAATAGCTCTAGAAGATCTTTGGAAGTCAGAAGAAATTAAACTTGTTGGCTCTCCTGTCAAATCCGGACGAAGAATAAAAAGCCTTGGACGACTTAGTGAGAGTTCTCTCCCTTGGCCGCACTGCAAACAGTGATCAGAAAAGCCAACGAAACAAACGACACACTTACCTATGATCATACGGTTGCGTGTAGGGCTGCGTACGGTTTCGTGAGGCATCGTAAACGGATGCGTGGTCATCATATGGTTGCGTGCAGGGTTGCGTACGGTTGCGTGAGGCATCGTGAATGGTTGTGTATGGGTTAGAGTTAGGGGTAGGGTTAGGGTTAGGGGTAGGGTTAGGGTTAGGGTTAGATGTGAAAATTTTGACGTAGGGTTTCGAAATACTGGCCGACAATCCGTGGCAACTAAGTCGTGCGTCGCAAGAACGATGTTAGTTATGTGAGTGCGTCTAACTGCCATGTTGCTTGTGTCGTTTGTTTCGTTGGCTTTTCCGATCACTGTTTGCAGTGCGGCCAAGGGAGAGAACTCTGACTAAGTCGTCCAAGGCTTTTTATTCGTCGTCCGGATTTGACAGGAGTACCAACTTGTTAACAGATTTGACATATTTCACTCTCAACACTGGATGATCACCACTGTTGGAGCAGACACATGCAAATTTACTAAAACAGTTATTGATTAACTACAAACATTCATTTACCCATAACAGTGCAGAATAGGAGGAGTGCAGTGTTGTGTACAAAATCATGAATGCAAAGATTATAGAGCCACCTAAAGAAATTCTAGAGAATTGAGGTGAGGAAAAGTTGCTGGTGATGGATAGGACACACTGTGAGAAAGCCTGATAATGATATAACTAAAAGAATTGTAGGATGCTGAATATCTATTGTAATAGTATAGAATTATAGTAACCTTGTAGATTTATAACGATAGTATAGAACTATAGTTTGGCAGCTGGTCTAGGAGGGAAGCTCAGGTAGGCAGGGCATATTAGGATTACCTGCTCTTTGGAGTTAACACAGCAGACTGAGTGGTAAATGATTTTTTCCTCACTCTACCTGACACCCCTGGAGACCCAGGTTTAGGTTTATGAATTATTGATTACTTTATCCCATTTATGCTAAAACATTGGTTTGATTAACATTTAGGTTTATGCTTTATTTTTCCCCATTTGTGTGAAATTGTGTTTCTCTGAAGCTTTGATTAGATTGGCTGATATTGCACCACTTGGTGGTAAATTGATGCATGGCTAGCTTGACGTGGTCAAGGAAAGATATAAAACAGAACAAAAAGTAGATCAGTGAGCTTCACAGTAAAACAAACAAACAACAAAAACGTGAACGTTGTGACTATAGAGCCTTCATCAGCACATACAAAAATCAAATGAAACCACACAAATACACAAAATCACTTTACTGGTTATCCTGAAGCAGCTGTGTTGATGTCTTGCCAGTAGAATGAGGAGACACAGAGGGGCCTAAGAATAAATCGCTGTGGAATGCCAAGGGCCGTCACTCAATTATTTTAAATGAAACTGTGTTGACAGTTCAGTCCCCTGAACTGAGTTGGAGTTCCTAAAGTACAAATAAAGTGATTTTCAAGAGACTTGCGGACTCTGTTGCTGGAGTGGCAAGATTTAATGGCTGTCACCTCCATATTGTGGACACCTTGGTAATCCTGGAAATTGAAGTGCAATGGTGATGATTTCAGGGTAACGTTCTGCACATCCAAAAGATGTCTGAACCTGTCAGCCAGTCATAGACACGTTGCAACAATGTATTTCATGCCACATCTCTTGCAGTTGATGGCGTAAATGACATTGTGGCTGGTGCAATAGAATGCTTCACGTATGTGGAAGGTAGCATTCGGGAATTCCAGACTTATCCCCTGGACCACAAATGGACAGGTCCTGCATACTGGTCTATGGCAGTGCCGAAGTGGGTCTCAGACGCATGACATAACTGATTCTTGACAAGAATGTCCTTGAGGTTAAGGTCATGTGTGTAGCCACTGGAGGAAGTTCAGAGAAAATCTTGCTGGTGGCAGGGTCAGCCTTAATAATGGAGAGATGCCTGAGGAAAATATTTTTGGCACGGATGTTGTGAGAGTGGTAGGTAAGTATGAAGATAGGTCTGTCTCGGTGATGTTTAGGCTTGGAAACGAGGGCGTCAGTACGGTGTATAGACCATGAAAGGCAGCAGATAAGAAATATTCAGGATACTCCTGAAGCCGGCAGAATTCAAGCATTTCTAGGGCCTTGTTGTGAAAGTCATCGTTCTACCGGTAGTCTGTGGAGGCGTAGAAGCTGGGAGAAAGGAATGTGGAGTCTTCGCAGGAAGAGGGATGAGAGGATGTATAGAGAAGAAAAACATTGGAATCAGTCGGCTTTTAGTACATTGAGGTGCTGAGGCCTTTAGAATCCACAGTGACAGTGAAATCCAGAAAATGCACCGACGATGGTGAAATGCTGGAAGTGCATTGGATGCTGGGATTGAAGTTGGAGAAAAATATGAATTAAGTCCTGCAGTTCAAGTAGGGGCATATCGGTGACATAGGTGTGGTCAAGACCTTTGGGGGTGAGAGAACAGTACAGAAGCACAAAATATATCATCATGTCATGGAGAGAATGGTGCAGCGGCCAGGATATCTGGCTGACATTCGGAGGAAAGGCAAGATGGACACATAATCACAGTGCTACTAGTACCATCAACATTGGAACTCTGTGCTGGATCTGAAGATAGGGATAGAGCACTTATGGGAATGTCTCTTGTTCTTTTACTTTAGTTCTTAGCTCTTTGAGTCCCAAGGGGTTTAGCATCACAGGCCCAGGGGGTAGTCAAGAAAGTCATAAAAATCGGCGCATCATGCGTTCATTGGGCTTCTAGGTAGGAATCTATGAACGTATGATGCGTTCCTTGGGACTCAAAGAACTCTCAGCTCAGTTTTGACTTGTGGACTGCTTGTTTCTGTCATATCTTTTATGTATGAAAATGTATTCCACAAATATGAGATCTATGCATAATGTGCTTCTTTTAATCTATTCACAGTTGCACTAACGCGGTCGCTGCAGAATAGAATCCTGACCCCGACACCGTTCTCCCCGCTGCAGTGATGATTGAAGCTCAAGATATTCCCTTTGTTTGAGTAGAGATAGAAAGTAAATGATTTGTAGTTTTCAGAAATGAGATGTGCAAAATTATATATAAAAATACTTTTTGTCCCCGTTTTTTATGTTTATGGATAATTAAAGGTCATTTCCCAGGTGTCGAATAGTGTTAATGAATTTAGAGATTCTTGTAAAGATTTAGAGATTCTTGCCAAGATTAGAGTGTTATAGAACTTAGAGATTCTCCCAAAGATTTGAGATGTTCGATTAATCAGTCATGTTTGTGAACATGCTTGTTTGTTGGGTCAGCTCAAGTCATCTTAGTTTAGCTGTGTATGTGTTTAAATGTCTGTTGTGCTGTGTATGTGTTTAAATGTCTGTTGTGCTGTGTATGTGTTTAAATGTCTGCTGTGCTGTGTATGTGTCTAAATGTCTGTTGTGCTGTGTATGTGTTTAAATGTCTGTTGTGCTGTGTATGTGTTTAAATGTCTGTTGTGCTGTGTATGTGTTTAAATGTCTGTTGTGCTGTGTATGTGTTTAAATGTCTGTTGTGCTGTGTATGTGTCTAAATGTCTGTTGTGCTGTGTATGTGTTTAAATGTCTGTTGTGCTGTGTATGTGTTTAAATGTCTGTTGTGCTGTGTATGTGTTTAAATGTCTGTTGTGCTGTGTATGTGTTTAAATGTCTGTTGTGCTGTGTATGTGTTTAAATGTCTGTTGTGCTGTGTATGTGTTTAAATGTCTGTTGTGCTGTGTATGTGTTTAAATGTCTGTTGTGCTGTGTATGTGTCTAAATGTCTGTTGTGCTGTGTATGTGTCTAAATGTCTGTTGTGCTGTGTATGTGTTTAAATGTCTGTTGTGCTGTGTATGTGTTTAAATGTCTGTTGTGCTGTGTATGTGTTTAAATGTCTGTTGTGCTGTGTATGTGTCTAAATGTCTGTTGTGCTGTGTATGTGTTTAAATGTCTGTTGTGCTGTGTATGTGTTTAAATGTCTGTTGTGCTGTGTATGTGTTTAAATGTCTGTTGTGCTGTGTATGTGTTTAAATGTCTGCTGTACTGTTTATGTGTTTAAATGTCTGTTGTGCTGTGTATGTGTCTAAATGTCTGTTGTGCTGTGTATGTGTTTAAATGTCTGCTGTGCTGTGTATGTGTTTAAATGTCTGTTGTGCTGTGTATGTGTTTAAATGTCTGTTGTGCTGTGTATGTGTTTAAATGTCTGTTGTGCTGTGTATGTGTTTAAATGTCTGTTGTGCTGTGTATGTGTCTAAATGTCTGTTGTGCTGTGTATGTGTTTAAATGTCTGTTGTGCTGTGTATGTGTCTAAATGTCTGTTGTGCTGTGTATGTGTTTAAATGTCTGCTGTGCTGTGTATGTGTTTAAATGTCTGTTGTGCTGTGTATGTGTTTAAATGTCTGTTGTGCTGTGTATGTGTTTAAATGTCTGTTGTGCTGTGTATGTGTTTAAATGTCTGTTGTGCTGTGTATGTGTTTAAATGTCTGCTGTGCTGTGTATGTGTTTAAATGTCTGTTGTGCTGTGTATGTGTTTAAATGTCTGTTGTGCTGTGTATGTGTCTAAATGTCTGTTGTGCTGTGTATGTGTTTAAATGTCTGTTGTGCTGTGTATGTGTTTAAATGTCTGTTGTGCTGTGTATGTGTCTAAATGTCTGTTGTACTGTTTATGTGTTTAAATGTCTGTTGTGCTGTGTATGTGTCTAAATGTCTGTTGTGCTGTGTATGTGTTTAAATGTCTGTTGTGCTGTGTATGTGTTTAAATGTCTGTTGTGCTGTGTATGTGTTTAAATGTCTGTTGTGCTGTGTATGTGTTTAAATGTCTGTTGTGCTGTGTATGTGTCTAAATGTCTGTTGTACTGTTTATGTGTTTAAATGTCTGTTGTGCTGTGTATGTGTCTAAATGTCTGCTGTGCTGTGTATGTGTTTAAATGTCTGCTGTGCTGTGTATGTGTTTAAATGTCTGTTGTGCTGTTTATGTGTTTAAATGTCTGTTGTGCTGTGTATGTGTTTAAATGTCTGTTGTGCTGTGTATGTGTTTAAATGTCTGTTGTGCTGTGTATGTGTTTAAATGTCTGTTGTGCTGTGTATGTGTTTAAATGTCTGCTGTATTTGAAAGTATGTATCTGAGTATGTAAAAATATATAGAATGTGCAGTTTTGTGTTGATGTAAGGATCAAGTTTTCTCAAGAAAATTATCTGTGTGACATGGATACCAATTACTGTTCCACAGTTGGATTGTAAAAGATAGTGGGTAGTTTTACTGTATAACTTCCATTCTTGTAGTCAAGATTTTGTTAATTTCAGAATTCATTTTGTAATTATATATTATGTATGCCAAGTTTACCTTTGTAAAGAGTTGCATTGCACACATAAGCAGGTCTACGGCGGAGACAATGGCATAGTGTCGGAGTTTGCACGCATGTTTAGATTAGTCGTTGTTCAAGACCTGTTTTTATAGCTTGTTATGTTATGTTATCTGCTGCTTCTGGTCCATGAGTGTCTGAGAGTTATTTCCCTTCAGGTACTTAAGTCTTGAAGCCTCCAGTTTTAGTGCAGTAAAGGGTATTTTTTCATGTCACTCTGAAGAAGGCGAAACTGGAGTACATCGTGTTGGTGCGGAATGGTGCAGAGGAAGACACAGAGAGAAGATACTTGACAGTTTGATATCACTGGACTGAAGATCATCTTTGTCAGAATTGATTAAAAGTAGACAAGACAGAAGGTGGTGGATAGACATGACTACCAGCACCACACGGCATGGACTGAAGGGCCTTCGCACTGGTGTAACCAGTGTTGGTACACTGAAATCTCTAGGCTGCAACGTGTCTGATGTCAAAGCATTGAAGTGGTTGTATCCAGTGTGAAAGCCCTGAAGTGGATGTATCCAGTATCTAATGTCAAAGCATTGAAGTGGTTGTATCCAGTGTAAAAGCCCTGAAGTGGATGTATCCAGTGTCTAATGTCAAAACCCTGAGGTGGATGTATCCAGTATCTAATGTCAAAGCCCTGAGGTGGATGTATCCAGTGTCTAATGTCAAAGCCTTGAGGTGGATGTATCCAGTGTCTAATGTCAAAACCCTGAGGTGGATGTATCCAGTATCTAATGTCAAAGCCCTGAGGTGGATGTATCCAGTGTCTAATGTCAAAGCATTGAAGTGGTTGTATCCAGTGTCAAAGCCCTGAAGTGGTTGTATCCAGTGTGAAAGCCCTGAAGTGGATGTATCCAGTATAAAAGCCCTGAGGTGGATGTATTGTTCTTGCACTTCATCTTCACTCCCTTATTTACTGGTCTGGTAGTCTGGTCAGTTAAAACATTTACAGTCCCAGACTGTAATCCAGTGTGTAATACTATAGATTGCCAGGTAATAATATTCACATATACAGCTAAGTCATGTGTAAATTTGTTTCACTCAGATGTTTTATCTAATTACTAATTTAGCTTTTATCAAGGACTGTGTCTCAGTACTTCCCTTATTTACTGCTTTGGGTGTTGAGGAAGATTTACAGTTCTGCTTCTTGCTCTTCTGGCCTCCTTGACCATAGACACACTGTGTTGCTTTAGAGTTTCTCTGATCTTATCTTTCCATCATCTCTCTTGGTCTACCTCATCCTCTACATCCTTCTCCTATTTTGGTGTATTTCTTGTATGGCGTCACAAGACATTCTCTCTGAGTTTGCAAACCATTTGATTTACTGTCATGTCATTTAGAACTGGCTCTGTGCTGAATTACGGTGATGTATCTTACAGTGGTGCGTCAAATGTCAGAACAGTGGAGCACTTCTGCAATAATTATATCACAGCTATAAAAATCACAGGAAAACAGTCAGTTAAAACATTAACAGTCCCAGACTGTAATCCAGTGTGTAATACTATAGATTGCCAGGTAATAATATTCACATATACAGATTGATACGTTGTTTGTGTAGAATGGTTTTTTGTTTTTTGGTATGATTTTATAGGCTTTATTTTCTGATGGCATATACACTGAACAGGAATTGTAATTTCTGTCTTGTTTGTAATGTATGTTCATTTTTGTCTTATTTATGTTTGTATCTTATTTCAGTCAAGTGAAATTACTCATGACTTTAGCTTAGTCTTCTTGTGTTGCTGCGGCCAGGGTGTTGAGTCTCATGTGCTATCTACAGTCATTTCAAATAGACCTAATGGTTTGACTTTAAAGTGAAAATGTTTAATGTAAAATTGTCATGTGTCAAATCATAAATTGTTTTTTGTAAAAACTTTTTTGAGAAGTGACTGGCCAAACAGTTAAGAATGCTGGGCTGTCCTATGGGATACCCAGGTCTGAATCCTTGTTAAGGTTATGGTGTTTTCCCCAACCTGCACAGCCTTTGGTGACGGCTCTAGGCGGGCCAAAATCTTCAGGCTCAAAGACATAGAAGTGATAGATATAAACAGTATTGGCTGTTTTTGCGGGTGTAGTTTTTAAAAATGTTGCTATCAAATCTTTAACCAGAATAAGGTAACAGCAAGATTGTCATTGATGTTCGTTCTGTGTTTGTGTTACAAGCTTACTGTAGACTGTGTTGATGTAGAAAAGGTCAGAGCTAAAATGCTCTACGAGAAGTGAGATGTTTGCGAAAACCAAATGATGACTGTGGATCTGCAACCATGACCAGACTGAAAGAACAGCATGTTAAAAGGGGTGTGGCCAGACAAGAGCACTCTGCAGGAAGCCAGAGAAGAATGAGAAACCAACACCTAATTAGTGTCATAAGCTGCTACCCGCTGCAGGATTTATGAAGGAGGGGGTCCAAGCACTTATGGACTGAATGGTTTGATGTGCAGTGGGGATAATTTGTTGACTAGATCAGGAGCTAAATGCATCAGAATAAGAATAGTTTATCTTTATGTTTTGAATTCTGGAAAATAGTTTAAGGTGAAGCTAAGATTATAGAAATAACCATCCAGTTGTGTATGTTTTTATGTGCTTAGGTGAAAACTGCACTTGGGTGGCTTCCTAAAAATCCACTAAGGTTAAAACCACCCAGAATGCATTTAGGTGACTTAAAATGCACTTAGGTGAAATCACAAAGTTGCAGTTGGTTGACTTCCTGAAAATGCAGTTAAGTGACTTTGCTATAATGTCAGTGGTATCAGTGGTATGTTTTACTTTAGCCTTTCTGAATTTCAGTAATAGTGTGGTCCTTCTGTATTGCTTGTTATGTGTGAACTAATATTAAACAGTAGTAAGGTATTTGCTGACAATGCCAGGTTGCCTGTAATGTATTTTTGAAACCTTTAAACTAATACAAGATTATGGAAGAATTATCTTTGTTATTTATATTCATTCATTTATTCTTATCCTTGTGCAGTGCCAGCTTTCATGACTGCACAAACAGTGAGCTGCAATTCTGGTGTGGGACCATTAGTGTTGGCACATCTGACAGCTGTATTATGCGTTTTTGCTTTTGCATGAACAAACTTCAAGGTTTTGCTGTTCTTACAACACTACAATGAAGATAAAGGACCATTTTGCACACCAGCCGGCTAGACCGGTATTTTATAGACCAGTTAGCACTTGGTGGGTGATGTGGTCAGTATCACGCCGGTTACCTTTATTTTCCAGGACTTTTCCCTGGTACCCACTTAAAGCTGAGTTGACCAAGGTCATGTTTGAAAGATTTCAAAGGTTTTCAGCCGGCGAATGCGAACAAGTTTTTTTTCTGGTTGTTTTTATTTATCTTATTGTTTTTATGTTTGTATCTTCATTGTGGTGTGGCGTCCATGGCTTAGACGTTGGGAGTCCGACTCGTAATTCCAACGAACCTCAATCGAAACCCACTGCTGCCTGCGTTTTTTTTTTTAATTGTATAAGGCATTGCAGGTCGACCCTGGCTAAAATGGGTGCCAGAATGGCTGTTCTGGGGAATTAAAGACGGCCGGCTTAATGCTGACCACATTACCCACCTAGTGCCGATGGTCTGTATAAATATGGGCGCTCTTCCCATATACCTGATATGCCTAAAAGGTGTGAAAAGGGATCTTTACTTACTTTACTTTTACTTATCTTCATTGTAGTGTTGTAAGATAATCTGCATGACTGCACTGTCAGATCGTTTTGCCATTTTAACACCACAGGTCAGCTGCCAGGGGCCTCCAGCATTGTCTGCCTCTGGTCCTAATGTTATAGCATCTCTTGCACATTAACCCCTCTCTCTTTCTCTCTCACACTCACACACTCTCTCACACTCACTCTCACTCACTCACTCTCACTCACTCACTCACTCACTTTCTCAACCTCTTCCTATCCTTCTGTCTCTCCTCTCTCCCTCTTATTTACCTTTCCCTTCCATCTCCCAGGGAGTATCAAATAAAATGTTTAAAAGTTTGATGCACATTACTTCTTTCAGTGATGTGCAGATATCAAAGAAAACTAATGTACTCATATCAGGCAGAGCAAAACAGACTGGGGGGGGGGGGGGGGGGCAATTAGGTCTATTGCGCCCTAACAGGCATGTTGTAAAAGGCAACTAATTAAGGGTTTACTTCTTCTTTGTCTTCATGTTGACTAGATAAAACTGGCAGAAAGTTTTGGTTGTTCATTTAGCTCTGGACTTCAGCACTGTTGCAGAATTTTGCATTTGACAGATCTAGCTTTATTGTGTGCAGACTGTTGGTTCCTTACCTCTCAGCATATGCACTTCTTTGTGTTCTCTGGTTATAAACTTCAGCAGAAAGTTCTTGTTTTTCACCCATTTATGGACTGTAGTCCTGTTCCATCACCTGAGTGTTGCGTGCACATCCATTTTACAGGTTTAACTTTGTTTGCTGACTCATCACATGATGCACTTTGAAGGAAACAACTCTAAAATTAGTCAACTTTTACATCAGAAAGGGAATGAGAGTTAAGGAAGAAATTATTGCAGAAAGGATGAGAGCTGAGCGTCTGAGCAGAAACAAACTAAACACAAATGTTGACAGCTTCTTCTTCTTCACTTCCTCTTTTACCGCTGTGGGTGTCGAGGGAGATATAAAGTTCTGTTTCTAGCTCTTCTGGCTGCCTCGACCAAAGGCACATCGTGCTGTTGTAGAGTTTCTCTGATGTTATCCTTCCATATTGTTCTTGGTCTACCCCGTGCTCTATGTCCTTCTTCTCTTTCCATGTATGCTTTGTATGGTATGGTGTCACAAGGCATTCTCTTTAAGTGGGCAAACCATTTCACTTGCTGTCTTTGTATGTAATCCAGAATTGGTTCTGTGCTGACTTGTTCTCTTATGATCTCATTCCTGATCTTATCTCTTATGGTCACTCCTACAGCCCTTCTCAGACATCTCCTTTCCGTGGTTACTAATTTTCTTTTATGGTTTGTTGTGAGTGACCATGTCTGGCACTTGTAGCACAGAGTTGGAATAAATATGCTTTGAATAAGATGTCTCTTTGTGCTGATTTGGATTGTCTTATGCTGTAAGAGGGGGGCTAGCTGTCCCAAAACTTGGTTTGCTTTACTGCATCTAATGTCAATTTCTTTATCCAATTTCCCATCTTCGGTAATGTTGACAACAATAGTCCTACAATTCTATGCTATAATGTGGAAGAATTGTCTTAACATGGGCGGGTCTTGCTAGTCACACTCGCTACCCCCATGGACCGAGTCCCATGTCTCCTCATAGTGCAATATAAGACTATCGTCTGGGGAGAGAAAGGTGCCCATCAATCAGTCAGTTATGGGGGCGTGGTAGGTCTGTTTCCCCCCTCCCCCCACCCAAATGGGGCCTCAGTACCACGTGGGGAAAAAAGGGTTTACTGAAATTGCATGTGTTATGGGGAAATGGGGCAGATACTGTAGCCTAGCTGTAAACAACACATAATACAAACTGCCCTTTTTGAGGGTGAACACAAAATAAGAAAAGTCAGTCTGCAAGTAATGTCGAAAATGATTTGACTAAAGACACATCTTTATCACAGATGTACATGTTTTTGAACTAAAAAATCTACTTTATTAACAGAGCCTATACATTCTTTTACCATAAATGCACATTTCTATAAAACACATTAAAAAAAAAAATACTAGAGATGGACAAAAAAATTTTTTTTTTACTGTAGAAGTAAATTTAACAAAAAATTATCAAAAATTTTTTACTAAAGATGTATATTTACCAAAGATGTACATTTATACTAAAAATCTATATCTGTATTTTTTTTTTAATTGTTTACTAAAGATGTATATTTGGTACCAAACGTTTGTCTTTCCTACACTAAGATGTACACATTTGGTGTGTGTTTTTTTTAGCGATACAACTCACAAATCTCACTCTATCCCGCTCGCCTGCGTGATTTAATGTTCGTTCCCACGAGTTGTTCTATATTCTAGGGGTGCCAGATGTTGCTTGTTTTGAATGTTTTAAGCATATCCACCACTGATGACAGCCACGGCCAACGAGAGTAGAAATACAAAAACATCAATGATTCGATACTCATGAACCGCCGTGCCTTCGGTGCTTCTCCCTGCAGTACTTTTTTCTTGTAGACAGGCGTTTGAGCTACTCACAAAAACAACACATTCAAGATACGGCAATCATTCACAGAAAAGACAGTTGCAACAAGAAATCTGTGCAGTTTCGTCTGGACCTCGTCCAACAAAAGCGAGACAGTTGCTGCCTCGACGACAGTTCTTGGAGCTGGTCTTTTGATGCGACCGTCTGTCAGTGGTACATTCATCCTGTTGAAATCAAACAAAAAATGGGATGGAAATAAACTGAAGAAAAAAGGTAAAGAACGAGTGAAAGCAAAAAAGAGAGGACAGCAAAGGAGAGGAAAGCAGATGAGAAGAAAGAAAAATGAGAACAGCAAAGGAGAAGAAGCAAAAGAAGAGGGAAACAAAGAAGAAAGAGTAAAATGAGAGGAAAGCAAAAGAAGAGGACATCGAAAGAGAAGCAAAAGAAGAGGACATCGAAAGAGAAGAAGCAAAATAAGAGTACAGCACAAAGATATGAATAAGAAAAAACATAATTGATATATAAGAAATATTTGGTACAGTTTGTACAGACAAAAGAAACTCACCATAGATTGGTCTTAATGTCCACAGGAAATTATATTTGATAAAAACAAAAACGTCACAGAAACTCACCTTAGATTAGTCCTATTATTGACAACTAGCAGTGGATTGACTTGACTGAGAATTTCTTCGTTCACAGAGATACCGTCAAGGTACTGCTTCAGCAGCATCCGCAGTTTGTGGTTTTCATTGGTCAGACTTTGTTTCTCCCTCTCCACGGACAGTTTGTCCAGCAGAACTTTATTGTACCGCTTCCAGAAGTTCTCAACTCATGTTTAGCTCACAATCTTAAAAAGAATGGTTAGTTCTTTTTGTACCTTTTCAATAGCCTCTGTGATACTGCGGCTCCCAAATTGTATGGATTATGAAGGGAACTTCAGCAGTGAATGAGATACTGATGATGAGTTAGATGTCAGTTATGTATTGGAGAAGTTCTTCGTGTGGGTTACTTAGCCCCATTGTGGGGTGAAAAAGAATAGACCCACTGACCTACTAAAAACCATATTGTAAAAGTAGACTTATTTGTGGTGTTTCTTCAAAGTGCATCTGCCTGATAGGCAAGGAACCATCAGTCTGCATACAAATAAGTCCGAACTGTAAAACAGATGGGCATGCAAAACTCAAGTTCTGGAACACGACTAAAATCTAGTATTGAATGAATAACTAGAACTTTCCGCCAGAGTTTACAGCCAGGGAATGCGAAGAAGAAGAAGAAGAAAAAGATATTGAGAATGAAATTGGTAATGAAGAATTTAATTTTCATAATATCTAGATGTCAATGATGAAAGATTAAGTCAATAACAGAATTCAGAAGTAAGAAAAGAACTAATGAAATACAAAACATGGACAAACTGCACATAATGAACTCAGGAAAATAAACATGCACAAATTTAAGCTATAAGAAAATGAACTAAGTTGCATATCCTTTACAGGACATTGTCAACGATTCGTTGGCTGTTCATAGTTTTACTAGGCAATGTTAAACTCAGTAGTTTGCCATTACTTTCTTAACAGTTGGCTCTTCACACCATTGTCAAAATCAATGCAAAGCGGTCTGGTGCACGATTGTCTGCATCTCAATCAAACCAGACATTTTGGAATTACAAATTTAAAATGAACTAGCGAATGATAAAACATGGTAATGTTTCAGATAGAATGAATTAATCAACATACACACACTCAAAAGTAAATAAATGCTCTATTCGTACCGACTTTGTGCTATCAGTGCCAGCCATGGTGAGGCTTAGAAAAACATTAACACAAAATTACAACGTGTGAGATGAGATATATAAGAAATGTAGGAGGAAAAACAAGAAGAGACAGTCACCAACTAAGAATTAAGAACAACAGTATGCACAGTTAAGTATCCCTTACAGGACGTTGCAGAACCAGCCCTAACAGCCCCTGGCTGTTGTGTGGTTTCTCTAGGCAATTTACGTCCAGTAGTTTGCCATTGCTTTCTGGACAGTCGGCTTTCTTGATACCACTGTCGAAACCAACGCAAGGTGCATTGCCCGCAGCTGGGATCGAACCTGGCATCCTGGCATTACAAAGCGAAGCGTTCGCATCGACTTAGCCACAGAGCTGACTGTATGCACAGTACCAGTAACAAATTTCACAGAACATAAAAATTTCATATAGGCTAGTCATGTGATCAGAATGGAACAAAACCTGCGTACTACATGGGAACAGCAGGCTACAATGCAAGAGGCCCACCAAGAAAGAGATGGATGGAGGGAGTAAAAGAGACACTATAGAACTTCCTCTAACTCCTCTCTGTGACACTTTATGGCATAAGCTGTAGGGATGTAGGGAACAAGCAACGGAATCTGTAGAGAAACAAGATTATTATGGTCTGGAGAGAATGAGACATCCGGCTCCCTACACTCAGAGGAAAGGCAAGATGGACATATAACCAGATTGTGACCGGTACCATCAGTATTGGAACTCTGCACTAGCTGCTGAAGATGAGGACAGAGCCTGCATGGGAATGCCCTGAGTACTGCAATGATAATTCTTTACTCAACTCAACTGTGTAGGAAATAAGAAGAAGAGGAACCACAGACACACAAACATAACGAATTCATTAAAAAGACAAAAAATGGACAAACTTCAGCTATCTGATGTGTTGGTGGTTCTAGCATGGCTTCTCTTATCTGCTCCTCTTCTTCGCTGGTGAGAGATGAAGCAAAAAATGGGAGAACTTTCTCCTCCTCTGTCTCCAGCTTGCGACACATTTCAGCAAGTCTCATAATCTGTTCTCCCTGAGCCAAAATGGAAAAGAATATGTGCGCTACAGTTGAACAAACAACAAAATTCCTACATAAACTATGAGAGAACCTCAAGTTATTTGTTATCTGTAGTGACATCCTGGCACATCGGTCTGACCCATTCGTGCTCCATTCTCCCATACAGCAGCCACCTCAGTGTCTCCATGCCCAACATACCCAGAAAGAGTTGACTTACATTATCTTCTTCCTTTACCCCGCAACTGTTTCTGCATGCTTGTACTAGTTCTATACCCACTCACAATAGGTGGTTCAACGTCTCTAACTGTTTCATCTCAAAGTCTCTAGAACGCAGCACATTCAGCAGAAGCAGAAGACTGTCCAGTTTCCTCCACCTCTGTTGGTCACAGGCAATAGACATTTGCATTGTTGAGGCCTCTCCATTCAGCCAAATTCTATATCCAGTTTTTGTGTGTGGGTCTGCATCTTCACCTGTACTGAACCTTATAGTATTGTTTTGAAGGGGTCAGTAAATAATGTTACATGTGGGCAATTTTGGCTATTTTTTGTTTGTTTTGTCTTTTCAATGTTGTTATTCGAAATTCATTCATGCTAACGGCTCACACATACTATAAATATTCTAATGCGGATTTGTTTTCTAATTTTACAGTGGAACCTCACAATATGCGTGTACCTGGATGTGAGTTTTTCAGGATACGAGGTCAGGCTTACAAATTTTGTTTCCCCAGCATATGAGGCAAACCTCAGGAAGCAAGCTGAAGAGAAGAACTCTCAGTGCTATCTGATAGCATCTCAGTAACTTGGATTATCTTGATTTATCTCAACAAATGGAAAAGATTAGTTTAATATTGCTGAAGCCTGACTTAAGCCAGTCGACAAAGCACTTGATGATGATGGACTACAGCATCATGGTCGGAAGTAACCCCATTTGCTGCTGCCAACAAAAACATAAAGCAGTCCCACAAACTTGGCCTTTAATAAAACAAAACAAAATGTCGTGCGTGCGTGTGGTTGGGCGGGTGGGTGTATGTGGGTGTGCGCGCACGCGCGCCTTCGTGCGTACATCCTTTAAAATTAATGTAATCATTTAAATATGTTCTAGCCCTAAAAGAATCTACACACATGCACACACACACACGCATGCATGTGTGTGTCTATTCTTTTAGGGCCAGAACATATTTAAATTTTTTACATTCATTTTTAAGGAAAAATATTTTCAGGATATGAGTTATTCACCGTAGCGGTGCATGAAACAGATTAAATTCCTATCCCGAAGTTTCATTGTCTTTCCCAAAACTTTTATTGAACAACTTTCTTAAACTTTTTACACCTATAGACTGGAAAAATATAAATATTTGCACACCATCTGAGAACTAATGCAGAAACAAAAAGTTGAAGGCATTTTATTTTTGTAATTCTATGTTACAAAATTACAATTTTCCCTGTGTGGGTTTCAGGGCCGTACTGTTCGGGAAAAAGAATAGACCCACTGCCAACCCCCCAAAAAAAGCATGTCGTAAGAGTCGATTAATTGGGAGCTTTCTTTGAACTCGGAATGTATCTGTCCAAGTGGCAAGAAACAACCAACTGCATATAAAGGTAAAAATGTACAGTCCGGAGATGTGAACCAGTGTTACTGCACGCGGTTATAAACCATAAGTGCTCTGCCACCAGTATGGACAGCTAGTAAGAAACTCTCCGCCTGTGTCGCCGTCCGCATGAAACTCCCGAGCAGCAGCGACGTTCCTCCATTGACCCCAGAGTGTTAACTCTGGGTGAACCGGGGGACCTTCCAGTTTCGAACACTGTGGGCTGTATTTGAAAGTGAGTCTCCTATCAACTGCGCTAACATAAATAAGCTAGTAAAATGGAAAACTCAGGCTCTGGCACAAAGCCAAAGTCCAAATGAGTGAATGACCAGGACTTTCCACCGAAGCTTACAGCTGGTAAACAAAGATGTAGAAGAAGAAGAAGAAGAAGAAGAAGAAGAAGAAGAAGAAGAAGAAGAAGAAGAAGAAGAAGAAGAAGAAGAAGAAGAAGAAGAAGAAGAATTACAATTGTTAACTCATGCAGTACCTGCTGCTGCTGCTTATAAGTTAGAACATCTTAAATATGTGGCTGGAGCATTGTTTCTGAAAAACTGCTGCACTAACATCTGCTCAGTTTCTGGGCTGGGTTGTTTTAAAAAGTCTTTTTTCACAATGGACATGATGGACATTTTGTGTGGTTTTTGTTGGCATATGTATGAAGCAACTATGGGGTGTCCCATTTGCTATCAAGTTGGAACTGCATTTACCTTACCTTACAGACTATCAACTACATTTCTAACTTCACTGTAGAAGAGAATGCATACCTGTTTCTTTTGCTGCTTGAGGGTTTTGATGGCCGAATTGCTCTCAATGGTAAGTGTGGTGAGTTTTTCTCTTTCACAATCCCGAATTTGATTCATTTCAGCCTTCAAAACTTGGAGATGTTGCTGTACCCTTTCCTTGTCCTAAGATCAGAATGACTAACAATTTCAGCCATGAAAAATTAACTCACGAAATCCTAATGTACTGAACTCACTTGCAGTGGCAGCACTGTCTATATTTGCTACTAACAGGCCATTATAGTTAGACTGTGTACAGGACACAACATATTCTACAACCACCTGTACTAGAAATTCAAGACTGGGGATTGAGAACTTAACCCATGTGGAAAGACACCAGAAAATTCTGACCCATGTGCTACATGCAGTAGAGGGATCCCAGGTTTGGCCGACTGGTATTCCAATGGAAACCCAGCTGTATGGAACAGTGGAAGATATGTGTCGCACCACAAACAACTTCGTGGAGGCCTTCTCATCTGAAAACCACTGGCAGAGAGATGAACACAAGAAGAAGAAGACTACTTCCTATGGTGTAGGATTTAGGGTTGCATCGCTAACGCAATAGCTATGGACTGCAGGTTAGGATTTTATTTTTTGCCTAACAATTTTACAGAGAATTTCTTCTTATTCTTGGCGTTTACCAGCTGTAAACTCTGGCGGAAAGTTCTCGATGTTCATCCACTTTTGGACTGCAGTCCTGTTCCTGAACCTGAGTGTTGTGTGTGCATCCGTTTTACAGATCTGACTCATCTGTATGCAGACTGCTGGTTCTTTCCCTCTCAGGCAAATGCACTCTGACTTCGAAGGAAGCTCCCAATTAGTCGACTCTTAAAGCATGCTTTAGGGTTGGCAGTAGGTCTGTTATTTTCCCCTACAACAGGGCCCCAGAACCCACACGGGGTACCGAGAATTTGAACTTGAGCTTTCCAGATGAGAATCCAGTATTCTTAAGTGCATAGCCAGCTGCTCTACAGTCACCACACTCTTACAAATCCCTTATAGTTGCTTCAGTGGTTGGGAATTGGAGTCAATATTAAGGAAATTTCATGACTTGGTGCCTTTTCTAATATTTCCAAAGAAAAACTACATGTCTTGTATTTCAGTCAAGTATTTCTTCTTCTCCTTCTTCTTTGCGTTCACCATCTGTAAACTCTGGCAGAAAGTTCTGGTTGTTTATCTACTTCTGGACAGCAGTCCTGTTCCAGAACCTGAGTGTTGCGTGCGCATCCGTTTTACAGATCTGACTCATTTGTATGTAGACTGCTGGTTCCTTGCCTCTCAGGGAGATGCACTCCGACTTTTAAGGAAGCTTCCAATCAGTCAACTCTTACAACATGCTTTTGGGTAGGCAGTGGGTCTATTCTTGTTTTCCCTATAATAGGGCCCACACGGGGAGTCCAGCATTTATTAAGAAAATCACATGAATTATATTTTATGCTAGTATTTCTAAATAGTATTTGATTTTAGTATTTCTGGGGAAAATTAAATGTCTTGCAGTTCACTTTAGTGTTTTTGAAGGAAATTATATGTCCTATATTTTATTCTAGTATTTCTGAATGAAATTAGATGTCTTATGTTTCATTCTAGTGTTTCTGAAGGAAATTACACGATATGTATTTCATTCCAGTATTTCTACCAATCATTTATGGTAATCTGTATGTTGACATGTTGTGGAAGCTTTTCTTTTATAAGTCAGTCTGAAACAATAAGCATTAAATCATTGTGACCAGTCATGATCTTAGAGGTGAATGGGAGAGCTAATAAGCTATGAAAATACCCAGGATATTAAAAAAATTGTTTTTTTTTTGGGTGCTATTTGTTATTCCAAGAATATTTTGAAACTCCTCATCAAAGGTTCAAAGTCAATTAAACCAAACTAAATCATAAAACAAGAATAGAAATGATAAAAAAAAAACAAATGCAACAAATAATTACAAAATAATTGACTGTGAAAATATTAAAGAAACATGAAATTATACTGCTCTGGACAGCTCATCATTATCCTCATCCTAAAATAAAACCATGAACATTTGTGACAAACAATGATGCACATTTGTGATAGACAATGATGCACATTTGTGACAAACAATGATGTACATTTGTGACAAACAATAATGCACATTTGTGACAAAAAATGATGCATATTTATGATAAACAATAATGCACATTTGTGACAAATAATAATGCACATTTGTGACAAACAATGATGCATATTTGTGACAAACAATGATGCACATTTGTGACAAACAATGATGCACATTTGTGACAAACAATGATGCACATTTGTGATAAACAATGATGCACATTTGTGACAAACAATAATGCACATTTGTGATAAACAATGATGCACATTTGTGAGAAACAATTATGCACATTTGTGATGAAAAATGATGCACATTTATGATAAACAATGATGCACATTTATGATAAACAATGATGCACATTTATGATAAACAATGATGCACATTTGTGACAAAAAATGATGCACATTTATGATAAACAATGATGCACATTTCTGATAAACAATAATGCACATTTGTGATAGACGATGATGCCCGTTTGTGATAAACAATGATGCACATTATGATAAACAATGATGCACAATATGATAAACAATGATGCACATTATGATAAACAATGATGCATATTATGATAAACAATGATGCATATTATGATAAACAATGAACCATACTTAAAAGTTCCAAAACAGATAAGCATGCCTATAGCAGAGTTGCAAGCATTGCTTCTGAAGTCAAGGGTAGTTAACTTCCTTTATTCAGAGTTTGCTGGTGTTTTGGGAAATTAATGAGCAGACATACTGGCTTGTTCTGAACCAACGTATATTCAACTGATGTCTGATAAGGCAGATATAGTGGCAGGGAAGTGCACTGCAGAGAATACTAGCCTCGGCCTAGCAAGAGGGAACGCAACCTGAAAACTTGAACTTATTGAATGGCAGACCAGGTTTTAGCCTTGGCTGGCAGCTGGTCTAAGAGGAAAGCTGTGACAGGCAGACAAAACAGAGCACTGTTCTTCTGATCTGGCAGCTTCTGCAGCCTGTTTTGTTCAGGATGTCCCTCTGTTACCTTTCCTTTTGAGTAAACAAGACAAGCCAAAAGAGAGAGAGAGAGAGAGAGAGAGAGAGAGAGAGACAGACAGACAGACAGAGAGAGAGAGAAAGAGACCATACTGCATTGGCAACACAGTCTCTATATTACGGTGTAGGTTGATTGCTATAAACAGAAGAAACGTCATCCATGGCCCTAATGTAAGCGTGGTCTTACTAGTCACACTAGGCATTGCCATGATCTGCCATTCCTATTCCTCCCTCTAGCACAGCATAATACTAACACTCACCTCTAGAAAGACTGAAATGTACCAACAAATAAGGTTGATGTGGTGCAGGTTTATGATGTGGAAACATGAAAAGACCACCTTAGTCTAGAAAAAATGGTGCAATGGGAAGTATCCAGAGGATAGGGCAGCCTCACAGTGCTCAGAAAAAAGGCACAATGAATGTTTAATTAAAATAATACCTGCATAGAAAACAGAGTTATGGAAAAGCATAAAATATAATAAGTAAATATACAGTTAACTGTTTAGTACCAAACAAGTAGTGGCAAGTGTGGTTTTAGGAAAGGGACATCACTCACCTGCCAAATTATAATAAAAATTTCAGTTCTAATCAGTTTCTGAAAGAAGCCACCTATTTTTTCTTCAGAAATAAAGCCTTACTTGGATTATAAGAAAGTAATTTATTAACCAAACTGAAATGTTTACCTCTTTTATGGATTTGTTTCTTTCCTCACTCTCCTTAGCAGTTACAGCCATTTTTGCCCTTATTTTTGCAATCTGATCCTAGGTTAGAAAGACATAAAGGAAGAAAACTTTCATCAGTAAAAATACATCCCCTTTCCATCCCTCATCTGTAAAAATACACCCCCCCCCTTTCCTTCCCTCATCAGTAAAAATACACCCCCCTTTCCTTCCCTCATCAGTAATAATACACCCCCCCCCCTTTCCTTCCCTCATCGGTAAAAATACACCCCCCCCCTTCCTTCCCTCATCAGTAAAAATACACCCCCCTTTCCTTCCCTCATCAGTAAAAATATACCCCCCTTTCCTTCCCTCATCAGTAAAAATACACCCCCCTTTCCTTCCCTCATCAGTAAAAATACATCTCCCCCTTTCCTTCCCTCATCAGTAAAAATACACCCCCCTTTCCTTCCCTCATCAGTAAAAATACATCTCCCCCTTTCCTTCCCTCATCAGTAAAAATACACCCTTCTTTCCTTCCCTCATCAGTAAAAATACACCCCCCTTTCCTTTCCTCATCAGTAAAAATACACCCCACCAACTTTCCTTCCCTCATCAGTAAAAATACACCCTCCCCTTTCCCTCCCTCATCAGTAAAAATACACCCCCCTTTCCTTCCCTCATCAGTAAAAATACACCCCACCCCTTCCCTCCCTCATCAGTAAAAATACACCCCACCCCTTCCCTCCCTCATCAATAAAAATACACCCCACCCCCTTCCCTCCCTCATCAGTAAAAATACACCCCACCCCCTTCCCTCCCTCTTTGTAAAAATACACCCCACCCCCTTCCCTCACTCATCAGTAAAAATACACCCCACCCCCTTCCCTCCCTCATCAGCAAAAATACACCCCACCCCTTTCCCTCCCGTTCGGTAAAAATACCCCTCCCCCCCTTTTCCTTCCCTCATCAGTAAAAATATACCCCCCTTTCCTTCCCTAATCAGTAAAAATACACCCCCCCCCTTTCCTTCCCTCATCAGTAAAAATACACCCCCCCCCCCTTTTCCTTCCCTCATCAGTAAAAATACTCCCTCCCCTTCCTTCCCTCATCTGTAAAAATACACCCCCCCCCCTTTTTCCCTCCCCTCTCTGCTCCCAAAAATGATAACATGCTACCAAGCAAACATACTATCCAGATAGAAAAATATTAGGCAATGTTTTTAAAAAAAAATGATATGTTATGTTAAATTATAACAACTGATGTCACTGTACACTGGGCATTTCCCTGCAGCATTTGTGTCCCGATACAGTAGTGACCTCAAGATTCCTTTACTGACTGTTTGCACAAGAAGCTGGTTATAATGTCTCCCATCTTGACCCCTGCATGCCTGTGGATCTGAGGGTCATGGGTTCAAATCTGTATGGTGCCAGATTTTTTTTTCAAACATGACCTTAAAAGGGTACCAGGTAAAGTCTTGGAAAATAAAGGCAGTAAAGACCTAATGTTAAATGCTAAATTGAGCATAGACATCACAGCACTCAGGACACACCCAAAAGTGCTCTGTTCCCATCTTCAGCAGCAAGCGAAAAGTTCCAATTCCGATGGTACCAGTAACTGCCTGATTGTACATCCATCTCACCTCGGCCAGATCCCCTGGTAACACCCCGCAGCTCCATTCTCCTTTGACCATAATGATCTATTTGTGCTTCCGCACTGTTTCACAGGGTCCTCACAACATTTGGCTTGTCATACATTCTTCTTCTTCTTCTTCTTTCGTTCGCCTGAAATAAGTTGTCTATATCAGCAGTTTTGTCTCTTGTATAAATTTCACTGTCGTTGTTAGTTCATTCAGTGGTCCATAGAGTTTACGTTCTGCCTGTCATGCATCACCACTAGGTGGGTCCAGAGATGGCCAGTCTATCTGACTCCTCATTTTCAAACATACCAGCATGACCTGGAGAAAATATCCAAAGGATGCTAACTACCTGCAACATCTGAAGCAATGCTTCCTGCTCTGCACGAATTATGCCTGTCTTCACCTTTCTCAGCATGCTCTGTGAGTCAGTTGCAATGATGGCATGTGTGTACAGTTGATTCTCAAGCCAGCGAAAGGCAGCAGTGAAGTGAATGCTTTCACCTCCATTCTCAAATTATATGTTGTGATATCATTTGCCAGGCTTTGCTGCACTAGGCGACGTCCATTCGCTTTTGCCATTAACCCCCATGCACCTCCTCTACCTCTCAACACAGAGCCATCTGTATAGATGATCACATCACGGACCTCATGAGGCAATTTAATATGAGTCTAGCATCATAAGCTCTATGTGCCAATGATGTGTCAATGATGTGCCAATGATGTGTCTATGATGTGTCAATGATGTGCCAATCATGTGTCAATGATGTGCCAATGATGTGTCAATGATGTGTCAATGATGTGCCAATAATGTGTCAATGATGTGCCAATCATGTGTCAGTGATGTGCCAATGATGTGTCAACAATGTGCCAATCATGTTTCAATGATGTGTCTATGATGTGTCAATGATGTGCCAATAATGTGTCCATTATGTGCCAATGATGTGTAAATGATGTGCCAATGGCGTGCCAATGATGTGTAAATGATGTGCCAATGATGTGTAAATGATGTGTCAATGATGTGCCAATGATGTGTCAATGATGTGCCAATCATGTGTCAATGATGTGCCAATCATGTGTCAATGATGTGCTAAGGATGTGCCAATCATGTGTCAATGACCTTTAATACCTTTACTATATTTTCATTCTGACCTTGACGTTTCTTCTTCTTCTTCTTCTTCTACTTCTTCTTCTTCTTCTTCTTCTTCTTCTTCCTTCTTCCTTCTTCCTTCTTCTTCCTTCTTCTTCCTTCTTCTTCCTCTTCTTCCTTCTTCTTCCTCTTCTTCCTTCTTCCTTCTTCCTTCTTCCTTCTTCTTCTTCTTCTTCTTCTTCTTCTTCTTCTTCTTCTTCTTCTTCTTCTTCTTCTTCTTCTTCTTCTTCTTCTTCTTCTTCCTTCTTCTTCTTCTTCTTCTTCTTCTTCTTCTTCCTTCTTCTTCCTTCTCTTCTTCTTCTTCTTCTTCTTCTTCTTCTTCTTCTTCTTCTTCTTCTTCTTCTTCTTCTTCTTCTTCTTCTTCTTCTTCTTCTTCTTCTTCTTCTTCTTCTTCTTCTTCTTCTTCTTCTTCTTCTGTTTTTTATCCCTAGTGGAGCATAGGTCCTCAACCAACTCATGCCATGTCATTTTATCCTTTGCTATTGCTCACAGCTTACGAGTTGTCCATCCCTCTTTTTAAGTTCACCCTCTAGTTCCCTTCTCCATAAATATTTTGAACCATCCTTACTTCTGTGCCCCTGTGGTTTCCAGTCTAAAGCCCTTCCAGTTATCTAGTTCTTATATTTTATTTGTATAAAAAACTATTAAGTAAAGTTACATTTCCATTTAAAGTCTGAAGGTGTAACAGGTGTATGAAAGAAAAAAATTAAGGACCCTTTTTTACGCTAGTGGTGCACTAAGCATATGACGCTAGACATATGTTATAGACAATCATCTCTCAATGGGTGATGTAGTCATGCTGGCTGCCTTTACTTTCCAGGACATGTCCTGATATCCATTTAAGACTAATTCATCCTGGTAATTATTTACCAAAAGAGTAGAAGGATGTACAGCAAGAGGTAGACCAAGAACAAAATGGGAAGGTAACATCAGAGAAACTCTACAGCACCATGATGTGTCAAAGCAGCCAGTTTTATATCTCCTTTGACACCCAAAGCGGTAAAAGAGGACGTAAAGAAGAGAAGAAGAATTATTTACTACCTACAGTGATTTACTATGTTTAGGTAAGTAGTGCCATTGCAGACACTGCCTCTGGATAAGAAACATTGGGCATTCACATAATCTAGATCTCCACAATCTCCCAACTTTGCTTCCTGCATGTTCTGTGCAGAGCTGCAAGCATTACTTCAGAGGACCTGGGGAGTTAGAATCTTTTGGATATTTTATTGAGGGGATGCCTGTGTGTTGAGAAATGAGCAGATGGATAGATTGGCTGGGTGATCAATTCACATTGTTACTGCCTTTCCTTCACATAAATTCCTAAAAATTTTACGAGCCTAGTTGTTGTTGTTGTTCTTCTTCTCCTTCTTCTTTTTCTTCTTTTTTTCTGTGCTTTCCCTTAAAAGAGTGGTTAGCACACTGTTTTGTGGTTTACAGCTCAGCTACAAAATCTGTACTTTTCTGTCCAACACATCCACTTTCAGCAAAGCCCTAATTAGTTGCCTTGTTTTGACATGCTTGTTAAGAAGAAGAGAAAAAGCAAACACGAACATCCTACACGATCTGAAAATCGAGGAGAACTATCTCATAAACAGCATCCTACACGATCTGAACATCGAGGAGAACTGGCTCATAAACAGCATCTTACACGATCTGAAAATTGAGAACTGTCTTATAAAGAACATCCTGTCTGAAAGCTGAGGTATTTTAGCCATGGTATTCTAAGAATTTTCTATTAAACTTCATGATGGCCTGGAGAGAACAGTGATGGAGAGTACAGTCTGCAGAGGCAGACTTCCATGAATGTGGACACAAGACAAAGGGGAAATCCAAACAGGGGAAATCCACAGGACACAGAACAGTCTAATATTTCAGGGGGTGGTAGATAGGCTGCATTCAGTCATGGAACTAGGCTGCATTCAGTCATGGCACCTAGGCTGCATGCAGTCATGGGACCTAGGCTGCACTCTCTCGTGGGACATAGGTGGGTTTGGGTTAAGGCAAGTTCTAGATGTTTTGGGGTTGTTAAAAGCATCAGAAAGTCGAGAAACTAAGTCTCACCACCCTCTATAATGTTGGACTGTCCTGTGACGTCAGCTTGGGTAGGATATTAATAAAGCACCGAAAGTTGAATTCTGCCATAGCTAAGGACTAAACCCAATCCACTATCTTTGTAAGCACAGCACCCACTTCACCAACCCAGCTACACAGCTGGTGACAGTTTCAACATTACAGTCTTCACTTACTGCTAGCCTCTGGAGCTTACGCATCTGCAGCTCAATTTCTTTGGTGTTTTTCAGATCCTTCTGTTTGAGGGTCTCGAATGTGTTCTTTCTTTCTTCGTTCATTTCATTGTATGTTTGTAAGGCTTGTTTGAACTGCTGCCACAGGTCATCTATTTTAGTTTCTAGTTGCACTTTCAGGGCATGCTTGTCCTCCAGATTCTGTTTAGAAGTAGAGATGTTGAGAAATATAGCAATGACAGTTTTAAAGATGACAACATAATGACACTAGAGCAAAAATATGTACAGTGGTGTGAGAGTCACACCATAGAAGAGATTGAGCCCCCCCCCCCCCATCCTGTAATATTCACAAAGACAACAGTGGGCTCGCTGTAACTAACTTTTATTGTGGAGAGGGCACACAGTTTAGAACATCATTCATGAGCGTTACAAAGTTACCTTGTTCTTCATTTCCACTTGTACTGCTTCCTTCTTCTTCTTTTTCGCGTTCACCAGCTATAAACTCTGGCGGAAAGTTCTAGTTGTTCATCAACTTTTGGACTGCAGTCCTGTTCCAGAGCCTAAGAGTTGCGTGTGCATCCATTTCACACATCTGACTCATTTGTATGCAGACTGCTGGTTCCTTGCCTCTTAGGCAGATGCACTCCGACTTCGAAAGAACCTCCAAAATAGTTGACTCTTAAGACATGCTTTTGGGTAGGCAGTGGGTCTATTCTTGTTTTCCCTATAATAGGGCCCAGGGACCCACACAGGGAGTACTGCTTCCGAAGTGTGGGAGATATAAGGTTCTGCTTCTTGCTGTTCTGACCGCCTCGACAATAGGCACATTCTACTCTACTGTTGCTGAGTTTCTCTGATGTTTTTTTACCAAAATTATCAACTTACAAATGAGCCAGCAATGTTTTGTCAAACCTTTGATTACAGTTGCCTTCACAGGGCCAGATCAAATAATTGTGTGGGTCTTATATGGCCCAAGTTTCGGACAGTCCCCAGTCCTGTTTTACAGTAAAGTGAAGTAAAAGATCCTTTCATGCCAGTAGTAAATTAGGCATATGAGGCTGGACTCATATTTTCAGGGACCAGTCGACACTCCTTGGGTCATGTGATCAACATCATCCAGCCACCTTTACTTCCCAGGTCTTTACCTGGCACCTATTTTAGGCTGGCTGATCTGGGAACCAAGGTAATTATTTTTGAATCTGATTCAACCCATGACCCATGGGGAAAAAGAATAGATTCTTTGAAATCGAAGTGTGTCTCCATGAGAGTTAAGGAACCAACAGTCTGCATACAAATTTCAGATCTATAAAATAGATTTGCATTCAAAACTCAAGTTCTAGAATGAGACCACAGTCCAGAGGTGGACGAACAACCAGAACTTTCCATCAGAGTGTACAACCAGTAAATGCTCAGAAGAAAAAGAAGAACTCGTGACCTTTGGACCAGCAGGTGAACGTTCTGTTCTGGAACAAAATAAAAATTATTACTATCTAACTCTAACAAACTAATCATATCTAGATATCTGACCTTATTTTTGATCTCATCTTGCATCGACTGAAACTCTGCACGAGCTTCATTCTCACGGGTCTCAAAGTTCTCCTCCATGGCAAAGATAATATCAGCAATGTTGGACATGTCATTCGTGTGCTGCTCGATGAAGATGGACCTCTCTAGATCAAATTCCTCACAGATGATCTCCAGTTCCATGGCATATTCCTGATTCAGACTTTCAATGCGTTTCATTTGTAGGTCTAAGATGGGAAACAGTGATAAATGACAAGAAAATTAGTCAATGGTTTGTAAAAATCTATGGACAAGTCATTTGCCTAGCACTTTAGAGGTCATGGGTTCATTTTATGGCCATGTTCGGTTCATGAGAACAATTTTACAGAAGATGCCTGTGGATCACTACTGAAGCTAACAAACTTCATGCAGCTCTTTTAGCAGGTGGCAGGCTGTGCTGTGGCGAGAGACCCAGTCATACAGGATAAATGCAATGAAGTCGATCCTTTCGACTTTAACTTTAAGAGAAATCTGGACAATGAACAAGCAATCAGAAAGTCCAAAAGAAGTCCTGGAGATACAGAATAATTAATCATATTTAAATGCTGCCAAAGGTTTGGATGACTCCACAGACTCCATAATTTAGCAGCAGGAGACAAAACAACAGCAATCTCCGCAAAAACAATAATAGCTGAAGTTACTCACAAAGACACACAAAGATTTTCATTTCAAGAGAAATCTGGATAATGAATGTGCAACAAGTGGGTCATAGAGATATAAAATAATTAATCATATTTAATCCTAATTTAGCAGCAGAAAAAAAAAACATTAGTCTGCACAACAACATTAATAGCTAAAGTTACACACACAGACACACATGTGTACAAACACGCAGAATAAACTCTATTACCCATCAAGAAATCAATCTTCTGCAAATGACTTCTCAAGGCCATTGCGTACTGCTCCTCTGCTTCTGCGATGTCTTTGAACAATGACTTGATGACGGCATCCTTGGAATCAATGACCCTCTCAAACGTCTGGCTTAGAATCTCAATGTCCTTGACCAGATCCTTGGCTTTGGCATCCCTCATGATGTTTCTCCACTGGCAGTTGAGTTTGTTCAGGTTGAACAATGTGGCTTTCTCTTCCTTCATCAGCTTGTCCTAGAAATGGAGCAACAGGATTGGAGATGCTATAAAAACTTGGCAGTGCTGTCTTAACACATGAACTTGCTGGGTGTTTGCCCGGGCCCCCACGAATATAAGGGCCCCAAGCTAATCTGTGTATGTCATGTGACTTGCCATAATGGTTTTTGTAGGGGTACCATCTAGTGAGAATGCAGCCAGACCAAACTGCATATTAGACTTTTTACAGCAAAGCATCTGAGAGGAAGGTGAGAGGAAGACCAAGAAATAAATGGATAAATGTGTAGTTGAAACCTGTAAAAAGTTGAACAAATCAAACACTCAAGCCACAAGAGAAGTGCAAGACAAATACAGAAAACCTGGACACTGGGCTACAAACTGGTATCAGTGAAACAACAAAAGAAGAGAAGAAAGAAGAAGTAGGGCCACCAGCACACACTGGTTTTCCCAAGAGCCCATAATGTTGTTAAGACAGCTGTGATGCTAGGATTAATATGAGCTGGGGTTATGACCCCGTGTTGGCTGGATAAACTTTGCATAATTTTATTACATTTTGATGTTAAAATAGTGTCAGGAAATTATAAATTAGTGTGATCATACTGGGTTGATGGTAAATAAAGTTTTAAAATATAGTAAAGTCTTACTCTAAATTAATGTTGCTGAAAATAAAAATCACAGTTAGAAAGAAACAAACAAATAAAGAAACAAACAAAGAAAGACATTTTATTACAAAGAAAATTTTGTTGAAATATGCTGTTTTAAACTGAAACAAGATAATAGAATCATATTTAGAAACAAAGTGTGTACACAACAAAGACACTTCAAACTTCTTGAGTGTAAGTAACTAAAAAAAAAAGGCTGACAGGGATGATTAATAAAGTTAGATGCATATCCTTTACAGGATGTTGCAGAACCAACTTTAGAGTTTTGTGGCTGTATTGTGATTTCACTAGGTAATTTTACGTTCATTAGTTTGCCATTGCTCTCAGAACAGTAGGCTCTTGATACCACTGTCAAAACCAGTACAAGGTGGTCTGCTGAAAAACTGCTCGCAACTGATATCGAACCTGGCATTCAAGAGTTACAAAACTTGTTAGCAACATCTAAGCCATAGATACTGATATGGGGGTGCTTACCTTTAAAAATTGTGCAAGAACATCTTCCCGTTTTTTCTTTAATTCTTCTTCAGCGTATCTTTTCTGTTCTTCAAAGGCAATCCTCTCCTCATCTGACATTAGAGTTTCTTTCTTTTTCTTGACCATTTTGATGTCAACTGTTGAAGTTAGAACTTCCTGGCTGGTAAAATAATTGTTAAAATATTATAATTAATTAATTTTTCAATTACAGTTACTGCCATTAAGATACGAAGACAAAGTAAAGAAAAAAACTGATTGACAGTAAACATTTGGTTTCCCAGGATAGTGCAAGGAAAACTATTTAAAAAACACACACAAAAAAATGTTGAGAACCATAAATTAATGAGAGAAATTAAATCTAGACTTTGAAAATGTTTGGTGGCATGAGAACATTACAAACTGTTCCTGCACACACATAATTATTCCTTATGGAACTTTGCTAGTCTGAATAAAAACTGGCCATAGATCACAACACAAATTGCTATGAACATAGACAAAAGGCATTCCAAAACAAACCACACAGCTTGTAGTGTTGCAGCAAGCACTCAACTCAGTAGTTTGAAACAATGGACTCAAGTTCATATGTGGAAACTTTGTAAGCAAACCAAGGCCAGAAGCAAGCAACATTTCAAGACTTTCACCGACTGCCTGCCTTTCCACATACAGGACAAACCTGATAGAAACTAAGCAATGGAAATACAAAGTGATAAACTCTTGAACAACCACACATTCAGGCACACCCCCCCCCCCCCAACACACATATGTGTATTTATAAAAACACAACCAGACTATATGCATACAGAAAAAGAAAGACTAGTAAAAGAAGGAGGGGGGCAAAAAGAAGAAAAAGATGATGAGGATGATGATGAAGAAGAAGAAGAAGGAGGAGGAGGAGAAAGAAATGGGGGAGGAGAAAAACAGAAGTCAAGAAAGTGTACAATAAAACCCAGGATGGTACTGAATATTTAACTTGATTTCACAGCAACTAACACAAAATTACTGCCCAGAGGCATTAAACAGGCATCTGAGTTTAAATATCTGGGAACTACATTTACCGAAGATGGAAAATTGGATAAAGAAATTAACATTAGATGCAGTAAAGCAAACCAAGTATTGGGACAGCTAGCCCCCTTTTACAGCATAAGACAATCCCAATCAGCACAAAGAGACATCTTATTCAAAGCATATTTTTTTCAACTCTGTGCCACCAGTGCCAGACATGGTCACTCACAACAACCCATAAAAGAAAATTAGTAACCATGGAAATGAGATGTCTGAGAAGGGCTGTAGGAGTGACCATAAGAGATAAGATCAGGAATGAGATCCTAAGCGAAAAAGTCGGCACAGAACCAATTCTAAATTACATACAAAGACAGCAAGTGAAATGGTTTGCCCACTTAGAGAGAATACCTTGTGACACCATACCATACAAAGCATACATGGAAAGAGAAGAAGGTCGTAGAGCAAGAGGTAGACCAAGAACAAGATGGAAGGATAACATCAGAGAAGCTCTACAACAGCACGATGTGCCTATGGTCGAGGCGGCCAGAAGAGCTCGAAACAGAACCTTTTATCTCCCTCGACACCCACAGCGGTAAAAAAAGAAGTGAAGAAGAAGAAGAGTGCCCAGAGGGACCCAGTAACATTACGTTAGACTCACTAGCACTGATAGTAGGAAAAGAAAGAAGGCAAACTTTTTTTTTTCAGAACAACATTCTTTAATTTATATTACAGTGATAACACTATGTGTACATGTCTTTTCCTTTCTCCCAGGGGTGTTCAGTTTTCTAACCATTGTTTGTGTTGTATTCAGTTATTTTACAATTTATAATAGTAATAAAACCACAATGGAAGTTAATTATTTGAGGTAATTTCTATAACTGTTGATATGAGTGTTCATCGGCTATAAACTGCAGAGGAATTTAGTCTTGATCTAGAACTTCGTATTTGCGTGCATATCTGTTATACAGATCTGGCTTACTTGAGTTCAGACTGTTGGTTCTTTGCCTCTCAGGCAGATCAGATGTCTCCGGCTTTGAAGGAGACACTTAATAATATTATTAACGTTTACTCAGTATAACGCCCATCAGAGAGAGGGATCAGGAATAGAGGCAGGTGATATTTGAAGCAGTTAGCTCAGAGCACTTGGCATGTAGAAAAAGAAGAAGATAATTATATACTTGCGCTGATTACAAATTTGTGTGAATATTTATATACCTGCTAATAAGATGGTTTATTTTACTTAAGAATGCCAAGTGTGCTGAAAGTGAGCGTATGCTGTTGTTATGGTTACGGAGGACATTTAAAAAAGTTAAACAATAAACGAGAACAATATAAGAACAAATAATATTAAACAATCTATTTATAATTAGAGCAATTATTAAAATTAAATCGAATTAAAGAAAAAAAAAAAAACTCATACGATTAAAAGTTGAAAGGAATTAAAATGCATAATAAATAAACTGTTACTATATTTGTTTTGTTGAGACGCTTTTTCAGCCCACTCTCAAAACAACGTCTGCCAGTGAGGGTGGTCTCCCCTGTGTGTTGGCTGCCTGCAGCAGGAGATGGCCGACGTTTGTCTGCTTGTGTCTTTACATCATCTCTGAGGAGATTGCACAGTCGGTGGTGGCATAAAGTCTTTTCAAAATAAACAAGGCTGTAAATTCATCTGTCTGCAGCCGATATTTAGGTAATACAACGTCTGATTGTTTAGAGAATTCCAGAGAAATTTGACTAAAAAGCTCAACAAAATGGGAAAAAGGAAAACGTGCACAAAACAACACAACGTAACGTTTCGGCCAGGCAGCCTTTTTCAAACACAAGTAGACTACACAAAAGAGGAATATAAGGATTCCTCTTTTGTGTAGTCTACTTGTGTTTGAAAAAGGCTGCCTGGCCGAAACGTTACGTTGTGTTGTTTTGTGCACGTTTTCCTTTTTCCCATTTTGTTGAGCTTTTTAGTCAAATTTCTCTGGAATTCATTGTATTAGCTTGACTGCAGTCACCCCCATAGTTTCACCATTCCTGATTGTTTAGAGGCAGTAATTTTAGCGCTGCAATCAAAGTCAAAGAAGGGCTCTACTGTCAAATTTGGCCGGTAAGCTGGACTGCTTCGGCCGGCTTAGTGGGAGTTATGTCCCTTGGCCAAACTCAAAACAAGTCGCGGAAAAAGTCACGAAACAAATGACATACTTACCTATCATCATCCGGGTGCGTGTAGGGTTGCGTAGGGTGTCTATCATCGTCCTACGGTTGTAGGGCTGCTTATTGCGTGTAGGGTTGGTTGTTTGCGTAAGATAGATGAGGGTTAGGGTTAGCGTTTAGGGTTAGGTTTAGAGGTTAGGGGTTAGGTGTAGCGTTAGATGTAACAATTGTGACGCCGTAGTTCTCTATAATCGCGCACAGTCGCATGCACGCGCAAACAGTCGACGGACGGTGGATGCTACTGACACGGACAATTCGCCACCGATTGGGGCACCAGCCGCCGCGCGCTATTGCCATCATATTTGGCACACTTCCAGTGGCACCACTCCCACAAGCATCAGATTGTCGGAAAGTATTTCGACCTCCAATGTGACTATTTTCACATTTAACCCTACCCCTAACCCCTACCCCTAACCCTACCCCCTAACCCTAACCCTACCCCTAACCCGACCCCTAACCCTACCGCTAACCCAAAAGCTACGCAACCGTATGATGATGATGATGATAGACACCCTACGCATCCCTACACGCAACCGTATGATGATGATGATAGACACCCTACGCAGCCCTACGCGCAACCGTATGATGATAGGTAACCCTAGACGCAACCCTAGGCAGCCCCACACGCACCCGGATGATGATAGGTAAGTATGTCATTTGATTCGTGACTTTTTCGGCGACTTGTTTTGAGTTTGGTGAAGGTACGCGAAGGGACATAACTCCCACTAAGCCCCGCTAAGCCGGCCGAAGCAGTCCAGCTTACCGGCCAAATTTGACAGTAGAGCCCAAAGAAGTATATTTTGGAAAGAAAAACATAAGTTCTTTTTCTTTTTATTCCTCCTACTCCTCCTAGACGCTTTAGAGGGCGGTCGTCACGTTTTACAGCTAGGCTCCGTATTTGAGCACTAAACATAGTCCACTAATTAGTCACCCTAATTTACAACATGCCTGTTATGACATCCTCCCTCCTCACTCCCATTAATATCCCCCTGATAATGTTTGCGGGCTATCCTCTGAATGACGGCCACATATTATGGGCGCCAAAAACAGGGCCTCAGTCACATGTAAATTGCGGAATTCCAGCAACTATACTGCCACTGCCAAGAGCATCTTCCGTGGAGCGGGGCTAAACTAGATTGCTGGGACTCACAAGCAAAGCTGTAGGAGATGCGGAAGCTGCTGCTCATGAGTCCCAGCCATCTAGTTAAGCTGCGCGTAGCAGCGCAGGAGATACTCTCGGTGGTGGTGGTATAGTCGCCTGTCTGCAATTTAAGTCGCCGGAAGTCCGCAATTTACATGTGACCGAGGCCCTGTCAGGGTGTGTTTTTGGCCGCCATAATATGTGGCCGTTATTCAGAGGATAGCCTGTTTGCGTACTATGCTGAAAATCGAAATATTTTGGTCACGAAAGTTTAGAGAGAGTAATAATGAGGGGTATATGCCTGGGAAGAGAGGAAGAGGAAGGCCAAAGAAAAGATTGGGCGGATGATCTCAAGAAGGATGTATCGGACGCAGAACATCTTGCTTTTGATCAAGAAGTTTTCCTGAAGGTTGTTATGGGAGCAAGGTTCTGCAAAGGACATGCTACTGACTATGCTAGGTGTAAGTAACGAGGAAAGATTGACTTAGGAACAGTGATATCAGGAGCAGAGTCAGCACAGAACCAAAACTGAACTTTATAGATCAAATGGTTTGGCTGTGTAACAAGATTGGCATTAGACAGGGCAGTGTTATACAGATACAGCTGTAGGCTCTCCTCCGAACTTCTACCCCCGCATTATGGCGGCCTGAAATATACTTACAGGGCTCAGTCCAGTTAAAAATATGTGAACTTCCAGCGACGAATGAATCGCGGTAAAACTAGGATCGGCTCCGTGTAGTGAAACAAATGCTCTAACAGGGTCTCAGCAATATGTTAATTGGGGACCTGTTTCTGTGACTATGCCTCACCGCCTACCGTATCCCCCGCGCCGCTACGCACGGCGTGGATGGGGACTAAACTAGATGGCTGGGACTCACGAGCAGCAGCTACAGCATCTCCTGCAACTTCCTCCAATTAATTTGCTCGTGAGTCCCAGGATGGGGTCTAAACTAGATGGCTGGGACTCAGGAGCAAAGGTACAACATCTCCTGCAACTTCCTCCAATTAATATGCTCGTGAGTCCCAGGCATCTAGTTTAGCCCCCCATCCGCGTAGCGGCGCGCCGCGCATAGCGGCGCGGGGGATACTGTTGGCAGTTTTTTTTTTTTCATCGAACACCGGCTGTGAATTCCAATGGAAGGTCCCGGTTAATCGTCCGCTTGGACTTTTGGCTTTCACCTGGACCTGATTTTTGCGTGTACAACCGTTTTTCATTTCCCTGCCTCTTGGGCAGCTGTACGCCGACTTCGAAGGACTGTTGGCAGTAAGTGTAACTGTGTTTTGGGCATGCCGAAAAGTTTGAGGACAACAACGACGCTAATCTGCGTTGGCGCATGTGGTCTCCCCGCCATGTCGCTTTTATCCTCTGCAGAAACGCTCGAAAGTGTCAACGTTCGCTATTATCGTCTGTAGTGTTGCGTCTCTTAAAATTGTCAGGTAATCAGAAACAGGTCCGCAATTAACATATTGCTGAGACCCTGTTAGAGCATTTGTTTCTCTATACGGAGCCGATCCTAGTTTTGCCATGATTCGTTCGTCGCCGGAAGTTTGCATATTCTTAATAGGACTGAGCCCAGTAAGGATATTTTTCGGCACCATAATGCCGGGGTAGATGTTCGGAGGAGAGCCCATTTGTAACAGATCCAGATATCGACCACATAGAAAAAATATCAGAGACACTGAAAAATACTTTTTTTAACGAAGAGAACTGAAATGTCAGTTCCAGAGATCTCTTCCTGCCCTGACGCTGGAAGCATCTAAGAGTTGAGAAAAGAAGAAGAACTTTAATACAGTTCATTTGTTAGAAACAAAACACTCCACATCCACCAAACTTTTTTGAATGCTTTAAGTCTGAAGTGATGGCTGAGCATATTCTAAAATGAGTTATGCACATGTATATGATTTTCCAACTATCTGTTTTGCATACTCAGTTGCTTGGGGGAGGAGAGCTCTACAGTAAAGTCTCAATTGGTTCCTCCCCACAGTCGTATCCTGTTCAGTCATTTCAACAGGAATCCAGTCTCGCACCTTAGCCACTTAACATTCGTCGCAGGGTTTCTTTTGTATCCTGTCACTTCATCGGATTATTTGCTTACTGTCAGAGTGCCTGTTTTGGTATTATTCACATAATTGTCCCAGAATGGGACCAATATTACCATCTTCTAAAATTACCAAAATAGCAAGTTTTATTATTGTGAGTTTCTTTACAAGACTTGTTTTTATAGGGTGAGGGGAACCTGTCCTGCTTATTTTTCATCTAGACTTGGCACTGACCAGGGTCTGGTCCTTTATGTGATGGAGTACGCTTTGGCGATTCTGACAGCCATACACAGAGAAACTACTGGATTCTGAATGAGACCGTGAACATCATACTTGCATGTACAAAGAATACGGCATGCAGGGCGATGTGCTACCTCCTTGATCTTCCAACCATGGAAGGGAGAGCAATGCTGACATATGTGTATGTGCGAGCTAGCGCCTGCATACATAATCCACTGTACGGTGAGATTTGCAGGAAGAAGCGTAGCAGCTTAAAGAAAGGACCATCTTGTATGGGTCAGGCCGAAGACAATTATTCATCAGGTTTATTCAATTGAGGACATAGAACCTGGTGATGAATGGGTACAGGTGCCAACAGAATGATGTACATCCTTTTCAGTCTGCTTAAAATTGGGCAGAGATCACAGACAACAAATCTATAGGTGCTAGAGGCAGAAGTTCAAGCCTTAATTCTGGAGAATTCTACTGAAGGAGGTGCAGTTAATTACATTAAGGATCTTTTACATCAATGGATCTGTCATTTGACAGGTGCAAAGCTCATAGGCTATCACAGTTCTTGTTGGAGAAAGAACTATAAAGGAAGATAGCCAACAAACAAATGGTAACGATTTTTTTGGGTGACAGTCAAAAAGCAGTTTAGATGAAGTCCACAGTTCACAGTGTCATACCATGCACTCATCTCAGTAGTTGGGTAACAAAACTGTATAATTTCAGTCTACAGATGGAGGAAAATGCAACGGCAACCCTCTGTCAGAAGCAAAAATTTGCCACAACCAAAAACAATAACCGTGTTTGTTGTCCATTTTGACAGGATGACTGCAGTCTGTGTCGATTTGTCCACAAGGAACAGTGATGGACATTCATTCTGTGTGTTTTTCTTTGGCACTGGAGTGGAGCGACTATGGGGTGGTCCATTTGCTATGAAACTGAAACTAAGATTATTACATTACTAGAGATTTTCTTGCATATGCAGGCAATATATACAGAGGTGCCTTCATATAATTACTACTGTTTTTCTTTCTTGTAAATTAAAAGACATTACTTCTACTAAGGTTAAATCAGTAAATTTTATTGAACAAATTATTTTTTATTTTGCTAGAAACAGCGCGGAAAATGGCATCTCAACTAGAATTAACTAAGCGTTCATCAAGAGATACACCTGTTGAAGTTCCTTCCAAAAGAAGCCGGTTTTCTGACAATTTTTCCAGTATCTCTACCCATGAAGACAGCAGAATACTGGAACATTTAAATGACCCTTTATTTTGGGGGCCATATCTTTCTGAACGGCAGTGGGGAACAGTTCGGGAGGATTATTCTATGAGCGGCTCCTGGTAACTAACCTTATATTGTTATTTCTAGATATAACTTTCTTGTTGCATCTAACTATACTTTCTTATTGTTTCTTACTATACCTTTCTTGTATCTAACTATACCTTTCTTGTTGTACCTCATGTGCCATTCTTTTTTTATTTTTCTATTTTTTTCTTTTTCTTCAAGTCTTTTTCATGGCTCTTGGTGGCATCCAGCGCAAAACCATTTTAAATGGCACACATAACTTAGTCACAATTATAACCTAAAGCTCCACTTTCAAGGATCTTGGTTAAACATGGTGATTTTTTTTCTTTCCCGCAAAGCACGTACCTCCTTACTCTCGGACCACTCAACGTCCATGAATCAAGGAAATCTCATGACAATGAAATTTTTGGAAGAACTAACAGATGCCGTCATAGTTCTGTTACCACCATATAATTCTAATAGAAAAATAACAGTCAATACATACAAATGTCACCAGTATTACTATATGTACTATCACTACTATCGCCGTCTGTGGCTTAGACGTTACGAACTCGCTTTGTAATGCCGGGGTGCTGGGTTCGATCCCAGCTGTGGGCCTTGTGTCTTGCGTTGGTTTTGACAGTGGTATCGAGAAGCCGACCGTCCAGAAAGAAATGGCAAACTACTGGACGTGCACTTGTCTAGAAAAACCACAACAGCCAAAAAATGCTCTGGTTGGTTCTGCATCATCCTGTAAAGGATACGCAACTAACTGACTATCACTACTACAATCTGCCACCACTAATCTATCCCCATGTGGCTTTGCCACATTCTAGTTGTCCAGACCATCCACTTGGACATTTGGTCGGTTACCGCCCTCAGCCTGCTTATAACCTAGACTCGTTTATATAATCTCACGTAGCCGACCTGTGGCCTGTGTGTACTCCATGACAATTATAGTTGGCATTCTGCTGGCAGTCCCACATTTATTCAGTCTCCACCCTTGCTAGGATCTTGACAGCGGGCACATCCAACTTAATCGGGCATTCGCTTTCTGGGTTAACCTTTATGATTAGTCTTATGGATCACTTCAGTCTCATTTGTCTGCAGATCCATGACCTTTATGACCTACACAGCATGGGCACCTTGCTTCTTCAGCATGTTAGACTTCTCTCTTTGCTAATACCATCTTTCACCTAAATGCCTCATGACACTTTGGTAAGTGTAAACAATGGTAGTAGACATTTGAACCTTCTGTGTCATCAGAAAGGATTGTTGCCCGATAAATTTATGAACGTTTACTGTCATCTAGTAGAATTTTCAGTCAGCAGATGTTTGAACTGTGGTTTGTCATTTAGTGGGAATACTTGGCAGTGATCTCTACTTATTGACCAAATGAGATTTTTTTACTGGATATTATCACCCATGTATTGATGATAGGCTAATGAGTGCGAGAGGTTTTTGTGGATAATGCATCTCTGGGTGCCACCAGTTCTGGGATTCCCTACCAAACTGATTTAGGCCAATATAAGCCACATTCGTGGTGCCTAAGGGGGTAGTTTGGCAGGTGTCTTGCATGAGATTCCATAAAACTAGCGCAGAAGCTGCTGGACCCTGAGGTAAGATTGACACTTTTCCTTCTTTCCAGATGATAGTGTTATGTTTCGCTATGAGGAGGCATGGGACTCACAGCCCATGGTGATGGCGAGTGTGACTAGCAAGACCTGCCAGTGTTAGGAAAAGTCTTCCACAACTATAGCATGCGGTTTCAGGACCATTGTTGTCAACATGTGTGTTTAGTCTGTTTTTCCTCAAATGCTCAGCTGTAATCCTTTCTGCAATCATTTCTTCCTTAATTCTCATTCCTTTCCTGAATGTATATCCCTTTATACACAAGACAACGGCTTTAACTTTCTTTCATTCATGTGACCAAAATCACCACACCACTATTGTATTTGAATCATCATCATCAGTTCTCGTTATGCCTAGTGGCACATGAGGCTTCAGAGAGGACTTTCCATGCTTTCCTGTCCTGTGCAATCTTCAATGCAAATTGTATTTGAATATTTTTGTTTATGTCCCTACTTTCTTGCTTTAAGTAACTATACTTTTTGTGTTGTACTCGTATTCATTGTTCTTCAGCTGGGACTATCTCACTTACCTGGAAGCGACCAAGCAAGCATACCACTGGGGTGAAGATGGTCTTCTGGGTGTCTCTGATAAATTTGGAATTTTGTGTGCGTCCCTGGCTCTGTGGAATAAAAAAGATCCCATTCTCAAGGAGAGACTGTTTGGTCTAACAGGCACCGAGGTATGCCAGTTGATTGAATGTTATATAAATACAGCTGTATGTCAAGAGAGTATAATACTATTGATTATTGCTGCTGTGTTTTGGAAGGTAGTGATTACATTTCATAACTCTTGTATGCTAGGGTTCCCCCTGTGTGGGCTCTGGGGCCCCATTCTGGGAGGAAGTTATTATGGACTATTATGGATTGATGTGCAATGATGATAATCTCTTGACTAACTAAATATGTGGGGGAAGGGGAGGGGTGGGGGGAAATAGACCCACTACGCCCCTCACAAGCATGTAGTAAAAGTAGACTACTTTAGGGTGTATTCTTCAAAGTCAGAGTGCACTTGCCTGAGAGATGAGGAAGTAACATTCTGCATACAGATAAGTCACATTTGTAAAACAGATGTGCATGCAAAAGTGAAGTTCTCAAACAAGAACTTGCCACCAGAGCTGACAGCCGGTGAATACAAAGAAAACAAGAAGAAGCCCTGAACATACTGGCACACAAATATTCTTTGATAAATTTAGAATTTTGTGTGCGTCCCTGGCTCTGTGGAATAAAAAAGATCCCATTCTCAAGGAGAGACTGTTTGGTCTAACAGGCACCGAGGTATGCCAGTTGATTGAATGTTATATAAATACAGCTGTATGTCAAGAGAGTATAATACTATTGATTATTGCTGCTGTGTTTTGGAAGGTAGTGATTACATTTCATAACTCTTGTATGCTAGGGTTCCCCCTGTGTGGGCTCTGGGGCCCCATTCTGGGAGGAAGTTATTATGGACTATTATGGATTGATGTGCAATGATGATAATCTCTTGACTAACTAAATATGTGGGGGAAGGGGAGGGGTGGGGGGGAAATAGACCCACTACGCCCCTCACAAGCATGTAGTAAAAGTAGACTACTTTAGGGTGTATTCTTCAAAGTCAGAGTGCACTTGCCTGAGAGATGAGGAAGTAACATTCTGCATACAGATAAGTCACATTTGTAAAACAGATGTGCATGCAAAAGTGAAGTTCTCAAACAAGAACTTGCCACCAGAGCTGACAGCCGGTGAATACAAAGAAAACAAGAAGAAGCCCTGAACATACTGGCACACAAATATTGATAATATGTGTGGATCGGATTCACTTCTGTTGGGGTGTTTGTGGTGTGCAGCTTGTGCACTATGTTGAGATTTGCGCCGCAGTATCTATTTGGATTGGATTGGAACATTTCATGGAGTTATCAGTGTCTGTGGACACTTACATCCTCTAATGAATGTAAAATTGTGACCATAGAGATGTAATGCCTTAGAATATCTGCACGAGTTTCATGGAAAGACAGAATATGAAATCAGACGATTGCTAGGAATAAAGCCAGTCTTACAGGTCATCAAAGAACAACAAATGGAGTGGTTTGGACGCCTAACAAGAATGCCCTGGTACTATCCACCACAGCAAGCCCATTTGAAACGTTAAAACGGTATAGAGTGAGTGGAAGACCTCGGAAAATACGGAGTGATGGCATTAAGAACAGCCTTACAGAAATGAACATCAGTCTTAATAGTGCTCTCGACAGAGCTCATCAACAAACATTACATACATCTCCCCCCCCCCCCCCCACCCCCCCCCACCTCCCCCCTCCCCCCCCCCCCCCCCCCCCCCCCCCAGCCCCCCCCCCCCCCCCCACCCCGGCGCTTCACTAAGGTACAAGGTTTGAGAGAAGAAGAATCAGTGTCTGTAATGAATGTAGGGATGACCTATGCATGACTACGAGCTAAAAGTTTTTTTCTCCATGCTGCCAGCAAAGTGTCCTCTAGAGGGCGTTGCAGAACCAACCCCAGAATTTGTTAGCTGTTTTGGTTTTACTTCACAATTTTACACTCACTTGTTTGATATAGCTTAATGAACGGTCACCTCTCGACACCCCTTTCAAAATCAGCGCAAGGCGGTCTGCTGTCAAATTGCCAGCGGCTAGAATTGAACTGGGTACAGCAGAACTATGAAACATATTCACAGCGCCTAAGCCACAGAGGCGTACTGTGAACAAAGGTGATTAAGAATTCTCTCATTGCCTTCCTCTGCCTCTCTTTCTATATATCTGTCTGTCCTGTTTTTGGAATATCACTATGTATGGATCCATTTTAACTTTGAGAAACCAGATATATAGTTTATTTTGACAATGATTTTCATATGTAAATGGCTATCTATGTATTCCTTTTGACTTAGGGGAACCATGGAGAAGATGTGAAAGAGCTGTACTATTACCTTGACAACACACCAAAACATACGTATATGAAGGCCCTGTATAGATACCCTCAAGAAGAATTTCCATACGAAGCACTGGTTAATCATGGACGTACCCCTGCCGAACCTGAACTAGAGATAATGGACACTGGTTGGTTCAGTAAATTAACATTTATTTATAATCTGCATCCATTTTGAAATGTCATCACTCCTCGTTTAGGTTCTGGGGCCCCATTGTGGGGTGCAGACAGATTGGATGGATCTGCACCGCTGGGTGGTGAATTGATACATGACAAGGCACATGTGGTCAAGACCTTTTGGAAAGAAGCAACAAAGTCAGAAGAGAAGCTAGATTATTATAGCGTGGAGTGAATGTTGTACCTGGGTGTAACCAGAGGGTCTGGACGGCTCACTACACTCAGAGCAAAGGCAAGAAAGACATAAAACCAGACTAGGACCAGTATTATTGTTATTGGAACTTTGCGCTGGCTGCTGAAAATTGGGACAGAGCACATATGGGAATACCCCGAGTGCTGTGATGTCAATTTTTGTGGAGGGGAGGGGGGAGAATAGACCCACTGCTTCCCTAACAAGCATGTCGTAGGCGTCGACTAAGTAGGGGATTCCTTTGGCGTTGGAGTGCATCTGCCTGAGAGGCAAAAGACCAACAGTCTGCATCAAAATATGCCACGTGTAACATTGGTGTGCACGCAAAACACAAGTTCTTAAACATGATAAAGTCTAGAAGTGTACTTACAGCCAAAATTTTCTGGAGTTTACAGCCACTGAGCATGATGAAGAAGAAGAAAAATCATCATCATCATGTTTATGAACAATGCTTTCATCACAGCCCACCTGAAAGAAACCGCCACTTGCCAGATCTCCCACCTCATGCACTTTCCTACCCAAGATGTCTCTTATATCCTGTGCCCATCTTTGTGCTGTTTGGTCCCTTTCTCTCTTTCCTGTTACTATGCCCTCCGCTACTGTTCTTTCCAATCCACTGTGGCACTTGATGTGGCCAGAACCTTTCAGTTTCTGAAACAAGATCCTGTTTATGAGCTGATCTTCCTTGATGTTTAGATCTTTTACGATGTTAATAGAGCTTATCTTCTTGGTCCATGGCATTCTGGGAATCTTTCTGTAACCTTTCAGATAAATAACCCCTTGGATCTGTTTTCAGAAGTGGATTACTGATCTGAAGTTTAGTTGGATAATTTCAGATGTGGATTACTTTTCTGAGGTAGTTGGATGTTTTTATGTGTGGATTACTTTTATGATGTAGTTGGATGTTTTCAGATTTGGATTACTTATCTGATGTAGTTAGATGTTTTCAGATGTGGATTACTTATCTGATGTAGTTGGATGTTTTCAGATATGAATTACTTTTCTGATGTTGTTGGATGTTTTCATTTGTGGATTACTTTTCTGATTTATTTGGATGCCTTCAGATGTGGATTACTCTTCTGATGTACTTGAATGTTTTCAGGGGTGTTTGATCATCACAATTACTGGGATGTCACTGTTGAATATGCAAAACCTGTCAGCCGTACCATGATGTGCCGCATCACTGTGTTCAACCACTCGTCACGTCACGCCACATTGGATGTTTTGCCTCAGTTCTTTTTCAGGTGTGTATCAGTCTGGCTTGTCTGAGTGTGGGTTCCGGGGCCCCTCCTTCTTAGTGTTAACTGGCTGTAAACTTCACTCTAAAGTTCTGGTTGTTTATCCACTCTAGAACTCAGTCTTGCCTGCACATCCTCTTTACAAATCTGGTTTATTTGAATGCAGACTGTTGGTTCCATGCCTCTCAGGTTCATTCACTCAGACTCTGAAAGAAACACTTCTAATATTCACCTCCTACAACGCGCTTGTTAGCTTGTCAACCACGTTAGTAATTCTGACATACCATTTAAGTCTTATTCTGCAGAGCCCTGGTTTTTCACTGGCTAATGATCCTCGTGTGGGTTCCAGGGCCCCTTTGTGGGGGAAAACAAGGATAGACCCACTGCCCCCCCCCCAACAAGCAGGTCATAAGAGTCAACTAATTAGACACTGCCTTCAAAGTCAGAGTGCATCTGCCAGAGAGGCAAGGAACCAGCAGTCTGCATACAAATAAGCTAGATCTTTAAAACTGATGTAGACAGAAAAACTCAGGTCCTGTAACAAAGCCAAAGTCCAGAAATGGATGAACAACCAGGTCTTTTCGCCGAGGGTTTACAGCCAATGAATGCTACAACTGGCTAATGAATATTTATAATGTTTTAGTAATTGTTCCATGTGTGGGTTCTGGGGCCTCATTAAAAAGGGGGGGGGGGTTTGGGGGGTGGGGGGGGGGGTAGAGGGTAACCTTACCTGCAACCTTAAAAGCATGTCATAAAATATATCTAATTAAGGATTTGCTGAAAATTGATGTTTTAGGTTGAAAGTGGCAGATTTCACAGCCCAGCTGTAAACCACAATACAGTGTACCAACTGCCATTTTAAGGGCAAACACAGAAGAAAATAATAGAATTAGTAATTGTTTTCTCGGTGGGGGTTTATGGGCTTCATTATGGGGGTGGTAGGAATAGGCTTACTACCACCCTCACATATTCCCTAAAATACTCCCCCCCCCCCTCCCTCCCAAACATACCCCCAAACATACCCCTCTAACAAGCATGTCATGAAAGAAAACTAATTACAGAAGCTTCCATCCAGGTCGGAGGTCTTCTGCATGAGAGGCAAGGAACCAACAGTCTACATTTAAATAAGCCAGATTTGTAAATCAGATGCACATACGCAAAACTCTGGTTTTGGAACAAGACCTAAGCACAGAAGTGGACCAAAAAACTAGAACTTTCTGCTGGAGTTTATAGTCAGTGAATGCTAAGAAAAAGAAGAAGAAGATTTGTTTTAGCTGTTCTGTTTGTTCCTGTGGAAAAGTCACAAAGATTTTCTAATCAAAAAGAAAGATGTTAATGAATATTTTATTTTGGTTGTTGACAGAAACACCTGGAGTAAGTTAGGTCCTGGACGAACTGAGCATATCCCACTGTTTCAGAAGTCTGATATTGATGCTATTGATGCCATTTGTGATTTGGGTTAGAGTTGTTTGTTGTTATTTATTATTAGTTTAACATGGGCAAGTCTTGCTAGTCACCCTTGCCATCGCCATCTGGAAGGATGAAAAAGTGGCACCAGTATATTATTGTATTATTTTATGTAACTTTTTTTTTAAATAATTGTATTTTTTCTCAGTGTTCAAGACTATATTGTTCTCACTGAGGTTTGAGATTTGAACAACAGATCAACATCCTGGCACATGGGTAGTAACCCAAAAGTGCTCTGATCCTTTTCTAACTCAAGTCTGAGTTCGAAGAAGCTCAGCACAGTGCACATGCTTTGTAGAACCCGCGAGAATTCTGAAATACTTTGAGCAGATTTTTAACTCAAAATTTTACCCAGGCAGCGTCGTTAGGCTACTTTTTTTAAAATTTCCAACTGCCAAGGAATTTTTTTATGTGCTCAACAATGCATACGTACATCCGATCTCACTACCCAGAGACAAGGGGAAATTACTAGAAGTCCAAGTTCACATGAAAAATCCCAGCCCTCAACGGGCATTGAACCTGAAACCTCTAGCACTCCAGGTGGACACCATGCCTCGATACCACGCAGCCCCCTCACTATTTCTTTTATATATTTCTTCTGGTTTATAACTATACTTCTCTCATTATACTTAACTACATGTTTATCCTTCATGTTTTATCTTGCAGTATTTTTCTGTTCATTTCTAACTATACTTTCCTTACTTTTTCTTTACTTTGTCTATACTTTCCTTGCTGTGTCTGTACTTTCCATGCTGTCTATACATTCCTTACTTTGTCTATACTTTTCTAGCTTTGACTATATTTTTTTTTACTTTGTCTATATTTTCATTACTTTGTCTATCTTACTTTGTCTATACTTTCCTTGCTGTGTCTATACATTCTGTACTTTGACTACTTTCTTTACTTTGTGAATATTTTCATTGTTGGCGTCTGTGGCTTAGGCATTGCGAACGAGCTTCGTTATGCCGGGGTACCGAGCTCAATCCCAGCTGCAGACCTTGTGCCTTGCGTTGGTTTTGACAGTGGCATCGAGAAAAGCCAACCTTTCAGAAAGCAATGGCAAACTACATGACGTAAGTTTGCCTAGATAAACCACAACAGCCAAAAAAGGCTGGGATTGGTTCTGCAATGTCCTGTAAAGGATACGCAACTAACATTTTATAAAAATTACTTTCTCTATAATTTCCTTCCTTTGTCTATACTTTCCTTTCTGTGTCTATAATTTCCTTACTTTGTCTATACTTTCCTTTCTGTGTCTATAATTTCCTTACTTTGTCTATACTTTCCTTACTTTGTCTGTACTTTCCTTACTTTGTCTCTACTGTCCTTACTTTGTCTCTATGTTCCTTACTTTGTCTCTAGGTTCCTTAATTTGTTTATAGCTAATTATAGTTTTTGTTCTGTAGTTCACCATAATTTTTTCACTATTTGAAGGAATGTTTCGGATAAAGTTCCATCACTCTGCCAATGTCACCTTGAACTCCCTGCTGTTCACCAACAACGACTCGGTGCGGGAAGAAGTTGACGTGGAAGAGGAGGGCGGTGACACGACCAAAATGGGCGGCAACAGCCGAAAAAACACTTTAATTTTAGAACCCTGCAAGAAGGATGGCTTCCATCAGTTGATTGTTAGTGGTAGGTGTGGAGAAATTGGAGTTTTGCTATATGGAGAAATGACTGGTTAGTTGTGGGTGTTGTAATATGGAGACATTGTTGTATGGAAAAATGACTGGTTAGTTGTGGGTGTTGTAATATGGGGACATTGTTGTATGGAGAAATGACTGGTTAGTTGTGGGTGTTGTAATATGGGGACATTGTTGTATGGAGAAATGACTGGTTAGTTGTGGGTGTTGTAATATGGGGACATTGTTGTATGGAGAAATGACTGGTTAGTTGTGGGTGTTGTAATATGGGGACATTGTTGTATGGAAAAATGACTGGTTAGTTGTGGGTGTTGTAATATGGGGACATTGTTGTATGGAAAAATGACTGGTTAGTTGTGGGTGTTGTAATATGGGGACATTGTTGTAAGGAAAAATGACTGGTTAGTTGTGGGTGTTGTAATATGGGGGGGGGGGGCACTGTTGTATGGAGGAATGGCTGGTTAGTTGTGGGTGTTGTAATATGGGGACATTGTTGTATGGAAAAATGACTGGTTAGTTGTGGGTGTTGTAATATGGGGACATTGTTGTATGAAGAAATGACTGGTTAGTTGTGGGTGTTGTAATATGGGGACATTGTTGTATGGAGAAATGACTGTTTTAGTTGTGGGTGTTGTAATATGGGGACATTGTTGTATGGAGAAATGACTGGTTAGTTGTGGGTGTTGTAATATGGGGACATTGTTGTATGGAAAATGACTGGTTAGTTTGTGGGTGTTTTTAATATGGGGACATTGTTGTATGGAGAAATGACTGGTTAGTTGTGGGTGTTGTAATATGGGGACATTGTTGTATGGAGAAATGACTGGTTAGTTGTGGGTGTTGTAATATGGGGACATTGTTGTATGGAAAAATGACTGGTTAGTTGTGGGTGTTGTAATATGGGGACATTGTTGTAAGGAAAAATGACTGGTTAGTTGTGGGTGTTGTAATATGGGGGGGGGGGGGGGGGGGGGGGCACTGTTGTATGGAGGAATGGCTGGTTAGTTGTGGGCGTTGTGATATGGGGGCACTGTTGTATGGAGGAATGACTGGTTAGTTGTGGGTGTTGTAATATGGGAGGGGGGGGGGCACTGTTGTATGGAGGAATGACTGGTTAGTTGTGGGTGTTGTAATATGGGGGGGGGGGCACTGTTGTATGGAGGAATGACTGGTTAGTTGTGGGTGTTGTAATATGGGGGGGGGGGGCACTGTTGTATGGAGGAATGACTGGTTAGTTGTGGGTGTTGTAATATGGGGGCACTTGTATGGAGGAATGACTGGTTAGTTGTGGGTGTTGTAATATGAGGGCACTTGTATGGAGGAATGACTGGTTAGTTGTGGGTGTTGTAATATGGGAGCACTTGTATGGAGGAATGACTGGTTAGTTGTGGGTGTTGTAATATGAGGGCACTTGTATGGAGGAATGACTGGTTAGTTGTGGGTGTTGTAATATGGGAGCACTTGTATGAAGGAATGACTGGTTAGTTGTGGGTGTTGTAATATGAGGGCACTTGTATGGAGGAATGACTGGTTAGTTGTGGGTGTTGTAATATGGGGGGGGGGGGGGACTGTTGTATGGAGGAATGACTGGTTAGTTGTGGGTGTTGTAATATGGGAGCACTTGTATGGAGGAATGACTGGTTAGTTGTGGGTGTTGTAATATGGGGGGGGGGGGGGGGACTGTTGTATGGAGGAATGACTGGTTAGTTGTGGGGTGTTGGTAATGATGGTTAGTTGGGTGTTGGGGGGGGGGCACTGTTGTATGGAGGAATGACTGGTTTAGTTGTAATTGGGGCACTTGTTGGAAATAGTTGTGGGTGTTGTAATAATGGGGGCACTGTTGTATGGAGGAATGACTGGTTAGTTGTGGGTGTTGTAATATGGGGTTGTATGGAGGAATGAACTTTTGGTAGTGTGGGTGTTGTAATATGGGGGCACTGTTGTATGGAGGAATGACTGGTTAGTTGTGGGTGTTGTAATATGGGGCACTGTTGTATGGAGGAATGACTGGTTAGTTGTGGGTGTTGTAATATGGGGCACTTGTATGGAGGAATAACTGGTTAGTGTATGGTGTTGTAATATGGACTGGATGGCACTTGTGGGTGTTGTAAATGAGGCACTTGTATGGGAATGTTTGTGGGTGTTGTAATATGGGGCACTTGTATGGAGGAATAACTGGTTAGTTATGGGTGTTGTAATATGGGGCACTGTTGTATGGAGGAATGACTGGTTAGTTGTGGGTGTTGTAATATGGGGCACTTGTATGGAGGAATGACTGGTTAGTTGTGGGTGTTGTAATATGGGGCACTGTTGTATGGAGGAATGACTGGTTAGTTGTGGGTGTTGTAATATGGGAGCACTTGTATGGAGGAATGACTGGTTAGTTGTGGGTGTTGTAATATGGGAGCACTTGTATGGAGGAATGACTGGTTAGTTGTGGGTGTTGTAATATGGGAGCACTTGTATGGAGGAATGACTGGTTAGTTGTGGGTGTTGTAATATGGGAGCACTTGTATGGAGGAATGACTGGTTAGTTGTGGTGTTGTAATATGGGATGGGGGGGGGCACTGTTGTATGGAGGAATGACTGGTTAGTTGTGGGTGTTTGTAATATGGGAGCACTTGTATGGGAATGACTGGTTAGTTGTGGGTGTTGTAATATGGGAGCACTTGTATGGAGGAATGACTGGTTAGTTTGTGGGTGTTGTAATATGTGGGGGGGGGGGGGCACTTTTGTATGGAGGAATGACTGGTTAGTTGTGGGTGTTGTAATATGGGAGCACTTGTATGGAGGAATGACTGGTTAGTTGTGGGTGTTGTAATATGGGGCACTTGTATGGAGGAATGACTGGTTAGTTGTGGGTGTTGTAATATGGGGGCACTGTTGTATGGAGGAATGACTGGTTAGTTGTGGGTGTTGTAATATGGGGCACTTGTATGGAGGAATGACTGGTTAGTTGTGGGTGTTGTAATATGGGGGCACTTGTATGAAGGAATGACTGGTTAGTTGTGGGTGTTGTAATATGGGGGCACTTGTATGGAGGAATGACTGGTTAGTTGTGGGTGTTGTAATATGGGGCACTTGTATGAGAGGAATGACTGGTTAGTTGTGGGTGTTGTAATATGGGGCCACTTGTTGAGGAAATGACTGGTTAGTTTATGGGGTTGTAATATGGGGGCACTTGTATGAAGGAATGACTGGTTAGTTGTGGGTGTTGTAATATGGGGGCACTTGTATGAAGGAATGACTGGTTAGTTGTGGGTGTTGTAATATGGGGGCACTTGTATGAAGGAATGACTGGTTAGTTGTGGGTGTTGTAATATGGGGGTATGAAAGGGGTCAGGGGGGCACTGGGGTATGGAGGAATGACTGGTTAGTTGTGGGTGTTGTTTGGGGGGGGGGGCACTTGTATGGAGGAATGACTGGTTAGTTGTGGTGTGAATATGTAATATGGGGGCACTGTGTATGGAGGAATGACTGGTTAGTTGTGGGTTGTATGGGGTATGGGGGCACTTGTATGGAGGAATGACTGGTTAGTTGTGGGTGTTGTAATATGGGAGCACTTGTATGGAGGAATGACTGGTTAGTTGTGGGTGTTGTAATATGGGGGCACTGTTGTATGGAGGAATGACTGGTTAGTTGTGGGTGTTGTAATATGGGGGCACTTGTATGGAGGAATGACTGGTTAGTTTTGGGTGTTGTTGTAATATGGGGGGGCACTTTGTATGGAGGAATGACTGGTTAGTTGTGAGTGTTGCACTTAATATGGGGGCTAGTTGTATGTTGTAATAATGCACTGGTTGACTGGTTGTTGTGAGTGTTATAATATGGGGGCACTTGTATGGAGGAATGACTGGTTAGTTGTGAGTGTTGTAATATGGGGGCACTTGTATGGAGGAATGACTGGTTAGTTGTGAGTGTTGTAATATGGGGGCACTTGTATGAAGGAATGACTGGTTAGTTGTGAGTGTTGTAATATGGGAGCACTTGTATGGAGGAATGACTGGTTAGTTGTGAGTGTTGTAATATGGGAGCACTTGTATGGAGGAATGACTGGTTAGTTGTGAGTGTTGTAATATGGGGGCACTTGTATGGAGAAATGACTGGTTAGTTGTGAGTGTTGTAATATGGGGCACTTGTATGGAGGAATGACTGGTTAGTTGTGGGTGTTGTAATATGGGAGTATTGTTGTACAGAGAAATGACTGGTCAGTTGTAGGCGTTGTAATATGGGGGCACTTGTATGAAGGAATGACTGGTTAGTTGTGAGTGTTGTAATATGAGGGCACTTGTATGGAGGAATGACTGGTTAGTTGTGAGTGTTGTAATATGGGGGCACTTGTATGAAGGAATGACTGGTTAGTTGTGAGTGTTGTAATATGGGGGCACTTGTATGAAGGAATGAGTGGTTAGTTGTGAGTGTTGTAATATGAGGGCACTTGTATGAAGGAATGACTGGTTAGTTGTGGGTGTTGTAATATGGGGCACTTGTATGGAGAAATGACTGGTTAGTTGTGAGTGTTGTAATATGGGAGTATTGTTGTATGGAGGAATGGCTGGTTAGTTGTGGGTGTTGTAATATGGGGGCACTTGTATGGAGGAATGACTGGTTAGTTGTGAGTGTTGTAATATGGGGGCACTGTTGTATGGAGGAATGACTGGTTAGTTGTGGTTGTTGTAATATGGGGCACTTGTATGGAGAAATGACTGGTTAGTTGTGGGTGTTGTAATATGGGAGTATTGTTGCACAGAGGAATGACTGGTTAGTTGTGGGTGTTGTAATATGGGGGCACTTGTATGAAGGAATGACTGGTTAGTTGTAGGTGTTGTAAAATGGGGACACTTGTATGAAGGAATGACTGGTTAGTTGTGGGTGTTGTAATATGTTAGTATTGTTGTATAGAGGAATGACTGGTTAGTTGTGGGTGTTGTAATATGTTAGTATTGTTGTATAGAGGAATGACTGGTTAGTTGTGGGTGTTGTAATATGTTAGTATTGTTGTATAGAGGAATGACTGGTTAGTTGTGGGTGTTGTAATATGTTAGTATTGTTGTATAGAGGAATGACTGGTTAGTTGTGGGTGTTGTAATATGTTAGTATTGTTGTATAGAGGAATGACTGGTTAGTTGTGGGTGTTGTAATATGTTAGTATTGTTGTATAGAGGAATGACTGGTTAGTTGTAGGTGTTCTAAAATGGGGGCACTTGTATGGAGGAATGACTGGTTAGTTGTGGGTGTTGTGATATGGGGGCACTGTTGTAAGGAGGAATAACTGGTTAGTTGTGGGTGTTGTAATATGGGAGTATTGTTGTACGGAGGAATGACTGGTTAGTTGTGGGTGTTGTAATATGGGAGTATTGTTGTACGGAGGAATGACTGGTTAGTTGTGGGTGTTGTAATATGAGGATATTGTTGTATAGAGGAATGACTGGTTCGGTGTGGGTGTTGTAAAGTGGGAACCTTGTTGTATGGGTGAATGACAGGTTAGTTGTGGAAGGGTTGATATGGGAGCTGTAGGCATGATGTACTGTGATGCTGGTGTTGTGTGACAACTTCTGAAATAAATTGTGACAAATGCCTCTATGCTGTAGGTATCTCAGACGCTGTTAACGAGACCCCTGTAGGCACCAAATGCTGTGCATGGATGACTGTTGAACTGGCAGGCAACACAAAAACCACCATGTATTGGCAGATCTCCCCAGCACATGATTCTTGTGAGCCAACCACTGATAAGATAGATGCTGTCTTCACTGCCCAGATAGCTAAAGCTAACGACTTCTACCTGAAGGTGCGTTCCCTGGAACTAACTAATACACTATACAAGTTCACCTCGACTTATTTCCTATGCGACTTACAAAAATTTGTTTTCCTTGACTTATGTCTTATGCAACTTACAACCATCCATTTTCCTCACCTTATGTCTTACATGACTTACAACCATCCCTTCTCCTCACCTTATGTCTTACATGACTTACAACCATCCCTTCTCCTCACCTTATGTCTTACATGACTTACAACCATCCTTCTCCTCACCTTATGTCTTACATGACTTACAACCATCCGTTCTCCTCGACTTATGTCTTATGCAACTTACAACCATCCGTTATTCTAGACTTATGTCCTGTGAGACTTAAACCATCCGTTCTCCTAAACTTATGTCCTATGCAATGTACAACCATCTGTTCTTCTAGACTTGTGTCCTATGCAACTTACAACCATCCGTTCTCCTCGACTTATGTCCTCTGCAACTTACAACCATCCGCACTCAAAACCACACACAAATTAATTAATTAAAAAAGTAAAGGAAGAACAATTACTACATTGGTAGGGTCAGAAAGCTCCCAGAACTGACACAATAGAGAAAATATTTTGTATTTTTCGCATTGTGCCCAATAATTATACATACATAGCTTGAATTTTTCTATTGCATCTACAGTTGTTATAACCCATTTGAATGAAAACATTTTTTAAAAATAAAATTTGACTAATGACCAGTTTGACTTATGACCTGCTAGTCAGAACGGAACTTAAAATATCTGACCAGATTTCCTTTGCATACCCAGACCAGACATGAAATACAAAATAACACGCCATGTGTTGTGTTGATACACATAGACATAAGCTGATCATACATGATGAATTGTTCGGGACAGAAGAAGTTAAGCTAATGACTTTAACCTGAAGGTGTTTTCCCTAGACTCACTAATATGTTACAGTCTAAAGATCTTATTATCTATACAGATGGTTGGGTGTTGAAAGAGAAGAGCCTGGGGGTTCGTAGCCAAAGCCAACTGAAAATCTGTTGTGCAAGACAGCCTAACATACGACGCCACAACATGTAGCATGAGAATGGAGGTGGAGGCGGTAACTGTAGCTCTCCGGTAGCTAGAGAACAAGATGCATACACATGTTGTAATTGTAATAAACTCTGCGAACATGCTGAGAAAGGAGAAGACAGGGATACTTCCAGCAGAGTGGCAAGCTTCAGTGAGCATACTTTGGATCTTTTCTCCAGGCCCTGCCGGTGTGGTGGGTAATGAACAGGCAGACAGATTTGCTGGATCTGCACCACTGGGTGGTGACTTAATACATGACAAGGCAGATGTGGTCAAGGCCCTTTGTGAACAAGCAATAGAATCAGTAGAGATACAAGATTATTATGGCCTGGAGAGAATGAGGCACCTGGGGTGTAACCAGAGGGTCTGGCCGGTTCACTACACTCAGAGAAAAAGTGAAACAAACATATAACCAGATTGTGACCTGTACCATCAGTATTGGAACTCTGCCTTAGCTGCTGAAGTTGAGGATGGAGCACGCTTGCCCGGAGTGCTGTGATGTCAATTCCTAACTCAGTCTAAAGGAGTTAACTATGCCTCATGTTTTACACATCTGATTAATTCATAATCTTGACACTTGTCCAGGCTATGGGATTATGTAGCCTTTTTTGGCTGTTGCTCTTCAACTCTTTGATGTAGATATATCTTCCCTTCCTGTTTAGTATTCCTCTGTTTTTACTGAAGAGGTACCTCACAGTCTTGTTTAATCTTTAGTCTTCTACCCTGAGGTGAAGATGATACTTTAGTTTCAAAGTCTTTCCTATTCTATTTCAATCTTATGGTTTAGATACATAATAATGTACTGCATTGTTGCAGTTTGATACCCTTACACTTCAACAGCAGTGTAGTAGACAAGTGAATCACCCGCATGCAGCAGAAACAATCTAATACCAGCATCGAACAATGCAGTAGGCAAATTTAGTACCAACATCCAACAGTGATGTAAACAAATGCAGTACCAACATCCAACAGTGCAGTAGAAAAAAATGTAGTACCAGCATCAAACAATGCAGTAGACAAATTCAGTAGCAACATCTTACAATACAGTTGACAAATTCAGTACCAACATTCAACAGTGCATCGGACAAACATACGACCAGTATTCAGCAATCTGGAAAAAAAATGATACTAGTATCTTACAGCACAATAGACAAGTTCTCTACCAACATCCAACAGAACAGTAACTTTCACCACCAACTCACTCTAAAAATGTTCTGATTTTCATATGCCTTGTTGAATATTTGTACCGTTTCACATGTTGCTATCTGTAGAATATCCCCAGAACTTGCAGCAAGGAGGAAGTTAACATCTGCAGGCAGGCGCTGGCAGGCTTGCTATGGTCAAAGCAACTGTACATTTACAACATGGAGCTGAAAAACAAAGGTAAGCGCACATGGCACTGGACACTTCATCTCATTATGTAAGGAATTCACCAAACACAACCTGTGACTAGAAGATCCCTTGGAGATGTGGTTTTACAGGAGAATTCCTTGGGTAGTCATTAAGTGCAACCCAGATGTTATGAAAGAGGTGATGGCTGAAAGACAGCTTATCAGTAATATCAACCCCATGTGGGTTCTGGGGCCCCATTGTGGGGACAGCAAGAATAGACCCACTGCCTCGCCAACAAGCATGAGGTAGGAGTGGACTAATTGGGAGCTTCCTCTAAAGTCAGAGTGCTTCTGCACAAGTGGCAAGGAACAGGCAACTGCACACAAATGAGCCAGTAAAATAGATGTACATGCAAAACTCAAGCACTGCCACAAAGTCCACAGGATGAACAACCAGGACCTTCCACCGGAGCTTACAGATGGTGAACAAAGAAGAAAATGACTAACACCAGAAAGTGACAATCATAATCTTTTGGGGTCATGTGAGAAGAAGGAAACTGGAACATGTTGTGACCATTGGAAATGTTAGGTTAGTTGCGTATCGTTTACAGGATGTTGCAGAACCAACCCCAACAGCCCCTGGCTGTTGTGTGGTTTTATATCCAGTAGTTTGCCATTGCTTTCTGGATGGTCGGCTTTCTTGATACCACTGTTGAAACCAACGCAAAGCACATTTGCCTGCAACTGGGGATCAAACCCGGCATCCCAGCATTACGAAGCGCTCGCATCGAAAAAAAAATAATGACAAATACATTCACAAGTAACTAATGTTAGGTTAACACAGAGTCGATGCATCAGCTCAAGAGATTAACTTAGATTTGACCACTCTAATCTTTTTAGATGATTATTGTTGTATTTCCAACATTCTTGTGGCCAGTTGAAGTAACAGCTCATTAACCCTTTTGCCCTGGTGATCTAGAAAAAATAAAACCTGACACTTGTACTTTCCATTTTTTTTTGGTATTCCCAAGGAAAAATCCTAAGAAAAACAACCATTTTCACATGTGAGAAAAAAATAGCACAAAATCAGTTTATTGTCAGCTGCTATACAGAGTAAAGTTAGTAATCAATAAAAATAAATGCAGGATAGAATCACCTGACAATCTGTACAGACTGTAAACTAATTATATTGTAACACTTATAACACTTATGACCCTATAACCATTACAGCCAATGGGAAAATATATGGTACAAACTTATATAAATAGAGCCAGTTTTTTGCCAGCTGCTGACTACAATGAGTAAAATACTACATGTTGCTGGCCGCTCACTAAGTGTGACACCTCCATAACATAGGACGGGCCCTGCAACTTGACAAGGCATGAATGGGAAGGGAAGTCACTCTCTTTCTGGGGTAGAAATTAATTCTGTTAGCTAGATATCTTGTGAACCTGTCTCTATAGTGAGTCAGTACAAAGTCTCTTATGTGGGATTGGTACCTAGTAGAAGTGTCAGTTTTATTGCTTCTTTGTGTGCAAGGGTGAAATATTTGAGATGAAACTGATGTGCTGATATGTAAGAGTTTTATATTTTATCCCAGAATTGATGAAACTTTATGATGAGACTTACTTCAAAACTGTTGGAAAGAAGAAACTGGGCTGGAACCACCTGAGTTGCCATGACATCCTCATCATGCCAGATAAATGGGAGTTTCCATGGGTAAGGCTTGAAGCTGGAGTTTGAGTTTTGTCTCCTGTTGGTTTGAAAATATATGCTAGAAGTTAAGTTTTCTTCTTTGATCATCCTTTTGTCAGAAAACCTTTTATCAGGAGACCATCAGCCATACTGCTTTTCTGTTGTTTGAGGTTGGAACAAGCCAAATTGCCTCTCTGTTAGCAGCATACAGTCTACAGTGTTGGAGTACATGCTCAGCATTTTCTGGTGCCAAGTTGCAAGGACACATCTCTGTGTTTCCAGTATTGACAGATGCGAAAAAATGTTGGCAAAGTTTGTTATGCCATGTCCTTAGTCTGAATATCATACACTGGCTCTCTCTAGAGAGGCTAAGAAGTGAGACTTTAGGGTGAACATTTTGTGTATCCTGCCACTTTTCTTGGATACTAGTTTATTTGAGTGAGTGTCTTACTTAAATGTTTGTCTAATTGTTGATTTGAAGTTTTATTTTGGAATATGAGTAAAGTATCGCAATTAGATTCAAGTTGAATATTGGATTATGAGTATATGCTTCACTATTAGTTTAAAGTTGTATGTTGGATTATAAGTGAATGCTTCACTATTAGTTTAAATTTGTATGTTGGATTATGAGTGAATGCTTTACTATTAGTTTAAATTTGTATGTTGGATTATGAGTGAATGCTTTACTATTAGTTTAAATTTGTATGTTGGATTATGAGTGAATGCTTTACTATTAGTTTAAAGTGGTATGTTGGAACATGAGGGATTGTCTTACTATTGATTTGAACCCAGTAAGGTGTCTATGATTAGAAGATCATACAGGTCGGGTTTCACGCCTTATGCTGTAGTTATGTTATTCTTCTGCTTGAAGTGTCTAATGTGGAGCGGACATCTGCGACCAGGGCTCTCTAATCCTCTCTGAATCAGTCAGGTGCCATCTTCACAATGAAGGTTGGCTTCAATGAATATCCAACACTCTCTGTCTCTTGTTTCGGTTGTACACTCTCTCCGACTACTTTTTGTCCATCTGTTGGTCTTTTGTCCTCCCATTTGTAACATTATCTACCTCTTGCTCTCTTGCCTTCGACTTTTCCTCCAGAATGGGTTTTTAAAAGAATATCTTAATGTGGTCAGAATGTTTCCATTGTCTCTTTTTCAATTTTTCATTAACTCTCTTTTCATCCATAGTCTATCCTGAACCTCAGCATTTTATTGTTTTTGTTTCCATGAAATCTGACCTATTCTTCTTTATATCTACATTTCCTGAGACTCAGTTTGATTTTCTGGTTTCATATTTATTGTCCAGTTTTCCACACCTCACAGCAGGCTTAGTTTACATAACATTTCACAGTTCTCATTTTTAATGTGTTCAAACAAATTTCAAATCCTCTCACCCTCCATCTTTAATCTTCTTTTGCCATTTGTAATTTTTGATAAAGTTGATTTTGCTTATTTTATTATTAGCTGCCCTGATATTTAAGGCCATGCTAACCTTTTGAAACTAAATCATATACTATTTAATTTTTAGGTTCTGGTATGGTATAGAGTATTATATTGTAGATCCGAGAGTTTGATAAAATACTGTCAAAGTGACTGCGGACTCAATGGTTGCTTTGAAAACAAAGATAAACAACAGCAACATTGGATTTCTTGCGATATGTCTAAAGCCACTATTTTTGTACGTACAGGCTCAATTTTTTTCCCTATATTTATACATTTATAGTCCCTTTAGACAATTACAGAACATTATGTGATAACACCATTTATTTTCTACCTAGTTTTGAAAAATGTAGCATATATTTGTAGAAATTTTTGTGGCTTTCCGACTGCTGCACAAAAACTAAATTTCCTTTTCACAAACTCTCTCGTATTTGCATGGGTAATGCAATGTTAAATAAGTGTACAAAGTTTTATTATAATTAGACAAGAAGTTTTTGAGAAAATTATATCCCACACCGAAAAACTGCCAAAATGAGAAAACGGAGGAAAAAGGAATTTTGTCATGTTTTGTTATACTAACAAAATTACTATCAGGATTTAACCTTTATTTTAAACAGAAAAAATAGTTTCTGATATTACAGGATCATTAAAATAATCCTGCTGCATATGCAGGACTTCTCTCTAGGGTATGTAGTTCATCTTGTCTTTTCAGTTTGCAGCCTGGGACCTGGCATTTCACAGCGTGCAGTATGCCAGGATTGATATGCCGCTGGCCAAGGAGCAGATCTTGTTGTTAATGTCTGACAGATACATGCACCCTAATGGTCAGGTAAACCACACATTTATTTATACAGTTATCTTTCATCACATATTTATGTCCGTAGTGTGATAAGTAGTCGGCTCTGTGGCTAAGTTGATGCGAATGCTTCAAAATGCCGGGATGCCGGGTTCGATTCCAGCTGTGGGTCATGCGCCTTGCATTGGTTTTGACAGTGGTATCAAGAAAGCCAACCATCCAGAAAGCAGTGGCAAACTACTAGACGTCCTGTAAAGGATACACAACTAACCTTAGTGTGATAAGTGTGGGAGATGAGTTACATAAGAAATATGGTGGAAAGAGATTGAGTCACCAACGAAGAACCAAGAACAGTGGTAGACACATTACTAGTGAATGATTTTATTAAACATCAAAAAATCAAATGGTTCGGTCGTCTGGTCAGAATGGAATTAAATCAGCCGATCGCTAGAGCGTACTGCATGAGACCAACAGGTTACAAGGCCAACCAAGAAAGAGATGGGTGGAGGGAGTAAAAGAGACACTACAGAAATGTAGTATGACATTAACAATAGCTACGCAATTAGCAACATACAGGAAACTACATCTGACTGCTCTCTGTGATGCATTACAACATAAGCTATAGGACAAGGGGAGGGAACAAGCTGGAAAATCACAAATTATGTCTGTTTATTTCATAATTATTTCTTTTTTGATGAAGGTACAGTCGAGTCTGGGTAAGTAGAAGTCGCAGAGACTTAATAAAATGCTTCCACTTATCAGGATTTCTACTTACCCAGACAGCACACACAACAAAGAAAATTGCCGGGACTAAGCTGGTCATGTCGACTTAACCGAAGTTGGACTTATCCGAGTTTGACCTAAGTGGACTCGACTGTAGATATTCTGGTGATGAGGAAACTGGTTGTAGTACCGCTGTCAGTCCTGCTAAAAACAATTAGATGTATGCTTAGTGTTTTTCGCCCGCATGCAATTTTTATTTATTTTGAAGCCCGACCCTGGCTTTTGCCACGGGCCCTAAATATAGCTGGGCCTTAAATATGGCCTAACAGCTGAACAGGGTTTCCGGGACCTCTCCACGGGTGATCCTCATCTGCATGGTGGCATTTTGTGTCACAGGGTGTTTTTCGCTTGTGTGATGTCCTGGTGGGGTAAAACTTGCCTACCTACCTTAGATGTATGCAGATGAAAGTTTGTGTAGCTACTCAGATATAGTTAAGCTATAATTTAAACTGGGAGTTGCCGTGGCGTAGCGGCTAGAGTGTCTTGGGTTTGCTCCCTCGTGGAGCCAGACTTTTTTCAAAAATGACCTTGGTTCCCAGGTAGACCCAGCCTTGAGGAGGGTTGGGTGTGGGGCCAGCTCCCCAACCCTGTACAAAATTATTTGCTACAGAAACTTGCAGGAAAGGATGCCATTCTGGAAAATGATGAGTCTAGTGCTTTGTGGTGCACAGAGTGCATGTATGATGGTTACAGATAAAAACCACTCTGCAGAAGTCCAAGGCCTGACATGCACACTACTTGACTCAAAAATAGTCACCAGATCGCCCACAAGAAACCCGAAATCGAACATTGATGAGAGAGGCTGGACCATCCATGATATTGAACTGATTGCACAGGAGAGAGCAGAATGGAGGAGTAGACTGCGAGCACAACAATATAATGAATGATTTGATTTGATTCAAGAACCGACATCACAGCACTCGGGGCATTCCCATAAGCGCTCCATCCCTATCTTCAGCAGCCAGGGAAGAGTTCAGATACTAATGGTGCCAGTAGCTTTCTGATTAAACATCCCTCTTGCCTTTTCTCTGAGCCTCGAGCTTCTGCCAGAACCTCTCGTCACCCCCAACTGATTCAATCTCACCAGACTGTGGTGATCCATCTGCTCCTCCGAATTGTACACACTAATGAATAAATGAATCTGTAGCTTAAGTGTTGCCAACATGCTTCTTATGCGGAGGTTCTGAGTTTGATCTCAGCTGGTGATGATTTGGCAGAAGACCACTTTCCGTTGGTTTTGACAGTAGTATTAGGAGCTGACCATTCAGCAAGCAAGGGTAAACTAAAGGTTAGTTACGTATCCTTTACAGGACGTTGCAGAACCAACCCCAGCAGCACCTGGCTGTTGTGTGGTTTCTCTAGGCAAATTACGTCGAGTAGTTTGCCATTGCTTTCTGGACTGTCGGCCCCCGATACCACTGTCAAAACCAACGCAAGGCGCATGGCCCGCAGCTTGTATCAAACCCGGCACCCCGGCTTTACGAAGCGTTCGCATTGACTTTGCCACAGAGCCGACTAAGGGTAAACTACTGAAAGATACAATCTCAAACACTAAACTACTTCAAGTCACAAACCAAGAAACTCTAGATAGACATTATGAAAACCAAGAGAAGATGGAAATGGCTTGGCCACGTTATGAGAATGAATTCTTATATACATGCCAAAACAGCTCTTACATGGACACCTGAAATCTAAAGAGAAAACAGGGGTGCCCTAAAACAACAATGAGATGAATGATGGAAAGTGACCTGAGTGCAGCATCTTTGACATGGAAAACTGCACTGAAGATTGCACAGGACAGGAAAGCATGGAAAGCCCTCTCTGAAGCCTTAAGTGCCACTAGGATAATGAGAACTGAAGAAACTGAAAGTAAAATTGCTTAGTTAAATCATAAACAGCCAGAAAAGGTTGATATTGGTCCTGCAGTGTTCTATAAAAGGATACTTGACTAACTTTTTAAATGGTTGTTGCCAGATTCCTGGATGTGAGTTTGACCTTGGAGACCCCAACCCTCCCATCATATGCTGGGCAGTGTGGAAGATCTACAAACAGGAAGGAATCCGAGACTTGGCCTTTCTGAAAACTTGCTTTAACCGCCTGATCTTTTGTTTCCAGTGGTGAGCAAGGTTACTGTTGTCTTGTCTGTTTCTCATCTCCTCCCTTTGTGGGTTTCGGGACTCCATTTTGGGGGAACAAAAACAGGTCCAGTGCACCCCAACAGTCCTGTCATAAAAGGCGACTAGAGTAGTTTCCTTCAAAGTGCATTTGCCTGAGAGGCATAGAAATAAGCTAGATCTGTAGAACAGTTGTGCACACAAAACTCAAATTCTGGAGCAAGACCAGAGTTCAGAAGTGGGTGAATGACCAGCGAAAATAAGAAGATAAAGATGATTATCCATCTCCAGTGTCTCCATCTTTTAGCCATGGGCCTGTCTCCATGTTTACATCTTGTGGTCTTTGAGTAGCTTGTCTGACCCCATGTCTGTGAGTAGCTTGTCTGACCCCATGTCTGTGAGTAGCTTGTCTGACCCCATGTCTCCATGTTTACATCTTGTAGTCTGTGAGTAGCTTGTCTGACCCCATGTCTCCATGTTTACATCTTGTAGTCTGTGAGAAGCTTGTCTGACCCCATGTCTCCATGTTTACATCTTGTGGTCTGTGAGTAGCTTGTCTGACCCCATGTCTCCATGTTTACATCTTGTAGTCTGTAAGTAGCTTGTCTGACCCCATGTCTCCATGTTTACATCTTGTGGTCTGTGAGTAGCTTGTCTGACCCCATGTCTCCATGTTTACATCTTGTAGTCTGTAAGTAGCGTGTCTGACCCCATGTCTCCATGTTTACATCTTGTGGTCTGTGAGTAGCTTGTCTGACCCCATGTCCTCATGTTTACATCTTGTGGTCTGTGAGTAGCTTGTCTGACCCCATGTCTCCATGTTTACATCTTGTAGTCTGTGAGTAGCTTGTCTGACTCCTTGTCTGTGAGTAGCTTGTCTGACCCCATGTCTGTGAGTAGCTTGTCTGACCCCATGTCTGTGAGTAGCTTGTCTGACCCCATGTCTGTGAGTAGCTTGTCTGACCCCATGTTTCCATGTTTACATCTTGTTGTCTGTGAGTAGCTTGTCTGACCCCATGTCTCCATGTTTACATCTTGTAGTCTGTGAGTAGCTTGTCTGACCCCATGTCTCCATGTTTACATCTTGTAGTCTGTGAGTAGCTTGTCTGACTCCATGTCTGTGAGTAGCTTGTCTGACCCCATGTCTGTGAGTAGCTTGTCTGACCCCATGTCTGTGAGTAGCTTGTCTGACCCCATGTCTGTGAGTAGCTTGTCTGACCCCATGTTTCCATGTTTACATCTTGTTGTCTGTGAGTAGCTTGTCTGACCCCATGTCTCCATGTTTACATCTTGTGGTCTGTGAGTAGCTTGTCTGACCTGATGTCTCCATGTTTACATCTTGTGGTCTGTGAGTAGCTCGTCTCGTCCCATGTCTCCATGTTTACATCTTGTAGTCTGTGAGTAGCTTGTCTGACCCCATGTCTCCATGTTTACAGCTTGTAGTCTGTGAGTAGCTTGTCTGACCCCATGTCTCCATGTTTACATCTTGTAGTCTGTGAGTAGCTTGTCTGACCCCATGTTTACATCTTGTAGTCTGTGAGTAGCTTGTCTGACCCCATGTCTCCATGTTTACATCTTGTGGTCTGTGAGTAGCTCGTCTCATCCCATGTCTCCATGTTTACATCTTGTAGTCTGTGAGTAGCTTGTCTGACCCCATGTCTCCATGTTTACATCTTGTAGTCTGTGAGTAGCTTGTCTGACCCCATGTCTCCATGTTTACATCTTGTGGTCTGTGAGTAGCTTGTCTGACCCCATGTCTCCATGTTTACATCTTGTAGTCTGTGAGTAGCTTGTCTGACCCCATGTCTCCATGTTTACATCTTGTGGTCTGTCAGTAGCTTGTCTGACCCCATGTCTCCATGTTTACATCTTGTAGTCTGTGAGTAGCTTGTCTGACCCCATGTCTCCGTGTTTACATCTTGTGGTCTGTGAGTAGCTTGTCTGACCCCATGTCTTCATGTTTACATCTTGTAGTCTGTGAGTAGCTTGTCTGACCCTATGTCTCCATGTTTACCTCTTGTAGTCTGTGAGTAGCTTGTCTGACCCCATGTCTCCATGTTTACATCTTGTAGTCTGTGAGTAGCTTGTCTGACCCCATGTCTGTGAGTAGCTTGTCTGACCCCATGTCTCCATGTTTACATCTTGTGGTCTGTGAGTAGCTTGTCTGACTCCATGTTTACATCTTGTGGTCTGTGAGTAGCTTGTCTGACCCCATGTCTCCGTGTTTACATCTTGTGGTCTGTGAGTAGCTTGTCTGACTCCATGTTTACATCTTGTAGTCTGTGAGTAGCTTGTCTGACCCCATGTCTCCATGTTTACATCTTGTGGTCTGTGAGTAGCTTGTCTGACTCCATGTTTACATCTTGTAGTCTGTGAGTAGCTTGTCTGACCCCATGTCTCCATGTTTACATCTTGTGGTCTGTGAGTAGCTTGTCTGACTCCATGTTTACATCTTGTAGTCTGTGAGTAGCTTGTCTGACCCCATGTCTCCATGTTTACATCTTGTGGTCTGTGAGTAGCTTGTCTGACCCCATGTCTCCATGTTTACATCTTGTGGTCTGTGAGTAGCTTGTCTGACCCCATGTCTCCATGTTTACATCTTGTGGTCTGTGAGTAGCTTGTCTGACCCCATGTCTCCATGTTTACATCTTGTGGTCTGTGAGTAGCTTGTCTGACCCCATGTTTACATCTTGTAGTCTGTGAGTAGCTTGTCTGACCCCATGTCTCCATGTTTACATCTTGTGGTCTGTGAGTAGCTTGTCTGACCCCATGTCTCCATGTTTACATCTCGAAGTATGTGAGTAGCTTGTCTGACCCCATGTCTCCATGTTTACATCTTGTAGTCTGTGAGTAGCTTGTCTGACTCCATGTTTACATCTTGTGGTCTGTGAGTAGCTTGTCTGACCCTGTGTCTCCAAATTTTACGTGCGCAAGAATACATACAGGCGTCCAATCTTACTATTCAGAGACCAGGGGAAATTACTAGAAGTCCATGTGAAAAAATTGCAGTCTTTACCAGGGCTTGAACCCAGGACCTCCAGCACTCGAGGCGGACACCATACCTCGAGACCACCCAGTTTGTGTGAGTTCAGCTCTGTGTTGTTGATATTTATGTGAGATGAGCTATCTCATTAAGTTTTCTGTCTGACCTCAGGTGGCACAAAAAGGACCCCAAGTCTCTGTACATCTACGGGAATGGTTTCATGGGACTTGACAATATCAGTGTGTTTGATCGGTCCAATTTGCCTCCAGGGGTCACTTCCTTGAAACAGGTAAACGCATCATCATCATCATTATTTGTTATTATTATCATAATCAGGTGTTTTTTTCTAGTGATATGCTACAAAATGCAATACTGGCACCTTTTTTATTACATAAAATTTTTTTTTCAGCGATATTGTTTTAAACACTGTCTAGTGAGTATCCATACTCTTTTAAAACACTTTATGGCCAGTACCGTCACCTCTTATTCTAAAAAAAAAAAAAAAAAAAAAAAAGGCATCATCGTCATCATCTTTGTTACTGTGGTCTAATTTACCATAACCATAGGTCATAATTTCGTAATCCTAACTGTTATGATCAACATCATCATAATTGGACCATGTGTCACTGGGCCGCACATATTTCCATGCCATCAGGCCACTAAGAATGGTTGACACCAGACCGGCTTTCTCATTCCGTACAAAGCTTAAGTTGCAAAAAGTCCAACCAGTCAGGAAAAAGTCTAAACTTTTCATTGCGGCCGTCATCAGTCATCATCAGTTGTCCCCATAATGCTCTCTTCTTCTTCTTAGCTTTCATTGGCTGTTAAGTTCGGTGAAAAGATCTGATTGTTCATTCACTTCTAGACTTTGGTCTTCTGGGGGTTGCGTGGTTTGAGGCATGGCGTCCGAGTGGTGGAGGCCCCGGATTTAAGCCCCAGTGAAGGCTGAGATTGTTTCACGTGGACTTCTAGTAATTTCCCCTCATCTCTGGGTATTAATATTTAACGACCGTGTATTGTTACGCATGTATAAAATTCCTTGGCAGTTGGAAATTGAAAAAAGAGAAGCCTACAGCGCTGCCTGGGCAAAATTTGGAGTTTAAAATCTACCCAAAAGTATTCCAGGATCCTCGCCGGTGCTACCATGTCTGTGCGCTGCGCTGAGATTCTTCATACTCATGCTTGAGTCAGAAGTAGAATGGAGCACTTATGGATTATTACCCTTGTGCCATGATGTTGCTCCGTTGTCTAAACCTAAATCTTAAACTTTGGTCTTGTTCCAGAACTTGAGTTTTGCATACACATCTGTTTTACAGATGTGGCTTATTTGTATGCAGACTGTTGGTTCCATGCCTGTCAGGCAGATGTACTCTTCGAAGGAAAAACCTCTAATTAGTTGACTTATAAAACAAGCTTGTTGGTGGAGGGGGGGGGGGGCAGTGGGTCTGTACTTTTGTCCCCTCCAAAATGGGCTGCAAAGCTGATATGGTGATCAAATAGTCTCATTATAAGCATTACTTTAAAAAAAAAAGTAAAAGTAAAGAACCCTCTACACACCATTGTGGCCTCAGAATATGTTTCTAGACCCATAATTTTAGAGACCAATCAGCGCTCAGGGGTTTCCTGGACAGGCCGACTGCTCTGACTGGTCAGGACTGTTTGCTGTCCTAATGTATGAGTTCTGTCTGTGTGTTTTTTAAAAGCTTTTATTAAGTTTGGTTTTGTTTGTTTCTTTGTCTAATGCAAGTTTTGCCTTCAGCTTGTTTACATCTACACTCTGATTTGTGTCTTGTTTTCTCTGGACAGGCCGACTGCACTGACTGGTCGGGACTGTTTGCTCTCCCAATGTATGATTTCTGTCTATGTGTTTTTTAAAAGCTTTTATTAAGTTTGGTTTTGTTTGTTTCTTTGTCTAATGCAAGTTTTGCCTTCAGCTTGTTTACATCTACACTCTGATTTGTGTCTTGTTTTCTCTGGACAGGCCGACTGCACTGACTGGTCGGGACTGTTTGCTCTCCCAATGTATGATTTCTGTCTATGTGTTTTTTAAAAGCTTTTATTAAGTTTGGTTTTGTTTGTTTCTTTGTCTAATGCAAGTTTTGCCTTCAGCTTGTTTACATCTACACTCTGATTTGTGTCTTGTTTTCTCTGGACAGGCTGACTGCACTGGCTGGATGGGATTGTTTGCTCTCAACATGCTTCAGATTGCCATTGAGCTTTGTCAGTTTGACAGCAGTTACACAGACATGGCTGTGAAGTTTCTCAAGCATTTCCTCAACATTGCTAAAGCCATTAACCGCCCAGTCACTGAAGGAGGCAAGGCACAGGTTTCATCAACTTGCTAACTGCTGGTTATATTTTAATGTTAATATTTAAGATATAATGTGCAGTGTTATACCTTCTTGCTTTTGGTATCTTTAGAATACCTTGGATCAAGAAAAAGTTTATGGACATCCTGCTTGATCTAAACATCAAGAAGCTTGGCTCATAAACAGCACCCTGTCCCAAAAGTAGAGGTATATTAACCTGGAAAAACAGGTGATGAAGGGTACAGTTTCCAGAAACTGCTTTCTCCATTTTTGGGGGAAATGAAATAGACCTACTGCTCCTTTCTAACAAGCATTTTGTAAAAGGTGACTAATTAGGGGTTTCCTTGAAAGAGGTGAGGAACCAGCAGTCTGCACACAAATAAGCAAGGTCTGTTAAATGGATGTGCATGCAGAACTCAAGTTCTCAAAGTCCAGAAGTGGGCGAACAACCAGGAAGTTGCTCCTGAATTTACAACATGGGAAAGCTATGAAGTAGAAGAAAACATGTTCATGCCAAGCATTCTGTGAACAAACCAGTGAACCTGAATGAAGTAATTAATTATAACAGTGGGGTTACAGTGCAGCAAAGTTTGGCTTATGGTGCACATCTAGTTTGAGAATGGAGGTGGAGGCAGTCTGCAGCTTACATTGGATGTTTATTTCTCTATCCATTCTTCTGTCTGAGGTGAAAAATGACCCTAGATATTTAAATTTGCTCGTTTGTTTTATTTCTATGTTATTTACTTTAATTTATATGATTTCTTCTTGGCTGCCTGTTACCATTACCTCTTATCAATGCTTATCCTCATATTGTATTTCTCACACTTAGTACTGACTTGGTCTATATGGCTCTGTATACTCTCTCTTCTGTTTCGCTATTAATACCTGATCAACTGTAAATAAAAATTCTGAGATATCATCCTTTTCTTCTCTGTCTGCTTCTTTGCATATATTTTGTAATGTATGTTAGAAAAAGCAGGAAAGATAGCTCCCGTCACATTCTGCCTGAAAGAAACCTGGTCCGTCGCCAGCTGTCCTGCCTTGTGCACTAGCCTACCCAGGGTATTACTTGTATCCTTTGCCTATCTTTTTGCTGGATGCCCCTGCCCCTCCTTCCTGGTACTGTGCCCAGTTTTATTATTCTTTCCAATCCACCATGGCACTCGATGTGGCCAGAATATTTCAGTTTATTTGCCAATCTTTCTGGATGTTCAAACTTTTTAGGATGTTAGTAATCCTATTCTTCTGGGTCCGTGGTATTCTGAGGATCTTTTTTTTTTATAGCATTTCAGCTCAAAAGCCCATACTTTCTTCCTTAATACAAAGTAAAAGTAAAGGTCCTTTTTCCACGCCTTTAGGCGTATTGGGAATATAGTGCTAGACCTATAGTTTTATAGATGTCGGCACTTGCTGGGAGATGTAGTCAGCATCACGCCGGCCATCTTTACTTCCCAGGGCTGCACCTGGTATCCACTTAAGGCTGGGTCAACCTGGGACCTAAGGTAATTTTTTTAAAAAGTCCGACTCTATCAGGACATGAACCCATGACTTTCTGATCCGCAGGCGGGCGTCTAGCTGCCAACGCCACGATGACTCTTCTTCCTTAATGGCTGCTGGATAGCCAATGACTTACAACCATATGTTGCTACAGGGAAGATGTATGCCCTCAAAATTTTGATTTCCTTGTGCTTAACCATATACTTTTAATGCTGTTTAATAACTGTTTAATAGTAGCATGAATCTCATTGTGTGGCTTCTGCCTGCAGGTTTGTGGGATGAACAAGACAAGTTTTTCTACGACGTCATCCACTACCATGGACCATATGTGACCCCCATCCGACTGCGGTCTTGGACTGGCATCATCCCTCTGTTTGGTTGCTGTTCCATCGACTTGAAGCACTCTCCGCTGGTCAAGGCTTTCCTGCTGAAGTGTGACCGAGGATACTCTCCCTTTGTATGTCGTCCACTTTGTCACAAATCAGTGTTCATTGTTTGATGTAAGAGAATTGGTTGGTTGATTGATTGTTAGTTTGGTTGATTGATTGTTAGTTCAGTTGGTTGATTGTTAGTTCACTTGATTGATTGTAAGTTCCGGTTGGTTGATTGTTAGTTCACTTGGTTGATTGCTAGTTCCGGTTGGTTGATTAACTAGTTGATTGTTCAGGTTGTTGTTGATAGTTGGGTTTATTCTGTGGTTGGTTTAATCTGTTGATTGGTTGCTTGATTGATTGTTAGTTTTGTTGATTGTTTTGAAAGTGTGGTTGATTGATTTTTCGTTTGTTGAATGGTTGTTAATTTGATTGGTTGTTTGTTTGGTTGCCTGATTGTTTGTTAGTAAATGTGATTGTTTGTTTGGTGGCTTGATTATTAGTTAATTTGATTAATTGCTTTTATAGTGTATTGATTGTTTTGATTGATTTATGGCAGAACCATTGTTTGGTTGGTTGATTGATTTTTTTTAAAATGTTTGCTTGGTTGTGTTTTGTTTATTGTTTGGTTAGTTTGGTTTTTTGGGTTGATTTATTGTTTTTTGTTTATTTAATTTTCTGGTTAATTGATTATTTTTTGACTAATGAATGTTTTAAATGATTTATTGGTCATTGATTTCTTTATTGAGTTATTGATTTATTTGTTGATAAGATAGTTGATTAATGATTTAATTAATTGACTCATTCATTGGTTAATTAGTCATTTGATTTATTCATTGATTTTTTGATTGGTTGAATAATTGATTAGGTAATTTATTGCTTCATTGATTGATTGGGTTCAAGAACCGTTTTTGAGAATCTCTAGCCAGTGCTTGAACTTTGAACCACATTCAGTTAAGCAAGTTTTTTTTATACCAGACTCTATGCACAGTGTGAAAACTCTATTTTGGGTAGGTTTGCCAATGTTGAAACTGTGCCAGGGATGATTATTTCTAATGATTGTCTCCTACATAAAGTTGAAATAGTGGATCAGGTGTAAACATCAGGTTATATATCTATAGATGTATGAGTTGGGAGACATATAAAAACCACATGTTATGCAGATCCTGGTGTGTAAGCTGGGACAGGTGACAGTTTCTGGTGATGTATTTACATGTATGTGGGGGGGGGGGGGGGGACATATGGAAGCTGCAGATATGTGGTTTTATAGATGAATGATGGTAATACCCTGGACGGATAACAGTAAAGACGTCTTGAAAAAAGCTGACTCATGAAGAGAACTAATTGCCCACATCAGAAAGAGACAATCTACATTCTTTGGTAATGTGATAAGAAGGAGAAAACTGGTTGAAGGGTTAGAGGGGAGGAGAGGCAGAGGGAGACCAAGAGAACAGATGCTGAAAGGATTGACATCATGGCATGAGAGATCATCTGTGTCAGATTGGATTGAAAGTACACGAGACAGAAGGTTGTGGATAGACATAACTACCAATGCCACACAGCATGGACTTTAAGGAGAAGTTGTTAGGTAAAAATCTCTGCTGATTTAGTTACTGATTTGTAAGCTGGGAGACAGGTAAAAATCTCAGGTCCTGTATTTGCAGGTGTGTGAGCTGGGAGACAGGTAAAAATCTCAGGTCCTGTATTTGCAGGTGTGTGAGCTGGGAGACAGGTAAAAATCTCAGTCTAGTATTTGCAGGTTTTTAAGCTGGGGGACAGGTAAAAATCTCAGGTCTTGTATTTGCAGGTGTGTAGGCTGGGGGACAGGTAAAAATCTCAGGTCTTGTATTTGCAGGTGTGTAGGCTAGGGGACAGGTAAAAATCTAAGGTCTTGTATTTGCAGGTGTGTAGGCTGGGTGGACAGGTAATAATCTCAGGTCCTGTATTTGCAGGTGCGTAGGCTGGGGGACAGGTAACAATCTCAGGTCTTGTATTTGCAGGTGTGTAGGCTGGATATCAGGTAACAATCTCAGGTCCTGTATTTGCAGGTGTGTAGGCTGGGGGACAGGTAACAATCTCAGGTCCTGTATTTGCAGGTGTGTAGGCTGGGGGACAGGTAACAATCTCAGGTCCTGTATTTGCAGGTGTGTAGGCTGGTGGACAGGTAACAATCTCAGGTCTTGTATTTGCAGGTGTGTAGGTTGGGGGACAGGTAACAATCTCAGGTCTTGTATTTGCAGGTGTGTAGGCTGGGGGACAGGTAACAATTTCAGGTCTTGTATTTGCAGGTGTGTAGGCTGGGGGACAGGTAAAAATCTCAGGTCTAGTATTTGCAGGTGTATAGGCTGGGGACAGGTAACAATCTCAGGTCTAGTATTTGCAGGTGTATAGGCTGGGGGACAGGTAACAATCTCAGGTCCTGTATTTGCAGGTGTGTAGGCTGGGGGACAGGTAACAATCTCGGTCCTGTATTTGCAGGTGTGTAAGCTGGGGGACAGTGAATTCTTCCTGACTCTAGTCTCCTACACAAAGTTGAAATTAATTCTGAAGACGGTGTTCTCAGAGGAGGAATTTTTATCGCCGTTTGGCATAAGATCACTATCAAAGGTGAGTTGTAGGTGTTTTCAGGGCTGTCTTAATGTAAGCTGGGTGCCTGCTGGGGTCCTATGATAATCCATATGTTTCAGTGGTCCCAGGCTAACCCATATATTTTCGGGGTCCCAGGCTAATCTATATGTTTCAGTGGTCTCAGGCTAACCCATATATTTTAGGAGTCCCTAGCTAATCTATATGTTTCAGTGGTCCCAGGCTAATCCATATATTTTAGAGGTCCCAGGCTAATCTAAATATTTTAGGGGCCCATTCTAATCTAAATATTTCAGGGGGCCCATACTAATCTGTATATTTCAGGGGCCCCTTGCTAAACTATATATTTCAGGTGACTTGCCATAAATAACAATTTCATTCCTGTGAATGGTTGTCCTGGGCCCCCAGAACAGTGGTTTACCCAGGGGCCCATAATGCTGTTAGGACAGCTCTGAATTTTTTCCATATACCATCTTTTTCTGTTTTAGCACTTAAAAGGGTAGTTGCACACCTTTTATTGTAATTTACAGCTAGGCTGTGATATCTGCACCTTTCAGCCCAACACAAACTCCTCATTTTCACTCTTTATGCCCCTTATGGCATGTTTGTTATGAGACAGTGGGTCTACCCCTCTTTCCCAGTTTAGCCCCAGAACCCACATGGGGGAAAATTAGATTTCATACTTTATAGCCAGCCCGTACAAAATATTTGACTTAATTTTTTTCTCACTTTTGGCGAGAATTTGATTCTGTGAGGTAACCAGTCTTTACTGTCCAAGCTTGTTAGCAGTACTTATGATCATGGTGGTTGCAGATATGATGATGATAAATATGTTGGTTCTATTTCTGCTGTTTAGGTGTACCAAGAAAAACCATTTTCCTTTGATGTTGGAGAAACTTCACTGAATGTCACATACCTACCTGGCGTATCAGATTCCAATATCTTTGGTGGCAACAGTAACTGGCGAGGCCCAATCTGGCTCTGCAGTAAGTTGAGCATTTTTTCATTTGTTCATTTATTCTGTATCATTTGTGCTGTTATGTGTCACATAGAGCTCTCTGTCCATTCCTCCATTCCAATCTATCCTGTGCAATCAGTTGAGTATCATGGATGGAATCCATTTCAGTATCATGGATGGAATCCAATCAAGTATCATGGATGGAATCCAGTTGAGCATCATGGATGGAATCCAGTCAAGTATCATGAATGGAATCCAGTCAAGTATCATGGATGGAATCCAGTTGAGTATCACAGATGGAATCTAGTTGAGTATCATGGATGGAATCCTGTTGAGTATCATGGATGGAATCCAGTCGAGTATCCTGGATGGAATCCAGTTGAGTATCATGGATGAAATCCAGTCAAGTATTATGGATGGAATCCAGTTGAGTATCATGGATGAATCCAGTCGAGTATCATGGATGGAATCCAGTCAAGTATCACAGATGGAATCCAGTCGAGAATCATGGATGGAATCCAGTCAAGTATCATGGAGGGAATCCAGTTGAGTATCATGGATGGAATCCAGTCAAGTATCATGGATGGAATCCAGTTGAGTATCATGGATGGAATCCAGTTGAATATTATGGATGAAATCAAATGCAGTATCATGGATGTAATCCAGTTGAGTATCATGGGTGGAATCCAGTTGAGTATTATGGATGGAATCCAGTTCAGGATCATGGATGGAATCCAGTTGAGTATCATAGATGGAATCCAGTTGAGTATCATGGATGGAATCCAGTTGAATATTATGGATGAAATCCAGTACAGTATCATGGATGGAATCCAGTTGAGTATCATGGGTGGAATCCAGTTGAGTATTATGGATGGAATCCAGTTCAGTATCATGGATGGAATCCAGTTGAGTATTATGGATGGAATCCAGTTGAGTATCATGAATGGAATCCAGTTCAGTATCATGGATGGAAACAAGTCCAGCAGCTTTGGCCTCTCTCATTGGGGTAGTGACTAGCCGGGTCGGCACCATTTGGTGGTGAACTGATGTATGACAAACTGGATGTTGTGAGGGCCCTTTGGGAGCGAGTGAACAGTGCAGAGGAACAGATAGATCATTATGGTCTGATTAGAAAAGCACTTTAAGGAGTTACAAGGGGATCTGGTCGACACTCGACTCTCAGGGGAAAGGTGAGACAGAGATACAATCAGACAGTTACTGGTACCATCAGAATTTAAACTCTTCGCTTGCTGCTGAAGATGGGGACAGAGTGCTTATGGGGGTGTCTCGAGTGCTGTGATTTTGATTCTTAATTCAACATTCAACATTAGGGTACTGAGAGGAAAGAGAAGTGCCTGAGGTTTAGTAGTGACAGCCAGTGAAAAATCGTTATTGCAGGACAGCTTGGCATATGATACCACTACATCTAGCATGAGAATGGAGGAGGAGGCGATCACTGCAGCTTTCCGGTGATTAGAGAACAAGATACTTACACATGTCATAATTGTAATGGACTCTGAAAGCTTGCTGAAAAAGGTGAAGACAGGATTGCATCGAGCAGTGTGGCAAGCTTCACTTGCAAGGTCGCAGGTAGTGAGCATACTTTAGATATTTTCTCCAGGCCATGCTTGCTTGGTGGGGAATAAACATGCAGACAGGTTGGCTGGATCAGCACCGCTGGTTGGTTAATTAATACATGACAAGGCAGATGTGGTCAGAGCCTTTGGGAATAAGTAACGAAGTCAGAAGAGAAATTAGATTATTATGGGCTGGAGAGAATGATGCACCTGGGTGTGACCAGAGGGTTAGGCAGGCACACTATGCTCAGAGGAAAGGCAAGATGGACAAACAACCAGACCACGACCAGCACCATTATTATTGGAACTCTACCCTGGCTGCTGAGGATAGGGACGGAATGCATATGTGAATGCCCCGAGTGCTGTGATGTAAATTCTTGACTCAGCTCAACTCATTAGGGTTTCCTTTGGGCATCCTCACTTCCATAATCACTAAGTCAAGTATGAAAGTATCATTGTTTCATAGAATCAGTTTCAGCAAAATACAAATGAGATATCTAGAAAATATTTCATTTTGCAGCCGGGAAATTCCCACATGGATTCTGCTGCCTTTTTCTTCATCCTTCATCTTCTTCATCATTTAACTGAGAGTTGTAATTGTGTTGTGCCTATTTACAAATAGTAGCACAGTTTAAGGATGATTGAACAAGCACATTTGATTTTTGAATGGCCGACGTGTAGCAGCACCCCGTTGTGTCCACAGTGAACTACATGTTTGTGGAGTGTCTAGAGAGGTATTCAGATCTCGACCGGGTTTTTACGCTGCCACTCAGCATCCACTACCCAAGTGGGGCCCAAGTTGTAAGTTCTTTTATCTTATATTTCTGTTGTCTTCAACCCTCTCGCCCTTAAGTGCTTACAACAATAATAATAACAACAATAATAATAATAGAAACAATAATAATGATAATAATAATAAAACAATTAACCTGTAGAAATTTCCGGAAAAATCATTTCAAGGAAAAAAAAGAACAGCCATATTTCACATGTTACAGATTTAAAAAATATCTGTATTAAAAAAAAAAAAAAAACTACTTAAAATGTATAACAATATATATAAAGTGGTAATCAAAAAACATGAACAGAGTGACGGCTTCATTAGAATACATTTCTCAGAGCATAACAAATTACAATGTGTTGGATGACTCATACCATGGCCCTGTGACCCCTGCCACTGAGGGGCACTGTGACCTCTGTCACTGAGGGGCACTGTGACCTCTGTCATAGAGGGGCACTGGGACCTCTGTCACTGAGTGGCACTGTGACCTCTGTCACTGAGTGGCACTGTGACCTCTGTCACTGAGTGGCACTGTGACCTCTGTCACTGAGTGCCACTGTGAACTCTGTCACTGAGTGCCACTGTGACCTCTGTCACTGAGTGCCACTGTGACCTCTGTCACTGAGTGCCACTGTGACCTCTACCAGTGAAGCTTATGAGAAATTGTGACATTAACTTTCAGAAAACCTTTGGGATCATTATGAACACATTCCCCCCCCCCCCCCCCCCCCCCTTCCCTCCCCCAAATTTCAATGTACTTGGTTTGAGTTAATTTGAATTGCATGAAGACTTGATATAACCGCTCTCGGAACATTCCCATATGCACTCCATCCCCATCTTCAGCATCCAGCATAGAGTTCCAATTCTGGTAATCCCAGTAGCAGTCTGATTGTATGTCCAACTTGCCTTTTCCCTGAGTTTGCAGCATGACAGATAAGTCTTTGGAAGGGCTGGATGTAGAGCAAACCTGTGTGCCCAATTTGTGACCCTTTGAAAAAACAAAAGTTTGTTCGTTCATTTGTTTTTTTGTTGCAGAGATTCAGCTTATAATATTTTATTTCTGACCTTAGAAATCAACTTTCCTCACGATCGTGCATGATATCTGCAGGCGCATCACCAAAATTTTCTTGCCGGACCGATTGGGAGTCCGACCAGTTCACGGTGAGTACAGATTTATATATTTGTATGATGTAGTATGCTGGGTTGATTGGGAAATGCTACAAGTGATTGTGTTTCTCTCTCTCTTTCTCTCTCTCTCTCTCTGTCTCTGTCTCTGTCTACACAATGCATGCACACACTCACATGTGCAGAGAGAGAGAGAGAGAAGGATAGAAAGAGAGAGAGAGAGGTACCTTGGAATTTCAACATAGGCCGTTCCGAGGCGATGATCGGATTCCAAATTGTTTGAGTTCCTATGTAATTTTCCTAAAAGGAAAACAAAATGAATCTGTTCCAGGGTCGAACAAACTCGCATTAAACAAAAATTGTTTTTTAAATACATGACACTGTAAGTATAGTTTTAAAAAAACTGATGTCACATATAAATAAAAACATAATAAAACAAATATAAAAACCACTGAATGTACTGATAAAAACTGTGACACTACATGCAGAAGTAGGATGAAGAAGGGGGTTTTAAGGAGATAATTGTTTGAAAGGTGAGTCACCTTCTATGCTAATATCAAGAATCCTTTGTGGTGTTTCATGTCATAGTTTTTCACCCCTATTTGGTGGGTCTGAAGTTATTAGCCAGCAGCGCTCCAAAGCTCTCTTCTGTTGGCAACTTTTTTTTAATGTATTCTAAAATGTTTGATAGTGTTGTCATTGAATAAATTAACATATGAGGGCTCTATCGGGGTGCCACCTCTTAACAACTTGTTAGGTTTTTTCAAGCACATGGTGAAAAGATCTTGGATTTGAGCAGTGCTAATATTGCCTTTACAGCTGAACTTGAAAGAAAGATACAAGCATTAGAAATGCAATGCTTCAGAAAAATTCTTGGCATATCATAGAGATAACCACATTACAAACGAAGAGGTTCACCATATAATTAGACAGCACATTGGTGACTTTAAACCTCTTTTAACTAAAGTGAAAAGGCAAAAAATCCAATGGTATGGGCATGTTATAAGATCTAACAGCCTCTAAAAAAACAATACTGCAGGGCTCAGCAGAGGGAAAGAGGACAAGAAGCAGACCAAGAAAGACTTGGTTACAGAACCTGACTGACCACGTATCAGCCATTCAGTTTTCAAAGGGCAAATTCAAGTTCCGAGGCAAAATTTAATTGATAATTTTGTTTGAATTCCAAGTTATTAGAATTTTGAAGCATTTGAGTTCCCAGGTACCACTGTAGGTGTGTGTCTGTATATCTATCTGTCTATAAAGGAAGCCTTTGTAGTGTAGCGGCTGGTCTCTTCCCTGTCCACCTGTGGGTTTTTTAATTTAAATATACATCCAGGTGGATTTTTTTAAAATTGAATAATGACTTTGGGTTCCAGGTGGCAAAGCTGAACATGGCCCCAGGTAATGTCCTGGGAAGTCTGTCCAAATATGAGTCAAGCATCGCATACCTCATCTACCAAAGACATACAAGAGTCCTTTATACTGTACCTTCACACTCTGGCCTGTGCATACATACACACACACACACACACACACACACACACACACACACACAGCTATATGCACCCCCCCCCCCCCACACACATAAACACACACCAAGTTATCTGCAACAACTGTCCTAAGTCAAGTAGACTCTGTCATAAGTCCAGTAGACCCTGTCATAAGTCAAGTAGATCCTGTCGTAAGTCAAGTAGACTGTCATAAGTCAAGTAGACCCTGTATGTAGCTATGTAAAGTGCTTGTGTTCTCTAACAATTGATGTGTAAGTTTCCAAATATCCCGTCTATGTCTTGTGTTTCCCCATCTCAGGATCCCACAAGAAGTATTCCAAGGATACTGACTGGGAGCACTTAATTCTCTTCTACGAGTACTTTAATGCGGAAACAGGAGAAGGGTGTGGTGCCAGGTATGTGGGCTGTACATTTGTTTGTGCGGAGTCCGGAGCTTAGGTATTGCCGAGTCCGACTCGCAATTCTAACATACAGCAATTGAAACCCACTGGCTGTGTGGATTTTTATCATGGTATTGGGCGTTGTAGGTCGACCCAGCCTAAAATGGGTACCAGGATGTATGTCTTGGGGAAGTAAAGACGGCTTGCGTAATGCTGATCACATTATCCACCTAGAGCCGATTGGTCTTAACAAATATGGGTGCTCTTCCCATATGCCCAGTGTGCCTAAAGGCGTGAAAAAAGATCTTTACTTTTTACTTTATTTACATTTGTTTATATATGAATGTAATTTTTTATTTAAAAATTGGAGACACTTTCCAATGATGGATTCACTTTCCAATGATGAATACACTTTCATTCATGTATATTTCCTTAAATGTACATAACATATAAATAATATACTTATAAGAGAAAGAGGGAGGTTTAAAGATTTCAAACTTAGAATAGGCGGTATAAATGTTCAGTATGGAAGCCAAACTCAAGAACGCAGAGAATCTTGTGTTGCATGGTAGCCATCTTACTCGGAACTAAACTAAAGGGTTCTTGGTGGCACGGGCATGCGTACTCAAGTGGTTGGTTATGTAGCTGCGCTCTAGAGGCAGTATTCACAATTTTAGACCTTGTTTGTACATTATTCATATGTAATATTTATTCAAGGAAATTTACATGAATGAATGTGTATCCTTTATTTTGAATGACCCAGTACACTTGTTAGCATTTTACTTTAGGTACCAAATGTTTGCATCTAGGTAGTTACAGTGATGTTAACCCAAAACAGAGAATTATAGACATTTAGAGCAAAACTTAAACTGATTATTTATTCACTGATTTCCCCCCACATGTAGCTTCTGGAGCCCCATTGTAAGGAAAACAAGCATGGACATATTGTCCCCCCAGAAAGTTTGTTGTAGGAGTTGACTAATTAAGGGCTTCCTTATAATAAAAGCAAGCAAAGGCCAGTCAGCAATGAGGGTCCTGGCCACCATTAATATTGAGCAGAGACTGCTTCTGCTTCTTTTCCAGGGACTTGTTCTTTCTCCCATTGAATATGCTCTAGCCATCCTCACTGTCAGCGATACTCAGATTGAAAGACTTAAGAAGATGCAAAATGAAGCAATACGCATTATTCTGGGATGCACAAGAGACATTGTGTGGCCATGAGATACCTTCTCAACTTCCCTACCATGAACTACAGGATCATGATTTGGAGGGCTTGCACATAGCTGAAGATAAGCTCTGATCTGAAGCACCCTTTGCACCACATGCTGTTCAGGAAAAATGGCAACAGACTAAAAAAGATCAAATCATGCTTGGGTAGGGCAGAGGATGACATCATGCAGGTCTGCAGTTTTACAGACAACCATCCAGGTGAGGAATGGATACTACTGCCTACAGTGCTCAATCTTACCTTCTCCTTTGTTGTCAAGCTTGATAGAAGTTGTCAGGAGCAGAATCCTGTTACTTTCAATGCCGAGGTTTGCGCAATATTCAGTGTTAGGTCAGATGAGACAGATGTGCTCATCTTCACAGACTAGTCAGTTCTTCAAGGACATAAGCGCGCATGGGCATTTACAGCTCACTCCTCAGGTAGAACAGTCTAAGAAGCAAGGTGCCTTTTACATGACTACAAGCAGCATGTTGATGGAGGTGATGGCGGTGACACAAGCTTTCATATGGCTAGAACCACAGGACTAGTCTCATGTGTGTGTGCTGAGTGATTCTTTGAGCATGATCCGGCAGGTAGAGGCAGACTGGTTACGCAGACAGTGAATTGAGTTATTGCAAAACTCTCCTGTGTGTGCACTTACCTTTATATTTGTCCAGGGTATGCAGGTGTTGTTGGCAATGAAAGAGCTGGTAGACTGGCAGGTTGCGCATTAATTGCAGATGCCCATGGATTACGCAGACATTGTCAGCATCCTTAGATAGATAGGGCATTCCAAGGATTGTGGATGCAACATGTCCAAATCACTGCTTAAAATACGAGAATTTGGAGTAAAGACTGGCACAGCCAAGCATGAGAAGTACACTGAACGCACACAAAGTCTTGTTAACCAGCAAAGGACTGGCACTATTAACCTAAGGATTCTGATAAACATGTTGAAGGGGGAAATCTGAGCACCTATGGACATGTCCGGAGTGCTGTGAAAATAATCTAAATCCTAACTCATTTCTTTAAAGTTGTAGTACATCTGCTTGAGAGGCAAGGAACCAATTGTCTGCATACAGATATGCCAGATCTGTAAAATAGATGTGGACACGGCACCCAGGTTCTAGAACAAGACTATAGTCTACATGTGGATGAAGAGCCAGAACTTTCAGCCAGAGTACGCAGCCAGTAAACGTGAAGGAGATGAAGAAGAAAAAGAGGAAGACGAAGAGAAAGAAGAAGAGGGAGAAGAAGTGGAAAAAGAAAAAGAAGAGGAAGAAGAGAAAGAAGAAGAGGAGGGGGAAGAAGAGAAAGAAGAAGAAGAAGAAGAAGAAGAAGAAGAATTACTAATTTGAGAATCAGCATCATAGCACACCAGGCTTACCCATAAAGCCTCTATCTCTTGTCACATAAACACACCACCTCCTGCAGCAAAAGGGACTGTCAGTGGGGTTCTGTCATCTGTTCTGTTCTATTGGATATATGAAATTAAGTTGGCAGTTTTGTTTTTGTTCCTGGCATCTAGCCACCAAACAGGGTGGTCAGCTCTTGCCTATGAGTTTATCTACAAGCTACACACGTTTCAGCGGTCAGGGAGAGCCCAGATCTAAACTCTGCACTTGACACTGGGAATCCTGGGAGTCTACCCATCAAGAGGAGCTCTAGTCCAGCAGTGACATCTGAGCCAGGAAATGAGAATGTTATTTTTGTTGCAGTCATAGCACATTTCAATGTATCCATCACTGAAAGTATGTATCTATATAAATATTTTGATATTTGAGTATAGTAGGTTGCTGGCAACTTGGATTTTGTGTGAATGTGTGTTGATACCTTTCGGTCTTCCCAGTCAATAATGTTATATTGTGTTATGAGGAAGTTGGGAAATCACAGCACATGAAGATAAGTAAGCGTGACTAGAGAGATTCGCCTGCATTAATTATTTCAGTTCCCTTCAACATGTGATGCCAAATAGACTTTTCTGCATAAATCTCAGTCAGTGTGTGATGTGTTTACTTCTATTTAATGTTGGTCACAGAACACTAGAGAAATCTGGCTTCCATATTGGTTACTTCCGCTGTGTGCAATTGACCTGTTTGAATGTTAAACATCTGTGACTTTTCATAGTGGTAATTAATTCCCTTGTGCATGTGCTTCGACAACCCCTGGGATTGAGAGAGTTGAGAAAAATTCCACAAGTAGAGCAGAAGATTTCAGGATTGTTGTTTATATCACATGTTCTTTCTCAGACACTCAACTCCTCACCTTTCTGCAATAATTTTATTTTCTTTTTATACCATTCTCTACCTCATCCCTCCCCCACCCCCCACCCACCCCATTTCCATGCAGCATAGTCTGTGGCATTTTGTTCCCCTAAATGTACCCCAGTGCTTGAACTGCACGTGTGGTAAGTATCCTTTACCATTATTCTCCTTCTTTCTTTCATTTCCCAGAAGAACATTTCAAACAATGTGCCATCCCCACATTGGTGTTTGGCAATATTACGGTCTCCCCCCACTCCCCCTTCTCTTCCATAGTGCAACTCTTGTACCACTGTTTGAAATAGACCTGCTTCATTGTGCTTTACTCCCAGGTCATGCAATCATGTTAGTGTCAGAGATTCATTATTATCCACTAGCCCAGACTGCAGCATTGAAGATGTCTGCTCTGTCTATGCTTCTTTTTACATTCGTAGGTACATTGCTTGCCTGTTGGTCCGCTCATTATCTCTCACACTGGCATGGCCAGGTGTGTAGATCAAGAAGAGGGAGGTTAAGTGCGATGTCTGAAGGATTTCAGAGCATTTATTACCTGTTGCGATTCGATTTTCTGAAACATGTTCATAGAGTCTGATACGATTAGTGCATGTGTGACTGCTTATTGTGCTTTCCATGCTAGTACTTTGGAAGCACTGGAGTAAAGCATGGTGAAGCACAACTGTGCCACCTCGGAGGCCAGGATAGGAGACATTATAACCAGCTGCTCATGGCAACAGTCAACAGAAGTACACTGATGTGGCTGTTGCAATGTAGGACTGAGCATGGGTGGGAATGCCTAACGTGCAGTGACTTTGAATGTGGTAACATCGCTTTTTGAAAGCCGCAAGTGTGATCTTTTACACGACCGGCTATAGATGACGCGCCGGCCCACGGACGTCATCAGGTCATGCTAACGATGCGTTAATGCAGCAGTTCTCAAACTGGGTGCCGAAGCACCGAAGGCTGCCATGAGCATATGCCAGGGGTGCCAGGAAAATAATCAAGAAAAAAGTTGTCTTCCTCTGCCACTGTCGAAAATAGTTTATTTTATGTTTGAGAACTGCTGCGTTAATGCATCGTTAGCCCGACCAGGTGACGTCAGCAGCACAGCTCATCAGCTAGAGCTGATCATGATCGTTTAAAAGAGCTTTGGCCTGAAGCAACTCATGCCAAGGCATGTTGAAAATGTGCTGATTTGAATGTCACAGCTGAAATTTTCTTTAGGATGAGGTGGTCAGTTTCATGACAACCCACAAATTCATATTCTTTTGTGCATCTGTATTTCTTTCGAGGTCTTCTTCGTTAACATTCAGAGCCCATGAGGTTCATTTCTGCAGATATCACCTACCTCCATTCATCTCTGTGATTCAGATTCGAGGCTTACATATCTATTTCATGATAAATTAAGTTTCACAAACGTAGGGGGTGTTGCCGCATGCTTAATTCCCAACCTGGAGGGTAGTTCTCTTTATCTGTTCTCTGCTCTTTGACCTTTTGGCCTTGCTTGTAGCTATGCTACCACCAGCATAGCTGTCAGTCATTGAACAAGCTTTCCCACATTACCAAGGCGAAGACACCTTCGAGGGAGTTTCTCTATTGTACAATAATTAAGAGAAAGGGTATTTTAGAGACAACACTCTGAAGCTTCAAGTTGCAAAATATTTATTTTAAACTAACCATAGCGTCGTTCCCTTTGGGAAATCAGAATATTCAAGGTTACTGACATGATAAGTATTATTTATTACCATTATTGTTATAAAAATCTCATATAATATGGACAACAATTTTATTGAAAAAGATGAAATTGATGCACTGATGTGATTCCACTGTGCCTTATTTTTTTTTTTTTTTAAGCTCCTTCCTCTCATCCAAGATTGAACCTGATGCTATTACTGCCCCTCTGGATCGTTCCTGCACGATCCAAAAACCCACTTAGGGCAACAATGTTATATACAGTCCGTCTAAAATTTTAAAATCTTATCTTACATAAATATCTATTATGCTGCACTCTTTCCCTCTCCCCCTCCTTTCCCACACAGTTAACTCACAAATACCTACCACACAATTATCTTTCATAGATACCTCCCAAACTGCCTCCCACACAATGATTTTACATAAATACCTCGCACACAAATACCCCTTCCCCCACCCCCACCCCCACCCCGTCCCCCCGCCCCACTCTCCTTTCCTCACAATTATTTATTGCATTTATTTCATAAGCACATCTTGCCATAAAAAAAAACGATTATTAAAAAGTTTCTGGTTTAACAGCAGAATAAAAATAAACAAAAAGTTGAATAAATAGATGGGTTGTTAATATAATAGGAAAGAATATACACAGCTGTGTTATAATATTTGTGACATGAAACATTCACACAAATCACTTTACAGAAGTGTTTTTATTCATTGCATTTGAACAACTCTTTTGTACATCATCTTTTATATATATTTTTCTTTGAATACAAAAGAATGTAAGGTCATATCGACCAGCCTTTGAACTAACATTGAAGACAACTTTAAAGTTTGTTATAATTATAACACATTTTGAAAACGCTTATTTCAGAAATAATGTAGCGAGAAGCCTGAAGATAAACATACATATTCAAAGGAAATGAAAGAGTGTTTGATGTTTTGCTGGATAGTGGGGGGACTTGTTTGTTGACAGTCCACCTTGTGTTTCTGTGTTTTCTTTTGGGGTTTATTCATCTTCTTGGTGTTCAGCAGCTAATGAAAAGTTCCGGTTATGTGTCCGCACTGTAGTCTTCATCCACAACCTGAGTTCTACATGTACAGCCATTTTACAGACCTGCCATATTTGTATGCAGACTGTTAGTTACTTGCTACCTAGGTAGATGCACTCCGACCTGGAAGGAAACATCCCTAATTAGTAACCTTCCGCGACAGGCTTGTTTGTGGGGGGGGGGGGGTGTATGTGTGGGGAGGGGCAGTGAGTCTGTTATTTGTTATCCAAAATGAAACCCTAGAAGGCAGACAAGGATTTGATAATTTATTGTTGATGCTTTTCATTTATCTGTGTTAGTGTATGTTTCTGTGTCTGTGTACTTGTCTTGCTGTGCATTATCATGTTTGTCTGTCTGTATGCTTGTAGTTGAGATCATCTGTCTGTATGCTTGTAGTTGAGATTATCTGTTTATGTCTGTCTGTATGTCTGTAGCTGAGCTTATCTGTATATGTATGTTTGTAGTTGAGCTTGTCTGTCTATATGTTTGTGGTTGAGCGTGTCCATGTTTGTCTGTAGCTGAGCTTATCTGTATATGTATGTTTGTAGCTGAGCTTAACTGTATACGTATGTTTGTAGCTGAGCTTATCTGTATGTGAATGTTTGTAGCTGAGCTTATCTGTCTATGCCTGTAGCTGAGCTTATCTGTCTATGTCTGCCTGTAGCTGAGCTTATCTGTATGTGTATGTTTGTAGCTGAGCTTATCTGTCTATGCCTGTAGCTGAGCTTATCTGTCTATGTCTGCCTGTAGCTGAGCTTATCTGTATGTGTATGTTTGTAGTTAAGCTTGTCTGTCTGTATGTCTATCTGTATATCCTTATATATCTAAGTACAGAACCCTGTGTAAGTTAGTGGTAAATCAGATGTCTGATGCTAGGCTCATAGTCTATCAACCAGTCGACCCTTCGTGGGTGATTAGTCATGATCACCCGGCCAAGTTGACTTCCCAGGACTGCATCTGGTACCCATTTGAGGCTGGGAAACAGAACATTTCTGTGAATATCGTGGACCCAGGTACAGAAGAACACCGACACCCTTCATCAGGGCTAGTGAGCTGGTGGCCCGCTGATCAAATCTAGACCATAGATAACCTAGCACGGAATCTGCGGATCACAGGCTAACTATACTGCATAAATGATCAGTCTATGCTGGGGCTCTGGCCTCTTCTTCTTCCCAAAGTCCATGTCGTGTGGCGTGGCTAGTCGTGTCTATCCACAACCCTCTGTCTCGTGTACTTTCTATCAACTCTGACAAAGATGATCTTCCTTCCTACCATGATATCTAACCGTCTAGCATCTGTTCGCTTGGTCTTCCCCTGCCTCTCCCCCCCCCCCCCCAACTTTCCTACCGTCACGATGTACTCCAGTTTTCTTCTTCTTATCACATGACCAAACAATGTAGATTGTCTCTTTCTCATGTGGGCAATCAGTTCTCTTTGTGAATCAGTTTCTTTCAGGACTTCATTACTCTTTTTATCTGTTCAGTGTATTCTCATCATTCGTCTTTAAAACCACATCTCCACCGCTTTCAAATGAGTTTTCACTAATTTACTAACTGTCCATGATTCACATCCGTATATAAATATGGGGTATATTTAGCTTTTAAGAATTCTCTT